AACCTGTGCACATCCTCCTGTGTAGTCGAAGCCGTCCCTAGATGACTTACAATACCGTAGAGATGTAAGTGTCATGGAACACACTCCTAGGGGACATAATGACATTGCAATTAACTATCGACCCACACACAGCAGTGCATACACTGTAGCCTAGAGGAAGTTTCCCTGTGTGGTGTTCACACAAGGGAGAGATTGCCAGTGCTGTGTTTCTCGCACTGTCTCCCTACAGTTAAGACCCAACAAGAAAAGGCAAGTGCATGTGTTCAGTACAGACACATTCTTTCCCCCAAATATTTCCAGCCTGCAGTTGCTGAATCTGCAAATGCAGAAGCTGTGGGGTTGTTAGGCTGACCGCAATTGGGTGAAGTCTGGAGACAGGCGAATTTCAGACGTAATGCAAAGGGAGAACATTTTCTCACACTGTTTCTGTCATTCTAGAGAGCAACAGGCCTCCGGTGGCCGTGGCTGGCCCCGACAAGGAGCTGGTCTTCCCCGTGGGGAGCACGGCCCTGGACGGGAGCAGCAGCAGTGACGACCACGGCATCGTCTTCTACCGCTGGGAGCTGGTCAGGTAGCCTGTCGGGGGTCTGCAGCCCACAGTCAGCCTTGGCTTGCTGAGGAGCAGGGTTGAAGCGCCCTTCTAGAAGGAACCGAGCACGGGTGGATAAGGCAGGCGGCCGGCAGGGGGGCAGGGAGCTGGGGCAGGGGGGCAGGGCTGTCTTACCATGAGGCCCCCAGAGGAGCTGGGAAGCCTGTGTGTGGTCCTGTCTGCACTGCGTCTGCAGACTGGCGATGTGCGGGCTTTACTGCGTTCCACAACGTACCCTGAGCTCTGCACAGAAGGAGTGGATACCGATGTCCCCATCGGCTTGACTGGTGAGGTCGCATGGCTTCAGGTGGCCCAGACGGGAAGAGGTAGCTGGGCCTGTCTCTCCAGGTGTTCCTGCCACCACACCCACGACCCCTGCCACCCAGTAATGCCTCTCTCAGAAGACTGACTTTCTGGCCCGTGCCAGACCAGTGCCCCAGTGCAGGTGACCCGAGTTAGCTTACGACTCTCTAGATGGCCTTGAGGAGGGCAAGGTCACGCGCCAGCCATATTCAGGGCTTCTCTCTTGTTCCCTGCTTTCATGTCCTAGAGGCCCCAGTGTGGTGGAGATGGAAAATGTGGACAAGGCAGTAGCCACCGTGACTGGCCTTCAGGTGGGCGCCTACTGCTTCCGCTTAACGGTGAGAGACCAGCAGGGACTGAGCAGTACGTCCACCCTGACGGTGGCTGTGAAGGTGAAGAAGGGTGAGTGGTCTGACCCTGGTGGGGGTCTCGCAGGTGTGCAGCGATGTTGCTGGTTGCTTGTTTGTTCACAGCAGGCATCCGATTCTGCCTGGCCCGGAAAAGCCCGCCTTCCTGCCGCACTGGCTCGTTTCCTGTGCCCTTCTGCCAGGAAACAGCCTCTCTTTTCCTCTGTGGCCTTGACCTCCTGACAGCTTCACTCCGCCTCTGTGCCTGCGGCCAAGAGCTTTGCTTTTCTCTCTTCCCTGGAGATTCATGTTCTGCATTGTTCTTTTTTTTTTTTTTTTTTTTTTTTACAGGCAGAGTGGACAGTGAGAGAGACAGAGAGAAAGGTCTTCCTTTTTGCCATTGGTTCACCCTCCAGTGGCCGCCGCGGCCGGCGCACCGCGCTGATCCGATGGCAGGAGCCAGGTACTTCTCCTGGTCTCCCATGGGGTGCAGGGCCCAAGCACTTGGCCATCCTCCACTGCACTCCTTGGCCACAGCAGAGAGCTGGCCTGGAAGAGGAGCAACCGGGACAGAATCCGGCGCCCCGACCAGGACTAGAACCCGGTGTGCTGGTGCTGCAGGCGGAGGATTAGCCTAGTGAGCCGCGGCGCCGGCCCTGCGTTGTTCTTATTGTGTAGCTTGCGGTGCTGACCAATGCAGTGCTGCCCTGGGTACTCATCTCCTTCACTGTCTGCCCATTTGCGCGCTGCCTGAGGTCCTGGCTTTGGATTGTCTGTGTTCTCTGTGCAGCACCATGCTAGACGCAGGGAGAGTATGGGTGGGGGTAGGTTGGATGAGTTCATCTCTGGCTGACAATGATGTGTTGAAGTGGGGAGGAGGAAGTATGACGGGCTAGAGGGGCCCGTGTATGGTGCAAGGGCAAGAGCACGGGGGCTAGGGGAGGCTGCAGCCCCCAGCCGAGGCTGGGCCGGGAAGGTCACGGGTTAGAACTTTATCCTCTGGGCAGTTGAGAGAGGCTGAACCAGTCTTAGCAGCAAAGTGATATGGATTTGGATTGTTTTCAAGCCTTTGTAGACATTCTCAACTTGACATAAAAGAAGAGAGAGTAGTCTTTGTTTTTTTTTGACAGACAGAGTTAGACAGTGAAAGAGAGAGAGACAGAGAGAAAGGTCTTCCTTCTGTTGGTTCATCCCCAAGTGGCCGCTACAGCCGGCATGCTGCACCGATCTGATGGCAGGAGCCAGGCGCTTCCTCCTGGTCTCCCATGGGGTGCAGGGCCCAAGCACTTGGGCCATCCTCCACTGCCTTCCCGGGCCACAGCAGAGAGCTGGCCTGGAAGAGAAGCAACCGGGACAGAATCCGGCACCCCAACCAGGACTAGAACCCAGGGTGCCAGCACCGCAGGCAGAGGATTAGTCTAGTGAGCCATGGCGCCGGCCAACTCTTTGTTTTCTAAGATTTATTTATTTATTTAAAATGAGAGAGAGAGAAAGGGAGGGGGTCTTCCATCTGCTGGTTCACTCCCCAATTGGCCACAATGGCTGGAGCTGGGCCAGTTTGAAGCATAGAACCAGGAGCCTCCCCCCAGGACTCCTATGCAGGTGCAGGGGCCCAAGGACTTGGACCATCACCCACTGCTTTCCCAGGCCATAGCAGAGAGTTGGATTGGAAGTGGAGCAGCTGGGACTTGAACTGGTGCCCATTTGGAATGCCAGCGCTGCAGGCAGTGGCTTTACCTGCTAAGCCACAGCTCCGACCCTAAGACAGTAGTCTTAATGGAGCAGCGTATGCGCATCCTCTAGCCTCAGCAGCTGTCAGAGTTTTGCCAATCTTGTTGCATTTATCGATTCCTGTTTTCTTCTTGTTGGAGAATGCAAAGCAAACCCTTTCGTTACATCATGTTGCCTCTCAGATTTGGAGATTAGTGAGAAGGCAGTGGTAACTGCCTGGATCAGCAATGAAATGAGCCCCATCTGAGGCCAACCAGAGAAGAGGGGAAAGGATGCACTGGGAAGAGAATTGTGCTCCTAAATTCTCAGGACTGGGGAGAATCCAAACCTACCAGATCCGGAGTTTGAGAGGAACGCTGTCCAGGATGATGGCAACACTCTTAGTTTCAGCTTGTGGGTGGGTGACGGGGATGGTGTGAAATCAGGGTCACAGCCGGCAGCAGCAGGTTTGAGGTATTGATTCATATGGGTGTGTGTCGCACCGGTAGCAATGGAGTGGCTGGGCTGGGCTAGGTGCTGGGGGAGCGTCATGACTGGGGTCTGAGAGTGTGGCAGCCCAGAGGTACGGGAGGGGCTGTCTCAGGTTCTGGTTATGGAACTAACACCCAGGGAGGACCCAGACGGTGTTGTAACCGAGTGACTCACTTTACCCCCTGTCCACTTATGTGATTTCTGGCCTTTCTCTCTGAGGGGTTTTCAGAAAGAGTGGAAAATGCACATTTTGGAAAACCTATGCATGGATTGAAAAAAAAATTATCACCAAAATAAACTTATCTTTCAATTCCACCATCCGGTGGGCATTTTGAGATGCCCATGTCCGCAATGGAATTAAGCCTCCCTAGCACCACATTCTGCCTCCTCAAATCTCTTCCGACTGGAGTGCACTGAATGCAGTGGGAAGTTGGCAATGGCCTTGATGGCCTCTGTTTCAGTCCCTGGTGTCGCTTCCCAGGATGAGAAGGGCCGGTGACCAGTGGCATGTTAATGGCAGCCTCTGGTCAATACCTGGTACCTTCACCCCCTTTTTCTGTTGCCTGACTTGTTTTGAAGGGGCAGGTGGGTTCCTGGGCCCCAGCTAAGCCAGATGGTTTCACATCTCAGCAGCCTCGTCTCCAGATTGGGGCCATGTCTTACCGTGGTCTCCCCACTCACTGCACCCCAGTCCTGCCACATTCACCCTGGCCCCTCCTTCCTGAGGCTGTTCCCTCGGCTTTGCCCTTAATTTCCTCCTTTATGCCTGACACAGGCAGAGGAATGAGGGTCTGATTCGTTTTTATTCGAGTTCTTTCTCTTAGACACTCAAGATTTGGCAGTACTAGAAACTAAGATGTTTCTGTCTGTAAGCCAGGAGGCATAACCTGGTGAGAACTGACCCAGAGGATATTTTAAATGGAAAATATTTGCACTTTCTGATCCCTGGACATAAGTAAGGTCATTGTTTTCTTTTTTCCAAGGAGCAAAAAATTGTTTTATGAGAAGAATTCCCAATGTGCCGGCTTTTACCTTTTTCATCCCAGTGAGAACCAGTTAAGCACAGAGCTTGCAGGAAGTCTGCAGGGGATCTTACAGGTGTCTGGGGCAGAAAGCAACGCCTTTGGAATATGTTAAACTTTCCTATCTGCAAGGTGGGGCGGTTGGGGGTGTTTGATGCCACGATTTCTATCACCAGCATCTTACATCAATCTCTTTGCTTTCATTTTTGCTGTATTTGACTTAGAAAATAATAGCCCTCCCAGAGCCCGGGCTGGTGGCAGACATGTTCTTGTGCTTCCCAATAATTCCATTACTTTGGATGGTTCAAGGTCAACCGATGACCAAGGAATTGTGTCCTATCTGTGGATCCGGGATGGCCAGAGCCCCGCAGCTGGAGTGAGTATTTACCGGGCATTGGCCCTGGGCCACTGCTATGTCTTAGTCAGCTCGGCTGCCACAACCAAACACCCCAGGCTGGGAGGCTTAGACAGTGGTTCTGGAGGCTGGGATAACAAGGTCAAGGTCAAGGTGAAGTCTCTCCTCCTGGCTTACAGACAGGGGCTCACCTTCTCACTGTGTCCAAGGCTAGGGAGTGTTGGGGGCAGGAGGGAGAGAGAGACGGAAAGGACTCTCTGGTCCCTTTCCTATAAAGACAATAATCCTGTAGGATCAGGGCCCCACTCGTATGGCCTCCTGGAACCTCAGTTACCTCTTCATACGTCCCAGCTCCAGGTGTAGTTCCACTGAGGGGTAGGACTCCAACAGGTGGATTGGGGGCCACAGTTCAGTCCACAGCAACACCTCTGTTTATTTTATTTTATTTTATTTTATTTTATTTTATTTTATTTTATTTTATTTATCTTTTTGAAAGCCAGAGTTACAGAGAAGTAGAGGTGGAGGTAGAGACAGAGAGAGAGAGAGAGAGAGAGGTCTTCCATCCGCTGGTTCACTCCCCAGATGGCCACAACAGTCGGAGCTGGGCCAATCTGAAGCCAGGAGCCTGGAGCTTCTTCCAGGTCTCCCACATGGGTGCAAGGGCCCAAGGATTATGGAACATCTTCTGCTGTTTTCCCAGGAAGTGGAACATCCAGGTCTCAAACCGATGGCGGCGCTGCAGGTGGCGGCTTTACCCGCTATGCCACAGCGCTGGCCCCAACACCTATGTTCTGACCCCGCCTCCACAGCCAGGTGCTCACGCCTCTGCACTGGGACGCCCTGAGGCTGGAGGCACTGGGCTGTTAGGCCTCAGCAAATGTTGAGGTGTTTTCTGACTTTCCTGACCAGGTTGTGGGTGGGTCAGAAACCAGAGCCTGGAAAACCATGAAGCCACGCCCCACAGTGCTTTACTCTGCACCTCACTTCCCCATCACCCCTGTCTTAGTCCATGTGGATTCTTTCCTGGTCACAAGCCTGATGTCAGTAGGGCAGGGATTGCTGGCCCATTTCACAGATTCAGAGAGTGAGATACAGGGACGGACAGTGACTTGGCCAAGGCCAACTCACTCCTCATTAAACCAACCTGCACAGACCTTGATGTTTAGCACCCGGCAGGCATTCCTCCCCTGTGGATCACGGTACCTCGTAGGCTGTAAGTTGAGGACGAGAGGTGCAGGTACGCTCTTGTCCGTGTGCCCGAGGAGTGGTCCCTGGGAAGGCGCCGACAGGGCCTCATCCTTGGTGAGGCATCTTCAGACGCCGTGCTGTGGGGCTGGCCCTCAGCAGCATCTGTCCAGAGCACGCCATTCTTCTCACCCTTCTCTCCTGTGAGCAGGTTCAGCACAGGGTCTGGGGGATTCTTTGCTGATTCTTCGCAGCTTTGAAGCCCACAGAATGGGGACGTTCCTCCCCAGGCTCTTGGGTCATTTGGGAAGGCGAACATGACATACGGGGAGGGGACGCAGGGTGACGGCCTTGGAGAACTGTGTTGGAAAAGATGACCCTGAACACCTGTGCCTCACCCTCGCCAACAGCCTTTCCCCCTGTTGGTTGGGGGCACTTGTTTGCTTGCTCGTTCCTAGAATGGGCTCGGTGAGCTCAGCTCAGGAAATTCTGCCTGCAGAATTTGTTCCTCCAGGCGTTGTGCAGGGAAGAGGTGCTGACCAGTATCCCCGTGGTCCTCCGCTAGCCCTGCGGCCCCCAGCGCCTTCCTCCTCAGCCTCCCCTTTGCAGTAACACACGTATTCAAAGGATTGGCCTCAGAGGTGTGGGGTGAGCGGAAGCCTGGACGTTGGGAACTGGGGGTTGATGACCGCCCTGCTGCTCGCCTTGTTTCTCAGGACGTCCTCGATGGCTCTGACCACAGCGCAGCCCTACAGCTCACCAATCTGGTGGAGGGCGTCTACACTTTCCAGCTGCGAGTCACCGACGGGCAGGGTGCCTCGGACACAGACTCTGCCACCGTGGAGGTACAGCCAGGTGCGTCTGTGGGCCGTGGCCGGTCAGCGCCAGGCTTCTCTGCGGGTAGCAGGTATAACCCAGTGTGGGAGGTGTGTGTGCCTGGCTGCAGCTCTTGGCTGGGCCCACTTTGAGGACTTCTGTCCACTTGGTTGCAGACTCAGCCTTGTAACTCATATCTGGCAGCAAGATTTTCTCTTCTTTTCTATTTAAAAGATGTGTTTATTTACCTAAAAGTCACAGTTACAGAGAGAGAAGGAGAAACAGAGATCTTCCATCCACTGGTTCCCAAATAGCTGCAATGTCTGAGGCTGGGCAGATCTAAAGCCAGGAGCCAGGAGCTTCTTCCAGGTCTCCCACATGGGAGCAGGTGCCCAAGGCCTTGGGCCATCACCCACTGCTTTCCCAGGCCATAGCAAAGAGCTGGATTGGAAGTGGAGCAGCCGGGACTCAAACTGGCATCCATACAGGATGCCAGCAAAGCAGGCAGTGGCTTTACCCACTACGCCACAGCATCAGCCCCGTGATTCTTTTTGCTTTTGTTTCCTGCTGGAAGACAAAGACCCCACCTGGAGTGGATGTGACTTCTGTACCTGGAGAGCTAAGGCAGGGTAGAGCTAGGGAGGCAGCCTTCTCCACCCCCACACTGGGGCCTGAAATTCTCTTTCTGGTGCTGGGGAGGTGCGTAAGTGATGCTAATTCAGCACATCTCGTTACCTCGTGGGACACAAACAGTAGACCAGGGACTGGGGCCGCACGAGGAAAAGGTGCTCTCGGGGGCAGCCCCCGTGGCATTTAGAGGGACTTAGCCGAGTCCTAAAACCCAAGCGCGAGAGTCCCAGTGGTGACATTGAGTCCTGACCCTGTGCCACCTGAGCTATCCACGTGGAATTGCCACCTCTGCTCTCTTCGCAGACCCTAGGGAGGGTGGCCTGGTGGAGCTGATCCTGGAGGTGGGCGCTGGGCAGCTGACGGAGCGGCAGAAGGGCACCCTGGTGAGGCAGCTGGCCGTGTTGCTGCGCGTGATGCACTCGGACATCAAGGTTCAGAAGATCCAGGCCCACTCGGACCTCAGGTAGGAGCCGCGTGCTCAGAGGCCATGGCCCCAGTGCAGCGGGCAGCTGCTCATGTGTGCACTTGGTTTCTTGCACAGGTTCCTGCACAGGCTTCTATCCCATCCCCTTTGTCCCTCGAAGGGCGGAGGTAAGCTCAGACCATTCTAGGTCCATCCGACAGGGCTCAGCAAATACTTGTTGATGGGGAATGTTCTGGATGAGGGGTTAGGGCATAGCGGAGGGAGCTGGGTTTGGCACTGCTATCGTCAGGGAGCATGCAAATGGCCTGGGGCACATGAAGAGCTGTCTCACAGCCTGACCACAGCCTGTCCCGTGTTTGTAGGGCTGAGGCTTCTCACTGTGTGATAAGCACCCTTGGTTACCATTTGCTTGAAATTTCAACCTTTATTTTCAATAAGATGTTTGTTTGCATTGAATTCGTGTTTTAAATATTTATTTATTTTTGAAAGTTAGAGTTACAGAGAGCAAGGCGGAGACCAAGAGAGGTCTTCCACCCACTGGTTCTCTCCCCACCCAGATGGCCAAAATGGCTAGTGCTGGGCCAGGTCGAAGCCAGGAGCTAGGAGAGTCATCCAGGTCTCCCACTTGGACCATTTTCCACTTCTTTTCCCAGGCCATTAGCAGGGAGCTGGATCAGATATGAAGCAGCCGGGACAGGAACTTGCATTCATGGGATGTCGGCATCGCGGATGGCGATTTAAGCCACCACGCCATGACACCAGTCCCAGGTTTTTATTTTTAAATTCGTATACAGCACAGTCTGAGGTGAGAGGAGAGAGAAAGGATATACACGGAGAACCTGTCTTTCACAGGAACTCCACTTGCCAGCTGTGTTCAACTCTGCAACTTAGTTTTCCAGAGAACTGAAATTTACTTAGAAAAGCACCAGATTAAAACAGGTTCTGTGGAACTGAATCATTCATTTCCCTCCCTCATGAAATATCAGAGAGTGGCTCAAAGTCTTATCTACAGCCAACAAAACCAAAAATTTTTCTTTGGTGGATCGACAAAGTTGATAAAACTGTAGCTAGATTGACCAAGATAAATAGATGAGACTCTCATTACTAAAATCAGGAGTCAAAGAGGGAGTACTATGACTTTGCAGAAATAAGAAAGATTGTAAAAGAATACTGTAAATAATTATGTATCAAAAATTTAGATAACCTCGATGAAATGGACACATTCCTAGAAAAACAGGCTGCAAACACTCACTTGAGAAGACATGAACAGTCTAAATGGACCTGTAACAATTAAAGTGATTGAATTCATAATCAGAAAACTTCCCACAAAACCCAGAACAAGATGGCTTTGTTGGTGAATTCTGCAGAACGTTTTAAGAGTTAACACAGCTCTTCCTAAATGCCTCCGTCCTGTCCGTTTTGCCCCGTCACCAAAATCTAGACAAACGCCTCACAAGGACACTAGCGAGCAACATCCCTTGTGAATATGGAAGCAAACATTGGCTACAGAATACCAGCAGCCAGCTGCACCCAGCAGTATATAAAAGGACTGATGTGGTCTTCATCCCCCAACTCACTGTGCGTGTGGCTCAACCACGCAAATCAATGAATACAATAAGCCACATTCATGAAGGGATCGTCCGAGCGGGCACAGAAAAGGCATCTGAGACAATTCAGTACTCTTTTGTGATGAAAACACTGTGGGTGTTGTGTCTCCCACCCAGAAGATAGGTTCAAGTCCATACCCCTGTGCCTGTGCACGTGGGCTTATCTGGAAATAAGAAAACATGTAATTAGTTAAGATGAAGTTATACTAGAATGGGGTGGGCTCTTAATCCAACATGACTGTTGTCTTTTTTTTTTTTTAAAGGTTTATTTATTTGAAAGGTAGAGTTACAGAGAGGCAGAGGCAGAGAGAGAGAGAGAGGGGTCTTCCATCTGCTGATTCACTGTCCAATGGCTGCAATGGTCGGGGCTGAGCCAGGAGGCAGGAGCTTCACCTGGGTCTCCCATGCGGGTGCAGGGGTCCAAGCACTTGGGTCATCCTCTGCTGCTTTCCCAGGTGCATGAGCTGGGAGCCAGGTAGGCAGCGGAGCAGCTGGGACTTGAACAGGTGCCCATATGGAATGCTGGTGCTGCAGGAGGCGGGTGAATCCACGGTGCCGCAGCGCCGGCCCCCAACTGTTGCCCTTACAAGAAGAGGACGAGAGACACAGAGAGACATTCAGGGAGAACACGCTGTGGTGACAGAGGCAGAGACTGGAGTGATGCACCTGCAAGCCAAGGAGTGCCAGAAGCGAAGCGAACGGCCCTTAGAGGCCTCAGAGAGAGCTCTGCCCCGTGGAAGCTTTGGCCCTGGTTTTTCTGTGCCCTAGAACCATCCTAGGGGATTCTTCTTGTTTTCAGCCATCAGTTTGCAGTACATTTTTTACAGCAGCCCTAAGAAACCAATATAGGTTTGAATAGATATTTCTCCAGAGGGGATGTACAAAGGGCCACTAAGCACATGAAATGATGCTCTTTGTTACAGCCATTAGGGGAATGTAAGAGAGAACCACAGTGTGATGCCACTTCACACGCACCAGGAAGGCTGCCCACGTGGCCCAGCTCAGCCGAAGCTTCCAAGTCCAGGATTCAACCAAGCGTGGATTAAAAATATTCAGGGGGTCAGCACTGTGGCATAGCGGATAAAGCCTCCACCTGTAGTGTCGGCGTCCCATATGGGTGCTGGTTCTAGTCCTGGCTGCTCCACTTCCGACCCAGCTCTCTGCTATGGCCTGGGAAAGTAGCAGAAGATGGCCCAAGTCTTTGAGCTCCTGCACCTGTGTGGAAGACCTGGAGGAAGCTCCTGGCTCCTGGCTTTGGATTGACGCAGCTCCAGCCATTGTGGTCATCTGGAGAGTGAACCAGTGGATGGAAGACCTTTCTCTCTCCCTCTCTTTCTCTCTGTCCCCCTCTCTCTGCCTCTCCTTCTCTCTCTGTGTAACTCTGACTTTCAAGTAAATAAATAAACCTTTAAAAAATAAAAAAAAATTCAGAAAGAAATTCCATCTGAACTGAATATATGCAGACTGTTTTTCCATGTCATTATGCCCTAGGCAAGACAGCCTAACAAGTGTTTATGTGGCATGTACACTGTATTGGGTATTGTAAGTAATCTAGAGAGAATTTAAAGTTCACAGGAGGATGTGTGTAGATTATATAAAAATACAACTGCATTTTGTGTAAAGGGCTTGAGCGTCTGTAGATTTTGGTGTCGGGGTGGGGAGAGGGCTCTGGATCCAACCCCTCCAGGCCGCTGAGGGACAACAGTGGTCAGAAAGATCACAGCAAACGTTGGCAAGTAAATAGACACATTGGAGCACTGCTGGTGGAAATGTAAAATAATGCAGCCACTGTGGAAGACAGTCCCTCAAATGCTAAATAGTCCATTAAGTCCAAGGGAAGCCAAAAGCTTGCATATGAATGTGAATGTTCATAGCATGTATTCATAGTAGGCAAAAAGTGGAAACAACCTAAATGCTCATTAGCTCATGAATGGGTACAGACATGATATATTCCTGTGATGGAATATTATTCAGCAAGAAAAGGGGATGAAGCACTGGTACTTGTTTTCACATGGATGACATCATGCTAAATGGAGAAAGGCAGAACAGAAGGTCACGTATTGCATGGTCCTTTATTTCTTTGAAAAATGGAGTTACAGAGGGAGATAGAGAGAAGTCTTCCATCTGCTGGTTCACTCCCCAGATGGCCGCAATGACTGGAACTGTGCCAATCTGGAGCCAGGAGCTTCTTCCCAGTCTCACACATGGCTGCAGGAGCCCAACGACTCGGGCCATCTTCTACTGCTTTTCCAGGCTATAGCAGAGAGCTGGATCGGAAGTAGAGCAGCCAGGACTCGAACTGGCGCCCATATGGGATGCCAGCACTGCAGGCAAAAGCTTTACCCACTACGCCACAGCGCCCTGACTCACATGGTCCCTTTTATGAAATGTCCAGAATAAGCAAATCTATTTAGACAGCCGATGAAGTGGCTGTCAGGGACGGGACGGGAAAAGCTGCTCAAGGGTATGGCTGCCTTTTTGGGGTGACAAACATGTTCTGGAATTAGATCCTGGTGATGGTTGTGCAACTCTACAAATACACTAAAAGCTGTTGGATTTTACTCTTTAGAGGGATCAGTTCTGCGGTACGCACGTTACGTCTCAATTAGAAGGTTAAAGGAAGGCCTTGTGTCAGTCAGCGTTTTGTGTAGCTGTGGCTGCCTGCACACATATACACTGCTCTTTGGATCTGTAGTCTCCCAGCAGCTCCTCTTGGAGCCCAGAGAGTTGCGAGTAGAAAGATCCAGTCTTTGGCCCATGGGTGGTAGCAGCCTGCCTCCCAGATGCCACTGGTCAGATAAGCCAGGGGACACGTCTGTCACCCCGTGACCGGCTGACCATGCGGCTGTCCCTCTTGTTGCCTCTGCAGCACCACGGTTGTGTTTTACGTGCAGAGTGGGCCACCTTTCAAGGTTCTCAAAGCTGCTGAAGTGGCCCGAAATCTACATATGCGACTGTCCAAGGAGAAGGCGGATTTTTTGCTTTTCAAGGTCTTGAGGATTGACACAGCAGGTATGTCCTCTGGGGGAATATTCCGAGAGAATCAGACTTGCCCATCATGGATAGGTCTTACAGAGAAGAATGATATAAACATTTCTTAAAAAGATTTATTTATTTTAAAGGCAGAGTTAGAGAGAAAGAGAGAGGGATCATCTTCTATCTACCGGTTCATTCCCCAAACATCTGCAACAGCTGAGGCTGGTCCAGGCAGAAGCCAGAATCCTGTAACTCCCAAGTACTTGGGCCATCTGCTGCTGCTTTCTCAGGCGCATTAGCAGGGAGCTGAATTGGAAGTGGAGCTGCCAGGGCTAGAACAGGTGTTCGTATGGGATGCCAGCTCACAGTTGGCGGCTTGACACCCTACACCACGCCAGCTCCTATGTGAATGTTTTCACCTTAGCATCCAAAGACTTGTTTTGCATTTGTTTTTCAAATAGTTCTCCTGCAATACACAGTTGCCAATTACTCTTTGTTTTAGAAGGAAACTGGAGAACAATTATTGTCACTGGTTAAATTTGAAGACTACCAGAGGCTCCTCAACTCACAATGGGGCTGTGTCCTGATAAACCCACTGTGAGGTTGAAAATGCATTGACCAAGGTGGGTCAGGCTGACCTACTTCCCATCCTACCTTAAACACGCTCGGAGCGTTTATGTTCACCTATGGTTGGGCAAAATCACCTAACACAAAGCCTATTTGATGGTAAAGTGTTGAATGTCTCTTGTCACTTATTTGAATATGGGGCTGAGAGTGAAAGACAGAATGGTTGTATGAGTATTGCTTCTGCACCACGGTCAAGTGAAAAACTCCTAAATGGAGCCTTCAAAATTTAGGGGCTGTCAGTGTTCTTACAGATAATGATCAAGGTCCAGAGTTTCATATTTACCCTGTCAGAACAGCGTTAAAGACAGATAAGTGTCAGTGGCAGGGAGTGGCGTGTTTATATCATCTGTTTACCTTGGACATTGTGCCCACGGCGTGATGATAGTGTCATGTGGCCTCTGAGACGGCTTGTAGGTGCAATCGGGTTGCCCCACTTCCCAGCCTCTTGCCTGTCAGGTCTTTCGGGCCTTAAACTGGTTCATGGTCCCATGGTCCCTGTCCTCAATTGATGAGTGATTGTTTCAATGAGAGTTACAAGGGACATGATGAGGTTTGGTCAGTAAAATTTAATTTATTTCAGGTATCTGCTTACCTGCACACAGCTTTCTCCGTTATTATATAGAGTAACTTAATTTTAATAACTCATTTTGTTTTCTACCTAAAGGAATAATATTTATTTTTGTAAGATATTTGGAATACCCAGAAAGGAGTAAAGAAAAAAAAATCCTCTACAGTCTAGGATTCCTGGTATCCAAAGATAACTTTTACAAAGGCAAGGGTACTACAAAAAGTTAATGGAAAATGAAATTTAAAAAGAATTTTGATGCAAAAATAATTTGAAATCCATACAAGGGATATTTAAAAAGTTCATGGAGACCATTTATGATTAGAAAACTATGCCTGGATATGGAAAGTCATTTGCACCAAAATAAACCCATCTTTCAATGGCGTTCTATTTTCCATGAATTTTTCGAAGCACCTTCATGTTCTGATCTATCTCCTTGCAGTTCCCCATCTCTAAACACAATGGATGTAATCAGGATCATTTGATGTGTATTTTGCATGTGTTTTCTAACTTCAAACCCTATTAATTATTTTCTCAAATCCTTTCCATTTTTTCTTCAGTGAGATGTTGTTGGCTGCATAGTACTCCACCTTGAACATGTTCCCATAATTATGGAATCGCCCCCTAGTCATGAACTTTAATTTTAAATAATGCTGCTATGTAGAGAAATTTCTGTGCATGTCCTCAATGGGATGCATTCCTAGAATTTATTTTCTGAGGTCAAGGGAGCTGTGTCTTTGCTACAATGTCAAGGCTGTTGCTCTGTGGTGTGGATTGGCTTTTTTCTCCCGTTTGCTTCCTGGTGAGATCGTCCGTGAGGACGGTATCCCCAGCACCTCGGGGCACACTTTAAAAGGCTCTGAACTCAGTAAGATGCATCGGTGCAGGCGGATGCTGTTGAAGACACCGGGCAGCAGACACCAGGGCCCCTGCCCTTCCTCGTGGTAACCGGCACCCATGCCCTCTTTGCAGGGTGCCTCCTCAAGTGTTCTGGCCACGGCCACTGCGACCCCATCACAAAGCGCTGCATCTGCTCCCAGCTGTGGATGGAGAACCTCATCCAGCGTTACTTCCGGGGCGGCGAGAGCAACTGTGGTGAGTGATGGGCGGGGCAGAGGCTCCTACCTAGCTTGGCAGCTGCCAGGTATCACCCCTTTCCTTACCTGAAGCCAGGTGAGCCTGCTCACTTGGGCACGAGCCAAGATCTCCCATGGTCCCCCTGCGGAGGTCTGTCTAGGGCCCCGGAGTGGGGAGACCTTTTTCTGCCAAGGGCCGTTTGGATATTTAAGACATCATTCACGGGCCGTACAAAATGATCGACCTAAAAATTAGTGTGCTGTCGATTGGTTGAACTTCGAATCCTGCCCACAGTTGCCTTGGCAGGGCCAGACCAAGCGAGTCGGTGGGCCTTAATGCAGCCCGCGGACTGGACCATGTTCCCCCACCCCAGCAGGCTTTAACATACAAATTCCCCCCAAGGAAATTCACTCTAGCAGCATGGATCCAGTTTCCCTTGCTAGCTTTTCTGAGAAAGCGCTGTTTTGCTGAGGATCAACCGTGACCCTGGGCGAAGGTGCTGGCTGGTGTGGACCTGCTGCGAGCAGAGGAAGAAGAGAATCTGGCCCCCTCTTCTAGGCTGTCTGCCCAAGCAGGAGCCAGGAATGGGTGTCACAGCCCCAGCAGGCCAGGCTGCTGCCTGAGGTCTGGTCTTGGGCTGAACTTGGGCGCAGGCTCCTTCTAAGGGGAGATTTGTGCCCGAGGGGATGCAGATAGATGTGCCCGGCAGAAGACACCATTGTAAGAGCCAACTGACATAGTCCCATGTAATACGACACAAAATTTGAAATCAGCCAGCTCTGGGATCCTGATTCCTGGAGCCGACAGAACACACGGCAGAGGGAAGCCTGGCGTTCGTGGCCTGGGTTCTCTGCACCTGCACTCTGGGTGTGAAGCTGTTCCCACTGCTATCTTGCAAGGAAGCGGAAGGAACAAAGAGCAGGCAGTTTCCCAACGGCTCCCCGGCTCTGAGAAGTGTCTTCAGGCCATGGGCAGCCATGCGGTCACTTCGTTAGCTTTAATCTAAACCAGGCCAGAACCCTGTTGGCCGTTAGGGGTGTGAGTCGTGGGGTTCTGGAATCAACATTTTGCTGCACCATTCATGCGCGTGTCTGAGGCATTACTCCCTGGATGGTTCAGGCTATTTCAGTTCTGTTCTGAAGTCTGCATGCCACGTGTGTGCCATGAGGTGCCTGGGCCAAATGCGCAGGAAAATGGCAGTTTCTTGAGTTCTGTTCTGCTACCGGCCTGGAACGGGTGCTACCAGCATCACGGATGGCCTTTGCTTCTAAGAGCTCAGAGTACTCAGTGAGAACCATCAGAATAAAGTGGTTTTGCAAATAGCGAGTCAGTGCGTCTGCTGTGGTGTTCTTGTCTTTCAGAGTGGAGTGTATTCTATGTGACAGCGCTGGCTTGCCTGCTCACCGTGATGGCGGGAGGCTTAACGCGGGTTTGCATCTGCTGCTGCAAGAGGTACCTGGTGTGCTCGCTTATTTCTTCCTGTGACATCAAAGTGTTTGCTGGGGTTTGTTCAACCACTAGGCTATCACCTTTTTATGACAACAAACTAGACTTTAATAGTGCTTTTTAATGCACTTCCGACCGCAAGGCAAACGTGCCCAGAGAACGGGAACGATACTGCAGGCAGCTTTTTCCATTGGAGCGTTCTTACTTTCCAGGAGGTTCCATGGGTCTGTATCAAAGCTGGTGTTATTCTCCAGCAAGGTCACACCGTGTTCACCAGAACAGGACCTGAATGGCCTTGCAGGGTCCCTTAGAGGAGTGGGTGCTAGAAGCAGCTACACTGCTTCTTGGAACGCTGGAGTAGCCACGTTGGAGTGCCGGTTCGAGTCCTGGTTGCTCTGCCTCTGATCCAGCTCCCTGCTGAAAATGCACCTAGGAAAGTAGCAGAGGATGGCCCAGGTACAAGGGCCCCGGCACCTACATAAGAGACCTGGAGGGGGTTCTTGGGGGCCTGTCTCAAGCTTGGCTCAGCCCCAGCTGTTGGGACCATTTGGGGAATGAGCCAGTGGATGAAAAATCTCTCCCTCTCTCTATCTCTCCCTTTCCCTTTCTCTCTTTCTATCACTCTGCCTTTCAAGTAAATAAAAACACAACTTTAAAAAAATTTTATGAAAAGAAGTATCCTGGTACAAACTGTAAGATTTAGTTATATTATTTTTTTAAAGATTTATTTATTTATTTGAAAGTCAGAGTTACACTGAGAGAGGAGGGGCAAAGAGAGAGAGAGAGGTCTTCCATCTGCTGGTTCACTCCCCAGATGGCCGCAACAAACTGTGCTAATCTGAAGCCAGGAGCCAGGAGCTTCTTCTGGGTCTTCCATATGGGTGCAGGGGCCCAAGGACTTGGGCCATCTTCCACTGCTTTCCCAGGCCACAGAAGAGAGCTGGATCAGAAGTAGAGTAGCCGGGACTAGAACCGGTGCCCATATGGAATGCCGGTGCTTCAGGCCAGGGTGTTTACCCACTGTGCCATAGCACCGCCCCTCCTTTTTTTTAAACTCTTTTTTAAAAGATTTTATTTATTTATTTGACAGAATTACAGACAGTGAGAGGGAGAGACAGAGAAAGATCTTCCATTTACTGGTTTATTCCCCAAGTGGGCTCAATGGCCAGGGTTGGTCCAGGTAGAAGCCAGCAGCAGGAATCGCCTCCTGCTCTCCCTCACGGGTACAGGGTCGAGCACTTGGGCCATCTCTCTCTTCCCAGGCCACAGCAGAGAGCTGGATCGGAAGAGGAGCAGCTGGGACTAGAACTGGTGCTCGTATGGGATGCCGGCACTGCAGGTGGAGGATTAACCTACTGTGCCACAGCGCCTGGCCCCTGTGATGGGTGCTTTCAAATCATCCTCTGTAGCACAGGACAAAGCACCAATGTAGTTTTCATGTGTTGTGGGGAAACAAACAAACAAACAAAAGACCATACTGGGTTGTCGCTAAGGAATTCTGGGAATTATGACTTCTGGTGCTATTTCATGACATCTTATTATGCTTGGATCTTTGAGCAGTCCAGGGGAAAACTGGCTCATCCAGGCTTTTTCTTTTTTCTTTTTTAAAGATTTATTTATTTGAGAGAGAGAGAGAGAGAGAAAGAGAGAGAGAGAGAGATCGTCTTTCCCTGGTTCACTCCCCAAATGACTGCAGCAGCCAAATGGCCAGGCCAAAGCCAGAAACCTGGATTTCCACACAAATTTCCCACATGGGTGGCAGGAGCCTAACTCCTTGGGCCAGATCCCCTGCTTTCCCAGGCGCATTAACAGGGAGCTGGATCAGAAGTGGAGCAGCAGGGACTCAAACCGGGACTCGAACCAGCACTCACATGGGATGCTGGTGCTGCAGGCAGTGGCTTAACCTACTGTGCCCCAACCTAGGTGTTCCTGAGTAGGAGTAGCTCGTGGAGACGGTTCCAGGGTCAACACACAGGTGAGGGCTTTAGCTAGGAGGGCAATAGTGGCCTGGCCACCACACCGCCTGTTTCTTCAAGATGCATTTCTGTAAGATGGCGTAAGTGCCACTGAGTTCTGGGGCGTCATGAATAAAAGATGCCAACTATGACTCAGCACAAGCAAAACGTTCTCCCTAGTGCCTTCTGGGTGTGTGTATGGTTTATTTTTATTTTTATTTTTATTTTTTTATTTTGGACAGGCAGAGTGGACAGTGAGAAAGAGAGACAGAGAAAAAGGTCTTCCTTTGCGTTGGTTCACCCTCCAATGGCCGCCGAGGCCGGCGCACCGTGCTGATCCGAAGCCAGGAGCCAGGTGCTTCTCCTGGTTTCCCATGGGGTGCAGGGCCCAAGCACTTGGGCCATCCTCCACTGCACTCCCTGGCCACAGCAGAGAGCTGGCCTGGAAGAGGGGCAACCGGGACAGAATCCGGCGCCTCCACCGGGACTAGAACCTGGAGTGCCAGCGCCACAAGGTGGAGGATTAGCCTAGTGAGCCGCAGCGCCGGCCCTATGTGTTTTCAATCCTGGCCCCTAGACACCTCTCTGAGAGCTTGAGTTGAACTTTGCGTTATTCCTTTCAGACGGAAAAGGACAAAAATAAGGAAAAAGACAAAGTACACCATCCTGGATAACATGGACGAGCAGGAAAGAATGGAGCTGAGGCCCAAATACGGTAAGGCCGTCTCTAGGGAGGCGTCCCCCCGTTACCTTGGGTGAGCTGGAGAATGCCGGCTGCAGGTGGCGCTGTGCCTGGGAAGGGGTACGTGATGGAAGCAGTCGGCTGCAGTACCGGGGCTGTGCGAGCGGGGGCGGTAGCTGCGCTGCGGCATGGATGGGTGAGGCATCTGCAGTGCCTGTTGGGAACAGTGTGCCTGCCAGATGAGCACAGGGACGGGGACGGCTCTGTTCCACTCCTGGTTGGAGGAGGTGGCGCTGTTTCACCCCAGCTGCTCCCCTGAGGTCTCCCGGACCAGAAATGCAGCCAGAGGTCTGGTGCCTTCAAGCCTGTCCCAAGTGGCTACAGTAACCAGTGCTTTTTGCAGGAAATTGGCTTTCTTTACAAAAAATGCGGCTCCCTCTGCTTGCTGTCTGCTCGCACCCACCTCAGGATTGGCGGTGCGATCGCTCTCAAAGCTGGGAGATGCAAAAACGGGCCCAGGGCCAGCGTGGAGCACCTGCTCCCCCCGCCCCACGCCACAGATGAGGTGGGGGCCTGGAGATGGGACAGCAGTGACGCCCAGTGCCATTGCCTGCCTTTGCAGGTGCTCTCGGCCCAGGGGAGCCACCCTGGGGTGCAAGGAGTGCTGTGGGATACTGAGGCTGGAATGGCCGACTCTGTCTGAAAATGGAATTCAGGGCTGTGGCAGGAAAAGCTTCACAGGAAATCCAAATGGCACCTGTGTGCGGAGTTGAATGGCAGAGGTGTTGTCGCGTGACTTTACGCCTCAGCGCTCAGTGATACCGTCTGAGCCAAGACTAATATTTCAAGTTCGTGTCCCAAGCGTAGAGAAGCATCCTAAACTTAGACATGGACAAGCCAGGCAACATGGTAAAACTCAGAATTTCTTTAGGGACGTGAGGGCTTTATTTAAGGGAGAGGGGCGGTCAGAAAGATGAACAGGGGGTTCGGACCAGGAAGAGGGCAGATCGGGGCCACGTGCGCGAGTCCACAGGCTGGAGAAATCGCAAGGGCTGGAGTGGCCACAAATACGTGCGGTGCGCAAGTGAACGGGGAGCGAACTGGGAGAAGCCGCCAAATGGCCACAGGCCTGGGAGCAGGGGCCAGGCCCAGGGCACTCCACGCCTTTTATTCACTTCCGAAAGGGGCGTGGTTACGTAGTCTAATTGGCAGGGGATGGATACAGGTGGGATCACACAGGGGGCGTGGCCTCTAGCACCAGCTCTCAAATCTAATCCTATCTGCCTGCCCACATCAAAAGTGCTTTAGGTTGTGTGACCTTACCTGCCTCCTCCAGATACACTCCCCCTCTGCCCTGCCCCTCTCTACTCAGAGAAAGCCCATCTTCTGATGACCCAGGGTTGAAACCTGGGGCGCCGGGGCTCCGCCTTGCTCCCTGCTAGCCACCTCATCTTGCTTGTTTCTTACCCTACTTCCTCATCGGCGTCATCACCACCCAAGCTCAGAGCTTCTAGTCCCAGCAGGAAGAATGATGGCAGGTGGCAGGTGTTTCATGTTTAGCATGGACTGGGTACCTGTTTGATTCTAATTCTATCCAAAACCCCATGAGGCATGTACTATGACTGTACCCATTTTACAGACAAGGAAACTGAGGCACGGAGCAGTTTAGCTGGCTGCCCAGGCCACAGCACGGTGTGTGCTCAGCGTGGCTGGAGCAGGCCTCCCGCATCAGGACCTGGGCACCCTCCTTCGGCGTGCACCGCCTTTGGCTTAGTCTGTTAGGCAGCTGTCACAGAATCCCACAGACGTTTGTTCCCCTGTTCTAGCGGCTGGATGTCAGACTCAGTGTGGTGAGGCCAGCTCCTCCTGGGGCCGCCTTCTCATCGCATCTCCCTCGGTGGAAGGGGCACAGCAGTTCCTGGGGGGCCCTTGTACAAGGGCTTTACCCCTCTGAAGGCCCCACCCCTGAGCACGCTCACTCCGGGGTCAGAGTTCAGAGCAGGGCTTGGGAGGGCTGCAGCATCGGGATCTCTGCAGGGACCTCTCAGCCTGCACACTGTGGTTTTATTCACGTCTTAAAGCAACATTTTGTGCGATTCCTCTTCTCAGATACAATGCCCAGTCTAGGGTTGCCCCTGCACCCATGCCGTGTTTGTCCTGTGGTCTCTGGTTCATCATTTCCTGGACGCCTCTGCTTGCCCCATGCCCCCGCCCCACCTTGTCCTATTGTCCATGTCCCCCTCTTCCCTCGAACCCCATCCTGTGGGGAGCACGGCTGGAGCAGGCCCAGAACACGCGTGTTCTTCTCTCCTTCTGATTCCTGTAAGAGCCATTTCTTTCTTTCTTACCTGTCAGGGGCCGTCTTCTCATGGGTCCACACCTTACACCCCAAGCTAGACAACTGCAAGTTCTTTGAGAGCCATCATCAAATCTTACACTCATTTCTGGCACCCAGAAATCAGATATTCAACCAAAAATAGCTGCTTGAACTGAATAGTCAAATCCCAGCCACTTCCATTTCTTGGCGCGATGGGCCCAGTGCTCGACCCAGAGCTTGGCTCATACTATCTCGTTTAATCCTCACTAGAAACACAGCAGGCAGATGTCTCATTCTCTCCCAGCTTCATTGATGAGGCTGACATGCCAGTGGAGGCTTCGTGCCCAGGGTCACACGGCTGGGGATTGTCGTAGGTGGGACAGAAGCTCAGGTGCGGTGCCCGAGCCTCCCTTCTCACCCACGGGATGCCCAGCGCCTTGCCGTGCTGGGGTGACTGCCTTGAAGGTGCCAGAGCTCAACACCACGCCCTCGGTGCCCCGTGCCCTGATTGACAGCTGGCAGGGAAGGCGGGACTTCTCCTAAGACGGTTCTGTCTGCCTCTCCGCAGGGATGAAGCACCGAGGCACAGAGCACAGCTCCAGCCTGATGGTGTCTGAGTCTGACTTTGACAGTGACCAGGACACCATCTTCAGCCGAGAAAGGATGGAGAGGGGGAACCCCAAAGTGTCCATGAACGGCTCTGTCAGAAATGGGGTCTCCTTCGGGTACTGCTCCAAAGACAGGTAAGGGAGCAGCTGGAAGTGGAAGGCCCTGCACAGGAACCCTGGAACCCAGGACCTCGATTGGCAGCGAAAGCTGTGAGTAGTGCAGCCTCATCCTCCCACAGTGGCCTGGACCTGTGCTCTGCTAATTAAAGGGCCTGTGTGCTCGGCGGCAGAAAGCAAAGCCAAAATACTGCTCCTTTAACTGGATTGCTTGCCAGTAGGAATGAGAACTGGGTAACGCTTCATGCACTTAAAAGACTGCCTGTCTTGTAGCTGGTACAATATTCTATTGCCCGTGTCAAAATACAGATGAACACCTGTTTCTATCTGTGGCTTCTTAGGAAAGACTCCCTTTGAACCAGGGCTCGGTGAGGGCTGAGTTTTCACTAGGTATCTGTATGTACCTCTAAGGCAAGCTTTCCAAACACGGTTTCTCTTGTTGAGCCTGCAATCGGACGGCTGTGTGTATGGAAAGGGGTTATTTGGGAGGCCTGCATCACCCCTTGTGCAGCGAGCGTTCTGTGCTGACCACAGCATCCACGTGCTGTGTTTTCATTATGGTACTTGACTGGCGAGTGGCAGAAGTAAAAAGTTGATGTGTGTGATTTTTGTAAAACAGTTTCTTTGCTTATGCGTACGCCTTGTGCACAGCTAACCAGTTCAATGCTAGTTATGGCACTAGGAGGAAATGTGATACTTTTTACCCCAGTGTTTGGCTTCATCATCTCAGAATCTGCCCTTGCTAGTGCCCAGGGCTGCGTTGCTTTTGTGCACGCCAGGTGGCAGCCCAGGTATGAGCCTGATGGTGGAGAAAGCAGAAACCCCCTGCTTGAAGACTCGGACATACGCAGTGAGCGTACTCAAGTCGTCCTTAGGACCAGGAGAGTCTCTGTTCTCCGGTTGCAGAACGCCCTCTGCAGGCCTGGAGAGGTGCAGCAACTTGCCCCAGGTCCCAGCCAGCAAGTGGTGGCTCTGGGAACTGGGTGCAAACTTTATTTCAATGGAAGGATCCATGCATGCCACCTCCCCTCCCCTCCCGCCACTGCACAAAGAACCCTGGCTCTGGAGAGAGCTGGACCCCAGAATGTGGGGTCGGTCGGGCATTTGCAGGGCTTGCTGGTTGACATGTGCTTGCAGTCTCTGGTTTAGGTTCAAGGAAGGAAGGAGGATTCAAACCCACAGCGCTTGCGGGTTAAGCATGTTTATGTCTAAAGAACCTCCTGAAAAACATGCAATGGGATAAGACAATGGATGACCCAGTGCCAGCCGTGCTGCTCCCTTGGGCAGGGAGCAGGGGCGGCCCGGCCCCCAGGGACTGTGCTTTGTGTCTGGGTTTAGGTGCATAAGTGTATAATTTCCCCCAGGTGTCCGCAAGATGTCATTCCTAATATAACGCTATGAAATATTTGTACTAACCTAAATAACGGCATCTGGGCTTTCTGCAATGCGTAGTGAGATTTCAGGGAAAATGGGTTGTCTTCACGCTTCTGTGTGCAGGGATGGGGAACCTGTTTTTCTGCCAAGGGCCATTTGGACACTCATAACATCACCCGTGGGCCATGCAAAATTCTCGACTTAAAAAGAAGCCTGCTACAGATTGAATGACTTTCAAGCCTCACTTGTGGCTGCCTTGGCGGGGTTGGGCGGGGTGGGGGACAGACCAAACATTCCCCACCCCTGGGGGAGGGATTTCCCTTGAGGGTGGATCAGACACAACTGCCGGCCCCTGTTTTTGCACACCCCGAGAGCTCAACAAATGGGTGCGATGTTTTCAAATGGCTGAAACAAAGTCCAAAAAATATTTTGTAACACACGAACTAAATGAAACTCCTATTTGTGCTTATCAATAAAGTTTTATTGGAACACATCCATGTTCGCTGGTGTATGCTTTACTTAGGACTGTGTAATCGCTGAGTTGAGTAGTTTGCACAGGGTCTGTCTTCAATGCCCCCAAATGCTTACCATCTGGCCTATCAAAAAGTAGTTGCTGAAGGCTGGAGTAACAGCCCCTGCTCCCTGTGCCCTGAGAGCAACTGCACACTCCTAGCTCTGCCTGTCTCCTCTCTGCGCGGTTGGTGGCTCCCTAACTGTGGGATAGGCCTGGGGGTGCTGGGGGTGGGGGCCAGATTTCAAAGAGGGTGTACAGACCTCCAACTACATCCCCCAGTCTAGCTTTTTAACAATAATAAAGGCAACATTTTTTTAAAAAAGCTTATAGAGGAATAATTCACTGACAATAAACAACATGTATTTAAGGAGTCTGGTTTGATAAGCTTTTTTTTTTTTTAAGACTTATTTATTTGGGGACCGGCACTGTGGCATAGTAGGTTATGCCTCTGCCTGTGCTGCCTGTGGAGCTGGCATCCCATATGGGCGCCAGTTCGTGTCCCGGCCGCGCCACTTCTGATCCAGCTCTCTGCTAATGCTCCTGGGAAAACAGTGGAAGATGGCTCAAGTGCTTAGGCCCCTGCATCCACGTGGGAGACCTGAAGGAGCTGCTAGCTGGCTTTGGATTGGCCCAACTCTGGAACTCTGGCCATTTGGGGAGGAACCAGCGGATGGAAGACCTCTCTCTCTCTACCTTGCAAACAAATAAATAAATCTTTTTAAAAAGGGACTTATTTATTTGACAGAATTAGAGAGAGAGAAGGGGAGAGAGAGAGATCTTTCACTGGTTCACTCCCCAAATGCCCACAGTGTCTTGGGCTGAGCCAGGCTGAAGCCAGGAGCCTGAAACTCCATCTGGGTCTCCCATATGGGTGGTAGGGGCCCAAGCACTTGGGCCTTTTTCTGCTACTTTCCCAGGTGCATTAGCAGGGAGCTGAATTGCAAACGGAGCAGCCAGGACTCCAACAGGATGCCAGCAACACAGGCGGCAGCTGAGCCTATGGCCCCTGATTTGAAGAGTTTTGATGTGTGCACTCGCCTGTGGAACCATCACCACAGTCAAGATAAAAAACAGATGTCGAGGCCGGCGCTGTGGTGAAGAGGGTAAAGCTGCCGTCTGCAGTGCCAGCATCCCATGTGGGCACCGGTTCGAGACCCGGCTGCTCTACTTCTGACCCAGCTCTCTGCTACGGCCTGGGAAGAGGATGGCCCGAGTCCTTGGGCCCCTGCACCTGTGTAGGAGACCCGGAAGAAGCTCCTGGCTTTGTATTGGCACAGCTCCAGCCATTGTAGCCACCTGGAGAATGAACCAGCGGATGGAAGACCTCTCTTGCTGCTTCTGCCTATGCCTCTTTGTAACTCTGCCTTTCAAATAAATTAATCTAAAAAAAATGTCACCCCCAAACCTTTCCTCATGACACATCTTGTCTCTTTCCCCCCAGGTGAGCACTAGGATTAGCTTGAATTTCCCAGAGTTTATTATAAATGGAGTTGTTCCGCATATGACCACTGTTGGAGCTTTGCCCCCTTAACCAAGAAGCTGCCCTTTTGCAAGCTGTCATGTGCTATCCATCAGCAGCTTTGGTGGGGCGGGCCCTTGCTGTAGCTAAGAAGCTGGAGGGGGCATGGGCTCTCGGTGGCGAATGAGCTAAGTGGCTGCTAGTTCCTTGTCAGTCCTGTGGAGCTCCCTTAGTTTCCTGAAGACCCAAAGCATGCCCCAAATCTTGATCCCTGAGTGAGGATGATGTCCATTACTGAAACTAAAGGGATTTTTTAGGAAAAGCTTCCTTGGTGTAATGAGCTAAGCTGTTTCCTTAGCCCTCACCCCGGACCGCAGAACGTGCTGTGCCATGGGCTGATGGGGCTCAGTACGGCCACGAGGACGGGCCCTAAGCCATCAGACCGGTGGTGATACAGGACATGAGGACACAGAGGGACGGCCAGGTGAGGACGCGGGAGAAGACAGCATCTACAAGCCGAGGAGAGAGGCCTTGGCGGAAAGCAGCCCCGCTGGTTCTCGCACTTCCAGCCGCCAGACCTGGGAGGAAGAGGACTTCCTGTGGGTGAAACCCCTCAGGCTGCAGTATGGTGTCAGGCAGCCTTGGCAGACAAGGACACTGAGCTGGCTCTGAGTGAGGCCAGGACTGGGGCTAAGGCTCTCACTGGCGATGCTGGAGGGACGTGGAGCTGCTCCCTGGTGCGGGGCCCTCCCGAGAGCCCCGTGGCCTCTGCAGTCGTCCCACAGGGCATGTGCAGGGCTGCAGGGCCCCGTCCTGCTTACCGGTGTGTGCAGCGTCCATGAACTCACTCAGGGATGCAGACAAGTTTCTTAAAGAAGATGAGCAAAAGAAAATTTTTCCAAGTGACTTTCTTTTCAAAGCTGACTGTAAAGAGGTAGCAGGGGGGATTTCCATGGGGGGATGAAACAGTTCTATACCTTTCTTTTTTATATATATAATTAAAAAATTTATTTATTTGAAGGGCAGAGTTACAGAGAGAGAAGGAGAGAGAGAGAGAGAGAGAGAGAGAGAGAACGAGAATATCTTCCATCCACTGGTTCACTCCCCAAATGGTTGAAACAGCCAGGGCTGCGCCGATCCGAAGCCAGGAGCTTCTTCCAGGTCTCCCATGTGGGTGCAAGGGCCCAAGCACTTAGGCCATCTTCCACTGCTTTCCCAGGCCATAGCAGAGAGCTGGATCAGAAGTGGAGCAGCTGGGACTTGAACCAGTGCCCATATGGGATGCCAGCACTGCAGGCGGTGGATTTACCTGCTATGCCACAGCACCGGCCCCAGTTCTGTATCTTGACTGTGGTGGTGCTGCACAAATCTACCTGCTGGGTAGACACATGAAAACTGGGGAGATCAGACGAGGTCTGCAGTAACAGTGCAGCTGCTCCCTCACTTGGGAAGGGTTGCGTGCCTAAGCCTGTCCTAAGTGGAACATGCCTGGGATGCCCCTGACTTCCCACACATCGCAGCTCAGCCACTTGCTGCTCTAGAGCGGCGGGGTTTCCCCTCATGGCCCCGGGGATGGACGGGGGGAGCTGTGATCGCTGCCATGCCCGGCACCCCCAGGGAGGATCAAACCCCACAGGACTTACCCGAGAAGGAGGCAAATGCACACAACTCCAAGTGCAGTTGCTACCAAATGTGTATTAAGGTCTACTGCCTATTTTTGCCATTGTGTTAATTACGTATGTTAGCCACTGGGGGTAGCTGGGTGAAGGATATACAAGACTCTTATTTTTGCAACTTCCTATGAGTTTCTAATTATTTCAAAATAAAAGCTAAAAAGGTGTTGAAGGGAGAAAAGCCATATTCATTAGTAAAAGTGAAATACTAAGAGCATTTCTATTAAAATCAGGACTAACCCGGGAAAAAAACCCGCAAAGCCAGCATTTTTTCAAGTAACTGGTGCACAGGGCCTTGTGTGGTGAGCGGAGTGCATGTGAAGCCTGCATGTGAGCCCAGTCCCTGTCCCTGTCCCTGTCCCCTGCTTTGCAGGACTGAGTATCATCCCAGCAGGAGAGCACACATCCGCCGAGCCACGGGGGGATGCCCTCTGCAGACTAGGTAGCAGGCTACTCCTTCCACAGCTGACAGACCGTGACAGACAGGGTGGGTTACAGGAAAACCTGCAGGCTGAAGGTCAAAGGAAAGCATGGTGGCAGGGACATTGAGAGAGCTTTTCAAATTGGAGTTGGGAGGCCACGCAGGAGGCAGGACTTCCACCCGCTCCCAGGTGCTGCTCAGAGCATGGGCTTGGGTTGCCCGGACAAGGGCATCGTGCCTGGAGCCTCAAGACGGTTGTGCGACTCTTGTTTTTATGGACGTCCATTTGGCTTATGCATTCTTTCCTTATCTCCTGTCTTGTCTTGGAGCCCCTGTTCAATGTTTCTGCAAACATTCCCTCCACAGGCACCTGCACTGCTTTCAACTCCGCCCTCCCTGCCTTCCTCGGAACTCTAATTCAGAGCTAGGTGCACCTGTGCCTCCGGACTGTAATTCCTGAGACCCCAATTAAAGACCTTTTGCATTTTCTGAGTTTCAATTGATCAGCAAGGTGACCCAACTCCAAGCCTGTTTCCCTTCATTTCTAAACATTACAGGCAAATAGGCTATGCCTGTGGCCAGTCAACACTCTGAGACCAAGCAAGCTTCCCGGCCTTAACCAAGGAAAAACACATGGATTTTCTCTTTAATTTCATGTCAGCTCCGTCAGTAGGGAGCAGCAGCTGTAACAGGTGAGGACGTCCTGATAACTAGAGAAAAGATGACGGTGCATTTTGTTCTAAGAAGACGCCCCCCCCCCCCCCCCCCGTGAAATCCCACAAACTGAGAGGTAAGTAGCTAGTTTCTCCTGGTAACAAAGTCATTTAAAAAATAAAAAACGGGCTCAAAGACATGCATGAAATAAACGAGTAGCAAAAGGAGCTGTGCATTGCCACCACTCCCCAGCAGGAGCCTTGCCCTGTGCAGGGTCTGCTGGTACAGGCGGGCTCCATCAGGCCATAGGAAAGGTCTTAAAAGACAAGAACACTAGACGAAAACAGGAGCTCTAGGGTGGCTGCGGCTTGTCTTCCCAAACTTGACTTGAAATTTAACCCCTCTCTGAGAGACTAAGGGGTGGGACCAGGTGCGACCCTTAAGAGACGATCAGGACTCTGCCCTGGCGTTCGGATCGGTGGGTTAATGAGTTACCCCAAGCACCTGCGCGGTGAAAGCCGATTTGGCTGTGTCTCCCACGAGCTCCTGTGATGTCCTGTGCTGCATGGAGATGCCAGCGAGATTCAGCCTCTTCACCTTGGACCAGAACTGTGGGCCAACATGAACCTCTTTTTTTTTTTTTATAACCTCCTGGTCTGTGGCATTGTGATATTGGCAACAAAAAATGAGCTAAGACAATTACTAAAATTATACAAGTGTACCTTGCAAAGTTTGTGGACAAAAGGAATTGAAAGCTAGTGTGTGTGTGTGTGTGGGGGGGGTGACGCTGTGGTGTAGCGGGTAAAGCTGCCGCCTGCAGCGCCAGCATCCCATGTGGGCACTGGTTCGAGTCCCGGCTGCTCCACTTCTGAACCAGCTCTCCGCTGTGGCCTGGGAACGCGGTAGAAGATGGGCCACATGCTTGGGCGCCTGCACCCGTGTGGGAAGAAGCACTTGGCTCCTGGTTGGCATAGCTCCAGCCATCTAGAGAGTGCACCAGTGGATGGAAGATTCTTTCTCTCTCTCTGCCTGTCAAGTAAATAAGCCTTAAAAAATAAAGAAAGCAAGCTAATGTGTGGTGCGGGCATTGTGGTTCAGTGGGGATGCCCGCGTCCCAAATGCGAGAACTCAGGTCCAAGCCCTGGCTCTGCTTCCAGTCCCAGCTTCCTGCTAATGCACACTCTGGGAAGCAGCAGGTGATGGCAGCAGTGATTGGGGCCCTGCTACCCATCTGAGAGATCTGGATTGAATTCTGGGCTCTCTCGCCTCTCCCCCATCTCCCCTCTCTCCTCCCCCCTCCCTTCTCCCTGAAATAAAACCCAAGAAAAGTTAATGTGCAATTTCCATGAACAGTTTGAAGAGCTCTCGTACATATTGATTATATCTGCATATCAGGGTTTCAAAAAGCTTCTTCAAACTCGTCTGTGTTTAAAAAAAGCCTTGGAGGCCGGCGCCGCGGCTCACTAGGCTAATCCTCCACCTGTGGTGCTGGCACACCGGGTTCTAGTCCCAGTCGGGGCACCGGATTCTGTCCCGGTTGCCCCTCTTCCAGGCCAGCTCTCTGCTGTGGCCCAGGAGTGCAGTGGAGGATGGCCCAGGTGCTTGGGCCCTGCACCCCATGGGAGACCAGGAGAAGCACCTGGCTCCTGGCTTCGGATCAGCGTGGTGCGGCTGCGGTGGCCATTGGAAGGTGAAAGGAAGACCTTTCTCTGTCTCTCTCTCTCATTGTCCACTCTGCCTGTCAACAACAACAAAAAACCTTGGGAAAACCCGTGTCATGGGCACCAGGGGAGTGCGGGGAAGAGAGAGGTTGAGCCAGCTGGAGCACATTCCTTAATTATGCGCCGCTGCTGTGTGCCAGAGAATTCTTGGTTCAGTTCAGCAAACATCTGCTGAGTGGGAACCGTGGGGCACAGAACTTCCTGGCTCCCAGCCCATGGTGCTCACTGACAAGCAGCCCTGTGGGAAGGAAGCACTGGTTACACACAGCTGAAGTGGTCTAATGCAATGCTATAAAAACTCACGCGACAACCTGATAAGAAAAACCAACACAACCAGACACCTTAACCCAGGAACAGGAAATTCTGTTAATTGATCGTTTATTAATGACACACACATAGATAGGATCTGCTGATGATACATTGATATACACGACCATCAAAAACTAGAAAAATAAGTCATGTGCACATGCTTAAAAAAGCAAAGTGTTCCTATGTTTCCTGCTACACTTATGCCAAGTTTTATCCCCCAAAGTATAGCATGAAACAATCACAGCATTTATTTTATTCAAGTAAAATGCTACCAAATATAGCCGCACTTGGGTAAGTAAAACACTAGGATCCAGCGTTCAGAGAGAAAAGTCACGTGGCACAATGTCAGGTTCAGAGTGTCGGCTGACAGTAATTTACATTGTGCTTCTCGTCTTTGTTTTCACGGAGTCTCACCGTAAGCATGAAGGCAGACACACAGAGAGAAACAGCACTTCAAGTAAAATCTACTTAAAAACACTCACATGGTCGGGAAACAGATGCAGATCAGCTTTCCATAAGCCCTGTCTCGCCGGGACCCAGTTTGAAAAGCGCTTCTTTAAGGCCCACAGACTTGTTGTTTGGGTGGTTTGATGTGAGTCGCGTGGCGATGGCTGAGCAGTTCCTGCTGAGACCCCAGGGTAGCCCTGTTGCTACACAGGTGCTCAGGACACAAAGTACTGCCCAGCAGTCGTGGACAGGTTGCTCTCTCCCTCCTGGTCTAGACCGGAGGCTGGCAAACTTTGCCTTTAAGGAGCCAAACAGTAAATATTTTAGGCTTTGCAGGCCACACTGCTGCTCTTGTCCAACTCTGCCAAGCAGTGTCATGTGAGAAGATGGACACTCCCGAATCCACCTCCCTGGACTGACAGTCACCCAAGGGCAGTGTCACTAGTGCTGGATTTCTGCCTTTGACCTTGGTGGTCAGCTGGTGTGACCCAGGGTGTGGCTGTATTCCAATACCGTTTTACTTATGGAGCCTGGAATCTGAATTTCATAGAATTCTCATGTATCATAAAGCACTGTCTTGTTCTTTTTCTAACCATTTGAAAATAGCACAGTTCATAGCTATCGTGTTGGACAACACCAGGTGCAGGTCAGACCTGGCCTGTGTGTGTGATGTAGTTGTCAAACCATGGTCTCATGATCCTTTTCCATTTTGTGTGTGTGTGTGTGTGTGTATGTAAATCCCATCTAACACAAATGGTTACCTTATTGAAAAATAACCAAAAAAGTTCAACTTAAAAACACTTCTCTGTCTTCCCACCACCGGGGAACATTTTATTAAACAATAAGCTGTTTCCTTTCCAAGTTTTAATTACAGAATTGATCAAGGCTATGGCCTTGAGCCTCTGGCCCTAAATTTATCTAGAAAACAAAATATGCAGGAAAACTTAAAATTGGTCACCAAAGTAAGGACTCTGTTCCAAAGTCAAAAAATATGTTTGAAAAATATCTTCTACACAGCTTAGCATGGCTGTCTGACTTTAAAAACTAATGCCTGAAATTCTGTATTCTTAATAGAAGAAAATGGACACACCCAGATTTCAAGTACTTAGATTAAAAGCCACCCAAGGATGACACCAGTAGAATAGAAATTGAGTGTCATCATGGCAGGGATGGGACCCCTGCCAGTGCTGGGTGGTGTCACCAGCAGGCAGGTGTCTGCTCCCCTCTCCCTTGACCTTGGTGATCAGCTGGTGTAAGCCAGGCCTCAGGGAAGCCAGCGCCAGCCTGGAGGTGCCCCTGTGTGCCGTCAGCTACTCAGCCAGCTCCCCAGTGGCTCATGGAGGGCTGCTCAGTGCTGTGTGGGGCTCAGGGGTGATTGTAGCCAGCACTACTTTCTTTTTCTTTTTTTTTTTTTGACAGGCAGAGCGGACAGTGAGAGAGAGACAGAGAGAAAGGTCTTCCTCTGCCGTTGGTTCACCCTCCAATGGCCGCCGCGGCCGGCGCGCTGTGGCCGGCGCACCGCGCTGATCCGATGGCAGGAGCCAGGAGCCAGGTGCTTTTTCCTGGTCTCCCATGGGGTGCAGGGCCCAAGCACTTGGGCCATCCTCCACTGCACTCCCTGGCCACAGCAGAGAGCTGGCCTGGAAGAGGGGCAACCGGGACAGAATCCGGCGCCCCGACCGGGACTAGAACCCGGTGTGCCGGCACCGCAAGGCGGAGGATTAGCCTAGTGAGCCGCGGCGCTGGCCACCAGCACTACTTTCACCCGCTACGTGGCACATCCACGGAATGAGAGTGGGGTCTACACACTGAGACTGGGGAAGAGGAGGGAGCTTCCTCTGTGCCCCTGTGGCCAGGATCGGCCTTTATCCCCGTGGGCATGGGTGACATGTCTGGAGGAGCCTCGGACTTTCTTAGAGGTTTTATTTAAGAGTAAGAGCCAACACTGTCATGGAGTTTTTGTGTCTTGTGTGTTGTTTGCCTGCTGAACTGTCCACAAATTTTAGATTAACGCTGCCTGAAATGCAAGGCTCCATGCCCCTTCCGCAGGGTGGACTGGCAATTATGGAAATCCTTTTCCTTTTGGGGCTGCTGTGGTGAGCACAGGTGAAGGGGCAGCTCCACCCCCAGTGCACAGCAGGCCGCATACAGCCGGCGGGCAGGTGGGCCTGGCTTCCCTCGGCGGCAAGGCCCCTGCTGACGTGTGCAGGGCATCTGGGTGGCACGGCTCATAGCAACGATGGCTCCCTTCCCGACACAGGATCCCCATCTGAGGCTGAATAAGGCCTATGGAGGATGGTCACCGCCCACATGGGGTGGGAGGTGCTGAGTGGTGGGACCACAGTGACAGGGCTGCCCAGGGAAGGGGCCAGGCAGGGTCCCCCTGCGCCTGCCTTACTACCAGGCTACTTCTGCTCTCTATGATTACGCTCAGGCCCTCAATGAACTCCAAAGCAGACACTTTAGGATGATGAAGACTTCAAATGGAAGAGTGGTCCAGAAACCGGGCGAGGCACCGCTTCGCTCCCCACAGCAGCTCTGTGCTCTTTCAGAAGTGGCTAAACAAAAGCCTGACTTAGCCCCTGCAGAGACACCTCTGCACACACCCTGCCTAGCCTTAGTGGTGAGCTGGCCGTGCCCCCGCCCCAGCCCTCAGCCGTGCCCGGGGAGTCTCTCAAAGCCCCAGGGCCCACATGTGGGGCCAACCCTTGCTCTAGAGATGGATGGGGTGGTGCCACGGGCCCAGGGCGTCTTTCTAGGAACCCTGTGCTGGCCATCCTGGAGAGCCCAGCCGTGGGCACGCTGCGTGCGTCGGCCCCTTGTTGGGAGAGGGCAGGGGTAGGATCTGCATCTGCTTCAGATTACAGGGACTGGATGAGTTCTAAAAAAGTCATCATTCCGAGAACCTACGGTTTCACAAAACAGGTGGCAGCTCCCCGTTCGTGCGGGCAAGCCTCCCTCTTTATTTTCCAGGGGACCGAGGACTCCTACAAGCCCCCGTGACACACGTACTTGACCTCCAGGTACTCGTCAATGCCGTACTTGGAGCCCTCCCGGCCGAGGCCAGACTGCTTCACCCCCCCGAAAGGGCACTCCACGGAGGAAATGAGGCCTTCGTTGACGCCGACCATGCCCACCTCCAGCTGCTCGGCCACTCTCCAGATCTGCGCTGGGTCTTGAGAGTAGAAATAACCTGTGTGGGGAGAAGAGGGCGCGTAGGGTACGCGTTGCATGAAGACCTCACGGCCACAGCTGAGGGTGCTGCAGGCAACTCCTTGGTCACCCAGGGCCTCGAGTCCTCCTGGCTCCCACGCAAGCTGCTGTCCTTGGTCCTGCCCACGCCTATCTATCTTGATAACGCCCAGGTCATCCTTGGCCAGCACTCACTGTCCCTCATCAGGATGGTCATATGGCCTCCCCGGCTTCTGCGTCCCACTCTCTGATCCACCTGCAGGCTGTGGTCAGACTTCCCCACGACTTTTCTGCCCAAGCCTTTCAATGGCTCCTGACTACAAAATGAAGCAAAATTCCATAGTGGGCATTCAAACCCTACCATGGTTTTGATCAGTATTTTCAGCTTTGCCTTCTAGTGCTTCAGTCACCAGCCACCATCTCCAAAGTCGCCCAGATTCTCCTCACTCTCCTCTGACCACCCCCAGTCCCTTCTGCCAAGACAGAATCTTGCCCACTGTGCCGGTTCGAGTCCCAGCTGCTCCACTTCTGAACCAGCTCCCTGCTAATGTGCCTGGGAAAGCAGTGGAAGATGGCCTGAGTGCTTGGGACCCTGTCACCCACATGGGAGACCTAGAAGAAGCTCCTGGCTTTGGCCTTGCTCAGCCTTGGCCATTGCAGTCATCTGGGGAGTGAACCAGCAGATGGAAGATCTCTCTGTCTCTGTAACTCTGCCTTTCAAATAAGTATTTTTAAAATAATTTTTAAAAATATTTTATTATTTGAGAGGCAGAGGTATAGACAGAGGAAGAGACAGAAAGAGAGAGAGGTCGTCCATCTGCTGGTTTACTCTCCAAATGACCACAATGGCTGGAGCTTGGCCATTTTGAAGCCAGGAGTTTCTTCTGGGTCTCCCATGTGGGTACAGGAGCCCAAGCATTTGGGCCATCCTCCACTGCTTTCCCAGGCCATAAACAGAGAACTGGATTGGAAGAGAAGCAGGCAGGACATGAACTAGTGCCCATATGGGATGCCAGCGCTGCAGGCAGAGGCTTAGCCTACTATGCCACAGTGCCGGCCCCCCAAATAAGTAAGTCTTTAAAAAAAAATCCTGCCCACCATTTATAACCCAGTTCAGGGCATGGCTTCCTTGGGCCACAGAGAAGAGAAGAAAGACGCTCCCAACTTGATGTTGTGGCAGCCCTGTGCAAGCCCAGCCTTACTGTCATGGAGCGCGCCACACGGGGTAAGGGACCCCATGCCACGCGTGCCTGTCCTCTTGCAATCAACAGCTCCCTTACATCCGGAAGGTGACTTCTGTAGAGCCGTAGCTGACCGTGGATGTCTCCATATCTTCTGCAGTGTTTCACTCCCTCTGGGTGCTAATACATGGTTTTCCCAGGGCTAGAGGGCATGTCCTCTGGCCACCTTGACCATCACCAAGCTGGAGGAGAGGCAGCCACTGGGGGAGGCCTCCCTGGCACTCGCTGTCTCCACAGCTCTGTTGGCCCGGCATGCTCTGCCCTTGCTCCAGGGCTTCCTCCTCGCCCCTGATCAGTCACGATGGAAGAGAAAGCACTTGGGATGTCTGGGCATTGAGCCTCTGAGAACACGGGCCTGAGGCAGTGGTTGTGATCCTCCACCGAGGACAATCTGTGCTCTCTCTTCCCCACACTGCACCCACGCCCAGCTCTAAACAGAATGTGTGTCACAGGGGATGAGCCTAAAGGATACACACTTGCACAAAACCACCTCTGCCACTTGGAGAGCAGCAAAACACACTCCGCTGGGGTTTCTGGGAACCCAGGGCAGCGTCTGGCGCGAGCTGAAGAATGTAATTACGAGTGTCGTTGAGTGAGGACGGGCACGCACCTGCTAACCCCACATCAGTGGCATTGGCGATGGCTATGGCCTCCTCTTCAGTATCAAACCTGCCAAAGTCAACACAGGTCATAAGCAAAATCTTTAAGGCGAGGAGTAAAGAAAACCAGCTTCCTGAAAGGACTTGGGGCATAGGGCTGAGCACTTGCAAATCAACATGGCAAACAGGAAAAAAGGCTGGCAAGTCGGGAAGACAATACCAGACCAATCCCCTGGACAAAGGGATCACTGTTCTTGGTACCTACTAAGACTGACGCTACTTTAGAGCAAGCATAATGTGGTGGAAAGACAGCGGCTCAGAGGAGGTGGCTCCCTCACTTCCTACCCTCTATCACCACCTAGGTGCTTGGATGCAGCTCTGGAATGTCTCTACCAGTTTATTTCAGGAACAAGACTTGAGTGGTATTTTGGTTGCAGCACCTGATCTTTTTTTTTTTTTTTGACAGGCAGAGTGGACAGTGAGAGAGACAGAGAGAAAGGTCTTCCTTTGCCGTTGGTTCACCCTCCAATGGCCACCGCGGCCAGCGCGCTGCGGCCCGCGTACCGCGCTGATCCGATTGCAGGAGCCAGGTACTTATCCTGGTCTCCCATGGGGTGCAGGGCCCAAGTACTTGGGCCATCCTCCACTGCACTTGCCCCTCTTCCAGGCCAGCTCTCTGCTGTGGCAAGCACCTGATTCTAACTTCAGAGATCTGCCAGCAGGGGGAGCAGCTGTCTCGCTGATTTTGCAAGACACAGGGGCTGAAGTGGCGGGGCCTGAATCCATGCCCACTGCCCCGCCAGGGCCTGAGTCCTGACACGGGAGCCTCCCAGGAAGAGACCACAGTCTCCCTGCAGATGTGATCAAAGTGGCATTCCAGGCAAATAATTTTATTGTAACAACACTGAGGTTCTTCTAATGGTCCACGTCCTCAGTGGTGGAAAAACAGACGGTCTTAGCAAGAGGGTAACGAGGCTAGCACAGTATGTGATGACAAGGCTTTGTGATCCTGGACATAGTGGCACAGCCAGCCCCAGCTTCCAGCCTGCCCTGTGCTCCCAAGGCCAGAGATGTCAGAGAGCACACAGAGAGCCACAGCTCGAAGAAACCACCATCAGCAACCAACACCAAAAGTGCAAGAACCCCTTGAGAACAAGAAGGTGGCTGGATCCTAGAGGGATGCAATAGTGTTAAGATGGGGAGAGCTGGGCAGGAGCTCCAGGGGGCCCAAGGAGCCTGGGCTGCAGCTCTCCAGGCACCCCTGGGAATTTTGGGTGATCCTGCCCACAGACGTGAGTCCCTGGACCCACGCTAAGTTGCTGTGGTGCAGTAGAGCAGCAGGCCCAGTGTGGCGCAGTGAGAGACCCAACTGGTGTCCAAGCCCCCACTGGCACAGGAACTGCCCAGAGCAAATGCAGGGCCACTGGCAGCCTCTTCTCATTCTAGTGTAAAATACCCAGGAGCCAAGGCTACCTGGGCGGGGGAGTGAGTGAGCAGCGACACTGGGTTCTATTCCTGGAAGCACCCTCTCTGAGGCTCAGCCCCAGGCCTTCCCAGTGCCATCTAAGGTCTAAACTCCCGCCGGAGATATTTCAGGCCAAGGTTGCTAACAACTCAAAGGCCAAAGACAAGATCACGGGGAAATTACAAGACGCCCAAGGACTCCAAGAAAGACAACAAACACCACGACCTATGCTGGAGGAGGCAGAAACGTGATGGTCCTTTAAAAAGTCTGTGGAAAATAGAATTAAAAGTTTATTTTGATGCAAAATATTTCAAAGTTATGTATTGTCTTTCCACAATAGGCATCTGCCCCAAACTTTTGAAAAACCCCACATGTGTCATTTCAAAATTTGCACCAAAATCAACTCTTTCCCATGACTGGTGTGAAGTACCTTTGCAGGACAACAGAATAAAAATAGAAGGAAGGGACAAATATGCAAAGCAGGAGAAACCAACCAGAGAGATCAAAGATGCACAAAACTGGGGCCTGCACTGTGGCATAGGAGGTAAAGCTGCCACCTGCAGTGCCCGCATCCCATAGGGGCGCTGGTTTGAGTCCAGGCTGCTCCACTCATGATCCAGCTCTCTGCCATTTCCTAGGAAAGCAGTGAAAGATGGCCCAAGTGCTTAGGCCCCTGTACCCACGTGGGAGACCAGGAAGAAGCTCTTGGCTCCTGGCTTTGGATCGGCCCAGCCCTGACCACTGTGGCCATTTGGGGAGTGACCTGGTGGATGGAAGACCTCCCTCTCTGTCCACTGTGATCTAAATAAGTGATTTTTAAAAATCTCATTAATTAAAAAAATACCATAAATTGAACTCTGCTTTTCTGTTAACTCAGCACGACTCTGCCTCTCTGACCTGCCCACTCTTCCCCACCCACCCCTCAAAACCGCACGAGACTTCCTGGCCAGGTTGCCTTTTTCTTTCCTGTGTTTTCGCCCGGCTCCTCCTGGCTGAGTGATCTTACTTGATAACTGGCGCCAGGGGCCCGAAAGTCTCTTCCCGGGAGCAGAGCATGTCCTGGGTGACACTGCTGAGCAGGGTGGGCTCGAAGAAGTTTCTCCCCAGGTGGTGCCGCTTCCCGCCTGTCACAATGGTGGCCCCCTTAGAAACGGCATCATTCACCTGTTTCTCCACCTGCATGACGAGAAAAAGAATTCTTGGGAGGTCAGTTGAGGATGTCTGTCTGCAGGAAACTATGTGTGGTTTTCTTTTTAAGTAGGTTAAAGACAAGATGCCCTGGTTCCTTCCAGAGAGAGAGAACCACGCGGGCAGAGCTATACAGAGGTGATGAGAAGGCAGCAGGTGCACGGACAGTGAGGGCTTCATCCCTGCCCTCTGACCCTCCTGTGTCTGACCTTAGTTTGTGTCGAATGGTCTCACACTGTTGACCCCTTCCTGGGTGTGTTGCTCCCTTGTTTTCCTGGGATGTGCTCTCATAGCACTCTGGGCTTAGTCCTGGTTTGTCGTCCTACACTGTTCTGATATAGTCTCAAGTATAGTTATGCACCACTTACTGAAGTGTTCCAGGAAAGGCACTGTTCTTGTGTGACTATCCTAGCATGTTCTTATACAAACCTAGATGGGATTGCCTAGGACACAGCTGCAGTGTGTATGTGTGTGTGTGCGTGGTGTAGCCTACCGCTCCTGGGGCCTTCATCAACACAACACCACAACATCAATGCAGCACAAGAGAAAAGGATGCAGGCCAGAGATGCGGTGAACACGATTCACACGAGGCTGCTGCTGGCGCAATAACACGGCATACAATTTCACAAGCAGGCATCCACTCTCGCATTATGACAAAATTTGGGGCTGGCATTAGGTATAGCAATTAAGATGCAACTTGGGGGCCAGTGCCGTGGCACAGTAGATTAATCCTCTGCCTGCGGCACCAGCATCCCATATGGGTGCCGGTTCTAGTCCTGGCTGCTCTTCTTCCAGTCCAGCTCTCTGCTATGGCCTGGGAAAGCAGTAGAAGATGACCCAAGTCCTTGGGCCCCTGCACCCGTGTGGGAGACCAGGAAGAAGCTCCAGGCTCCTGGCTTTGGATCAGTGCAGCTCCGGACGTTGAGGCCAACTGGGGAGTGAACCAACGGAAGGAAGACCTTTCTCTCTGTTTCTCCCTCTCACTGTCTGTAACTCTGTCAAATAAATAAATAAAATCTTAAAAAAAAATAAAAAAGATGCAACTTGGGACATTCATATCCCAAACAGCAGTATCTTGGCTTGAGTCCCGGCTCCACTCCCGATCCCAGCTTACTGCGAATGCACATTCCAGAAGGCAGCAGGTGACGGTTCGGAGACTTGCGATCCTGCCACCCCCATGGGAGATGCACACTGAGTTCTGCACTCCTGGCTTCAGCCTTGCTGCTGGAGAGCAAACCAGTGGATGGGAGACAGCTCTCAAATCAATCAATAAGAGTACACCATAACCAGTCATTTGCCCTCGTTATCAAGGACTACACACTGTACATAATTGTACGTGCTATACTTTTATGTGTCTGGCAGCACGGTAGGTATGGTTACATCACATTCACACACTGCATTATGGTGGCTACATTTGGGTAGGTGATAGGTTTTCAGCTCCATTTTTTCTTTCTTTCTTTTTTTTTTTTTTTAAGGTAAAGGGTTTATTGGGGGAAACCTGACAGACCAGAGGGAAGGGGCAGAGAAGGAAAAAGAGGGCGTAAGAGATCAAGAGAGAAAGCAAGAGAAAGATCAAGAACTCCATTTTTTCTAACGGGACCACCGTGGTACATGCAATCTGCCACTACCGGAACTGTTACTCAGTACATGATGTTGCTTTGAAACTGCTGTGTGGAAATGGCTTTATCTCTGAGTTTTCTTGCACCGTGTATTGATGTCTTGTCTTGTACTCTACCTGGCTGATAATATCACTGATTACAGAATGCTGATATAAAATAATTTTCCCTAAGAACTCTGAGTGCTTCTCCACTTCCGTAGAGGAAAAGTCTGAGGGAAAAATGGATCTCACTCCTTGTGGGATAGCTCTGTCCTCTTCTGGAATCTTCCAAGGCCTTCTTTCATGTTCTGATGTACTGAAATTTTAGCAAAGTGGTTTTTTTTTTTTCATCTTTTGTACTTGGTAATTTTTAAAGTCTTTCAAGCTGTACAACTCTCTTCCCCATAGTTTTTTTTTTTCTTTAAAGATTTATTTATTTGAAAGTCAGAGTTACACAGAGAGAGGAGAGGCAGAGAGAGAGGTCTTCCTTCCAATGGTTCACTCCCCAGTTGGCTGCAATGGTAGGAGCTGCACTGATCTGAAGCCAGGAGTCAGGAGCTTCTTCCGGGTCTCCCATGTGGGTGCAGGGGTCCAAGGACTTAAGCCATCTTCCACTGCCCTCCCAGGCCACAGCAGAGAGCTGGATTGGAAGAAGAGCAGCCGGGACACCCATATGGGATGCCGGTGCTTCAGGCCAGGGTGTTAACCTGCTGTGCCACAGCGCCGGCCCTTCCCCCAGCTCACGACATTCCCACCTGTTGTTTATTTGATCTCATTTCCCTTCATCTTCTTTCCTTCTGCAGCTCCTACTCCTGAGGAGGTGGCCCCCATCACCTCAGCTTAATTCTCATTCTTTTGCATTTCTCTACGTTTTATCTGTATTTTGCTTCAAACGTCAGGAGACCGCCTCAATTTCACCCCCATCTGAATTTCTTGCACCTGCCGAGTATTTAACTCCTGCAGACGTAGTCCTGCTTGCACTGCCCCATCCTCAGCACGTGGAGGTTCTTGGGCAATCCCTCTCTGCTCCCCGATTCACCTGCTGCCCTCGGGGTCAGGGTCGGCTGTGACTGCTGCTCCTGCCCCTCCTCTCCTGTGCACATGGCTGAGCCTCTTTCTGATGGAAGGACCAGGTGATACATTTAGGTGGGCGTGGGGTGGCCTCTGCCATTTTCGTCTGTCCACTGAATGAGGTTACTCAGCAACCCTTTCCCCAAAGGGCATGGCCAGGAGACCCCTGCGCTTGCAGCGGGTGCCCTTGTGGGTGGGCTGCTGTATTTGCTCAGAACAACCGCCTCTGCTGTCCTGTGTGTATGGTGGTGGTGGGGAGGTGCTGTGGGAAGAGCCAGAAACCGTGCAGAAGCACAACCAGCCAGCTGTGTGTCTCCCCTCCCCCCCCCCCCCCGCACACCAGCCAGTTCTAGAAAGGCCCCATCAGGACACCGCACAGGCTCCCTGGGCACGCCCACGTCTCCCACTCTTCTGCCTCTCAGAAGCCCATCGCCATCCATGGAGCAGGGCGGTCCTCCTCCCTCCTGCTTCAGCTCAGTTTTCTAGAGGCTTCCAGGAGAGAGGCTTGGCCACATTCTGTTGTCTGGACTTGCCCTTTATGGGTCCATGCACCCCACATCTGCAACAAATCCCCACTAGCTGGGTGCATATGCGGCTATATACACATATATATGTATCTAATCTTTTAAGCTTTATTTGATAGGCAGACTTAGGGAAAGATAGAAAGAGGTCTGGCATTCACTGATTCATTACCCAAATTGCCACAGCTGCCAGGGATGGGATGGGCCCGACTAAAACCAAAAGCCTGGAATTCCATCTGGGTCTCCCATGTGCATGGCACATGCCCGAGTGCTGGGCCATCATCCACTGCTTTCCCAGGCACACTAGCAGACAGCTGGATCGGAAATGGAGCAGCGGGGACTCGAACCAGCACTTTGATATGGATGCTGGTGTTGCAAGAGGGGGCTTAACCTGCTGTGCCACAAACACTGGTCCTGATTTATGCTTTTAAAATACTATTTAACTTAATAGGGGCTCACCTCCTGTCCCCAAATAGAATCTGGTCAGCCCTCCTCTTGTCATATTACATAGGAAGTGCAGTGATGTTTCTGGGATCCACTCCATGGCAGTGAGAACCTCAACAGATTGTTGAGAAACAAGATGTTTACCTAACTTCTCTCCACTACAATAGAAAACCTGCAAGTATGTGTGCTTGACAGTCCAGCATACACTGCCATCTAGAGGGGAATGTTTGCATTTCACTTTGGGTTTCCCCGCTAGGGGGCAGCAAAGCACCATCACCGGGGCATCTTAAAAAACTCCAATGCCTGGGACCTACCACAGACAAATGAACACCCATCTCCTCAGAGGGGGCCCCAGCATCTGTGTCCATCACGGGCATGTAGAGGCTGAGTACCACCCCCTGGGACTTGAGCCACAGTTGGTTCGAGCCACAGTTGGTTCGAACCCTAGTCACTCTCACTAAACATGATCAAAGTCATTTATAAAATGCGAATGGTGCCAACATGAACCTTGATGCATTTTCTCTACCCAGAGGAGTTGGAGGTAATGCCAGACCTGGCCGCTTCCCCGCAGAAAGCTGACCTGCCTGCCCACATCCCCTGAGCGCGGAGGTCGGCCAGCTGCTTCCCACCTAAGCACTCACGCAGCTCTTGGTTGATTTTAGTTCCTCAGGTTCACCCAGCGGCTGGCTGCGTCTCCTTCCCTCTTTCCCACACACATTTTCCAGCTTCCAGGGTCTGCCCCATTCAAAACAGTCTGTTAAACTCCTTTCTATTTGTAGAAACTTACCTAGGGAACTTACAGGATGTTTCGTATTATTATCTTTAAAGTTCTTTGTAAGAACTCTTAAAAATATTTATTTCAAAAGCAGAACAACAGAGAGACACATCTCCCCTAGTAGCAGCCTAGAGATAACTCTTTATTCAACAGAGACCCTTCCCCAGCGGAGGAGCCCTTTGATTTTAGCTCCCGCAAATAAGGGACCACATGCGGTATTTGTCTTTCTGTGTCTGGCTTATTTCACTTGATATAATATCCTCCAGTCTCAACCATTTTGCTGCAAGTGATAGAATGTCATTTTTATAGTTGAATAATATTCCATTGTGTGTGTATATATTTATCTGCTTATCCATTTGTTCACAGTGTGTATAAATTTATTATATATTTATCTGATGATGGGCACTTCTGTTGAGTCCATATTTTGGCTATTGTGAACAGTGCTGCTATAAATATAGTGGAACAGCTGTCTCTTTGATACAACAATTTTTGGGTGTATACTCAGTACTGGGATTGCTGGATCATAGGGCAAGTCTATTTGTTTTTGTTTTTGTTTTTTTTTTTTTAAGGAAATTTCCACACTGTTTTCCACAGTGGCTGCACTAATTCATATTCCCACCAACAGTGTATACGTGTCCCCCTTTCTCCACATCCTCGCCCTGCTGGGTTACTTCCATCAAGGATTCTTCCAGAAGGGCATTTTGTCATCCAGGGAAGAGTTATGACTGGCGCAGCTGCAAGTCCAAGAAGGGCCAGGCAAGCAGGGAAGGGCACTCGGGGCTGGAGGAGTCGATGACCAGACAGGGCCACTCGATTCACAGATTCGTAGAAACTCGGCCCCCTCACCCCGCCCAAGGTTTCTCTATTTCTTCCACAACAGCCTCACTGGGCAGCCTACCAAAGTGTTTGCTGCTTAAGTAAGTTTTGGATATCGAGGCACTGAAATTAACACAACCCAATGAACTTACCTTTTCTACTGCTTTTTCATTAATTAGCGGGCCTTGCGTGGTTCCCTCCTCAAATCCATGCCCTACACGCAGAGTTGTCTTCATTGCTTCAGCAAATTTGCTCACAAAGGAATCATGAATCCCCCTCTGCACCAGGAATCGGTTTGAGCAAACGCAAGTCTGGACAGGAGGAAAACAAACCCAGAGAGTCAGTTTCTCGGGAGCCGTTGACCCATCCAAGAGACAGGAGGCAGCCCCACGTCTCTGCAAAGATGCTTCCCCGGGCAGCTTGTCAGGCAGCCAAGCTGGCCCAGAGGGAGACACCCGGGGGAGAGGTGTTCCTCTCCACTCCCTCTACAGCTGTTGTCCATTTGTGGTTTAACAAGTTAGCAAGTATGTGTGTGCAGAGCAAACAAAAACACACCCAAGTTCCTACAGGTGGCTTTCATTACAATACAAACAGGAAGAAAAAATAGCCTGCAACTCTGCAAGGACCTTTGAGAGCAGAGGCTGGGGTGTGTGTGTGTGTGTGTGTGTGTGTGTGTGTGTGTGTGTGTGCAAACTCTACCTTACATCCTTTACCTGAAACCTTCCAGGTGTTGTGAGAATCTGACATTTCAGTAATGGACACAGGACCCTTCCCGCATGCAGCCTAAATTACCAAAAAGGCCCTTGCTTTTTCTTCTAATTATTTCTAATTAGACCATGTATGAAGAAATTTTGAAATATAACCCATTATATATAGCTTCTTGGCCTTTTGGCTAAGATCAAGCGTGAAATGGAACCCGTCGTGGGAGACCACTGATGGGTTTGCTGCTTGTCTTTTTCTTAATCTTTCCTGGTTGCAGCATGTCTGCACACTTTGTGCCCTGTGCATTTATTTCCTCCCTCCTTCCCTTCCTTCCTTAAAGATTTATTTATTTATTTGAAAGGCAGAATGACAGAGAGAGGTCTTCCATCCACTGGTTCACTCCCCAAATGACTGCAATAGCTGGGGCTGGGCCAGCCCAGAGGCAGGAGCCCGAAGTCCCTTAGGGTCTCCCACTAGTGTGGCAGGGGTCAAGTGCTTGGCTCGTTTTCCACCCCCTTCCCAGCACAAGAGGAAGAAGTGGAGCAGCTGGGACGCACACCTGCTCTCCGACATGGGATGCCAGTGTCTCATGCAGCAGCTTCATCCATGACGCCACAGTGCCGGTCCCCTTTCCTTGGCTTAAAGCAACACATCCCAAGGCTGTGGCTTTACAGCATGCCACAGAAGGTTACAGATCTTGGCATTTTTGTAAAAGGAACTATACCTGGGGCCGGCCCTGTGGTGCAGCGGGTTAACGCCCTGACCTGAAGCACCAGCATCCCATATGGGCGCCAGTTTGAGACCCAGCTGCTCCACTTATGAGGAACCATACCTATACCTGAAAAACCAAGTTTACCGAAATTATACGAAAAGGAAAGAATTAATTACTAAAGGCCAAAATAAAGAAGAAAACTATTTAATGTCTTACACAACATTTCATTTTCCCCCACAACATAACCTTTCAGGAGTATTTATTCCATTTCTGGAAAGCATTTAAAATCGTTTGTTGTTGATACTTTTAAGGCAAAGGGTTTAAAAATACTTCTTAAGTCATCAGGATCTTAGCAGCTTGGATAGGAACTGGGAGACAGGACTCTGGGCTTACAGCGCCAGTACTCCGGCAGAGTTGGGACAACAGCCCGTGCATGGTGACCAACCACTAGTCTCTTAGTCTTTTGCAAGTTGCTGCTCATTTGCAAGATGCAAGGGACGCTGTGGTGACTTGGAAGGTCCATACCAGACTGGCTGCTCCACGGTTTGCTCTGTAGATGTGAGCTCAGCTCCTCTCCCTTGGGACAGCTTGGACATGCGTGGTGTGCCCGCTGCTGCCAGCTCGGCCCTTGCCCAGCACTCTGCTGGCCTGGGGTATGTCTCAAAGACAGTCAGGTTTCGAATGTTTCTAGGCACCACCCTCAACACTTTCCCACCTCCTTGTCCTTAAGTCTGCGGACCTCACACCCTGGCTGTTCAGGGCTGCTTTGTGTCTGAGGAGAAAAGCCTAACGAGGGGAAATTATGAAAATACAGTCATCCCTCTGTACCCGTGGGCTCTGCATCTCTGGATTCAACCAACCACTGGTCAGAAATTGTTCCTTTCAAACTCATCTGTTCTGAACATTACAGACATTTGTCAATGTGGATAAGCATGGCCTACGTAGAGTTTCCGTGGTGTTAGGTATGCTTAGTAATCCAGATGTGATTTACTACACGCAGGAGGATGTGCACAGGTTATACGCCAATCCAAGCACTGTGCCAGCCTCCTAGGAGGAACTGGAGCGCCCCAAGATTTTGGTATCTGAGGGTATTCTAGACCCAATCTCCTATGGAAACCAAAGGGTGACCATAGCCCAGTCCGAAGTGTAGGGGAAATAAGAGGGAACAATGTGATGAAAAACTTCTGCTGTTGTGGAAATTCTTCGAAGCCACAGATTAGATATTTTCCCTGTATTGGGACTCTCCAAGCCTAGTGTAGCCACTAGCAAATATTCAGGCATTTGCTGAATATTTGCTGAAAGAGTGAACAAATAAAGAATGGACAATGGATGGGGACCCACAAGTTTCCCTCCAAGAGATAAGTAAGGCAGTGGAGATAAAAGCCAGCGCTTTATGAAATATGTGTGCACATATAGCCAAGCCCTGCAAAAACCCCACAGGACTCACCTGGCCAGCGTTCCTAAATTTCGATGCCATGGCCCCTGCTACAGCCTGCTCCACGTTGGCGCTGTCAAATACAATGAAGGGAGCAAGGCCGCCCAGCTCCATGGAGACCCTCTTCACAGAGCTGGCTGCGTGGCGCAGGAGGATCTGTGGGCAGAGAAGGGGACCTGTGAGCACTGAACCAGCCGCCCGGATACCCACCTTCATTTGAAACAAACACCTGGGGCCAGTGCTGTGGTGTAGTTGGTAAAGCTCCCGCCAGCAGTGCCAACATCCCATATGGGTGTTGGTTCCAGACCCGGCTGCTCCACTTCTGATCCAGCTCTCTGCTATGGCCTGGGAAAGCAGTAGAAGATGGCCCAAGTGCTTGGGCCCCTGCACCCCCGTGGGAGACCTGGAAGAAGCTCCTTGTTCCTGGCTTTGGATCGGCGCAGCTCCAGCCATCGCGGCCAATTGGAGAGTGAACCAGTGGATGGAAGATCCCCCCACCCCACCCCGCCTCTCCTCTCTCTGTGTAACTCTGACTTTCAAGTAAAATAATTAAATCTTAAAAAAAAAAACCAAAAAACCCAAGAGTAAAGAAAGCAGGTGTGCAGCAGTATGTAGGGGGCGACACTTTGCATTACAAAAGGGAGAAATGAGAATATATATTCATACGATTATGGTCTTCAAAAAGTTAATAGAAAACACATATTATGTTCAATTTCGAATTCTCTGAATTCTAATTTCCATGAACTTTCTGAAGTATGCCTGTATTTGTTTGTAATGATGAAATCCCGAGAAAATAATAAGAAACTAAAAGCACTGACTTGACAGAGGTGGGGGAGGCATCAGGGTGACTTCTCAAGGTACACGTTAACACATGTTCACACGTGTGAATACTGGCATGACTTCTGAACCATGTAAGTGTACTTCCTATTCAAAAACATACCACAGGCTTAAAAGCCACAAGATAGAGATGAGGTAATAAAATCACCCAGAATCCCACCGCCCATAGCTCACCCCTGATCACGGGTTAAGGTGCATTTATCTAGAACTTGGCCACACAGGTTCATGTACACAGTTCCCCTCCATGTCCCTAGGTTTGATCTCTGCAGTTTCAACCAACTGAAGATAGAACATATTTGAAAAAAAAAAAAAAGCTTTTCTTGCTTGTCATTATTCCTAAATAATATGGTATAACATTTTATATGGTATTAAGCATTATAAGTCATTTAGGGATGATTTAAATTAGAACATGCATAGGTTGTGCACGAGTACTATACTATTTTATGTAAGAGGCCTGAGCATACGTATATTTTGGTATCTACAGGGATCCTGGAACCAGACCCTAATGGATAAGGAGGGACAACCATATGTATTTCTTTAACAAAAGAAAATGGGACTGTATGATTATAGTTTTTTAAAAAAAAAGATTTATTTATTTGTTTGAAAGTCAGAGTTACACAGAGAGAGGAGGAGGGAGGGGTAGGGGGAGGGAAGTGGGAGGAGGAGGGGGAGGAAGAGGGAGGAGGAGGAGGGGGAGGAGGAGGGGGAGGGGGAGGGGGAGGGGGAGGTCTTCCATCCTCTGGTTCACTCCCCAATTGGCTGCAATGGCCGGAGCTGTGCCGATCCAAAGCCAGGAGCCAGGAGCTTCTTCCAGGTCTCCCACACGGGTGCAGGGGCCCAAGGACTTGGGCCATCTTCTACTGCTTTCCCAGGCCACAGCAGAGAGCCAGATCAGAAGTAGAGCAGCCGGGACTCTAACCAGCGCGCATATGGGATGCCGGCGCTTCAGGCCAGGGCGTTAACCTGCTGCGCCACAGCGCAGGCCCCATGATTATAGTTTTATAACCTGCTTTTTCTTCCCACTTAACCATATGTCTGGAGTACTTCAACATGTTCATAACATTTTATACTTTGCTACTTTAGTGTAACACTATAATGTGAAGGTCCTCTCATGCCGGCTCCCATGTGTCTAGAACATTCTTGCATGGGCTGTTCTACAGTGTATTCACCTAGCCCCTAGCTGTTGGACATTTAGATTGCTTTCAATTACTTGCCTTTAAAAACAACACTGCAATTATTCCTCCAGGGTAAGCTGGTAAAGTTGATGACTCAGTATACAGCTATACGGCATTCAAGGCCTAAGCAAGCTGCTCAGGGATGTCCAGGTGTGGCTGCTGATGGGCCCATGTGAGATAGTTCAAGTTGAACAGACAGTATTCACAAGGCCAGGTTTACTCTAGGACAGCCACCCTCCTAAGTTACAGGTTTTGTAACGGGGTTCTGGGTAAAAACTCAGCATGGCTGGAAGTGGAGCCTAAGCCAGCACTTCTCTGTATGCCCAGAGGTTAATATTCCAGGCATGAAGTAGCAGCCGTGAGTTTCTCCATCAACGTCATTATCCAACTAAGGAGTACACGTTTTAAGATGAAAAATATGTCTTCATTGGACTCAACATAGCTATTTAATTTTGAATTTTTTTAAAAAAGAATTATTTATTTATTTGAAAGGCAGAGTTACAGAGAGGCAGAGGCAGAAAGAGAGAGGTCTCCCATCCGCTGGTTCACTCCCCAGATGGCCGCAATGGCCGGAGCTGCGCCAATCGGAAGCCAGGAGCCAGGAGCTTTTTCCGGGTCTCCCATGGGGGTGTAAGGGCCCAAGGACTTGAGCCATCTTCTTCTGCTTTCCCAGGCCACAGCAGAGAGCTGGATCAGAAGTGGAGCAGCTGGGACTCGAACCAGCACCCATATGGGATGCCGGCACTGCAGGAAGCGGCTTTTACACGCTACACCATGGCGCTGGCCCCTCAATTTTGAATTTTTAAGAACTGTTATCTGCCACTGTCTTTTCCTGCACTTGCTGCCCTGTAAAATAGATCCTTACTGTCCAGTCACTTGATCTTGCCTTCTCCATGGCATCTGTTCTCCCACATTCACTTGCTCTGGGTCCTCGGACAGCGCCCCCTACCTGCTCGGTCTCTTCTTCCCCGTGACCTGGGCTTGCCCTGACTTTGGCTCCAGCTCTGCCTCATGACATCCTCAGGCACTCAGCTTCCCAAGACAGAGTGTGGCTGGCCAGGCCCCCGTCTCCATGCATGGCCGCTGTGGCAGGCCACTGGCCAGCCTCGGGACCCTCTCTCCCTCAAGCCAGATGCCCACTCTTGGCGCAGTTCTCAGCTGGGGAAGAGGCGAGGCATCGTGTGCCGTAAAACACTGGACAGGGCCCCTCAGAAGGGGCTGAGGGCGAGTGGGCACCTCCAGAACTGGCTTCCTGCAACTGAGAGGCAAGAAGCTGTAGCCCAGAGCAGGAGCGAGGCCGCCAGTTCTCGGTGACAATCAGCTTGGGAGAAGCCTGGGACAGGCAGGCTGCTTATTCCTTGTCCCTTTGAGTCACCAGGCAAAGCACAGTCCTGGGTAACCAGGGGCAAGGCTGGGCCCGGCGAGCAGGTGCACCACGGCTTCCTGGACGTGTCAGGTGATGCACCTGCGGAGGGAACCAGGCATCGGCAACGACAGCCTGGCTGTCCCGGCCCAGCCTCCTGGGAATTTCTCTGGCAAAGATGCCCTGACACTCTCCACCTGGCCGGCCCCTCTTTTTCTCCAAATCCTTCATGGTCACGTTTTGAAGCCCTCTGGGTTAGTCTGCCGGGTAGGGGGTAGGGGCGTGGCAATCTATGGCTCTTAAAGGTGCCTGTTTTGGTAGGAGCCAGTGGCAGGATTCCAAAGCAGGAGACGGTGGCATGTAGCCAGCGTAATGGTGAGGAATCCCAACCATGGCATCACTCCTCCCTGCTTCCCACGGTTCCTAAAAGCGACCATCGTCACACGGACTTTTAGATGAGATTTGTGTTACTTTCATCTGCTGTGTGTGCCCATGCACGTGTCTAGCACATGCCTACGTGCAAATGTTCGTATGTGTATATGCGCACACATACATAGGCTACCAGGAAAAAAAGCGTACCATCCAGGGAGAAGCCCAGGGAGAAGCCCCTTAAACAAAAACGTTTTGTTCTTTTTCTATTCTGAACATTTTTGAAAAATATTTATTTAATTTTATTGATAAGGTAGAGAGAGATAGCTATCTCCCGTCTGCTGGTTCACTCTCCACATACCTGCTGGGGCTGGGCTAGGCACCTGACACGCAGGGACCCACGTCTCTGTGAGCCATCCCTGGTGCCTCTCAGGGGAGCATCAGCAGGTAGCTGGAGTAGAGAGCTGAGCCAGGAACTAGAACCCAGGCACGCCAGTATCCCAAGCGGCATCTTAACCACTACCCTAAACACCCACGCCTCTTTGAACATAAAAAAAGATAAGTAAAAATCTACTCACAGAAACATAATCAAGTTTTAAGGGTAGAACTTTTCAACATTGAAGACAAAAAACCAGACCTTCCAATTTCGGCATCTTTATAGTAAACAAATTTTTGTTCAATTCTGACACCCATTTCAACATCAAGCATGTGTTCCTAGAAGCGCCAATTCTAGGTTATGAAATACGCAGTCCAGTATTGTAGAAATATCTATGCAATGAACAGCTTTTCAGCAACTTCAGGCACAACAAATAATGGGGAAAGAGGGGCCAGTACAGTGGGGTACTGGGTTAAGCTGCTGTCTGCAGCACCAGCATCCCACATGGGCACTGGTTCGAGTCCTGGCTGTTCCACTTCCAGTACAGCCCCCTGCTTATGCGCCTGGGAAAACAGTGAAAGCTGCCTCGATAGCTTGGGCTCCTGTACCCATGCAGGAGACCCAGATGAGGCTCCTGACTCCTGATTTTGGTCTGGCCCAGCCTCAGCCATTGTGGCCATTTGGGGAGTGAATCAGCAGATGGATCTCTCTCTCTCTCTCTCTCTCTCTCTCTCTGTGTGTGTGTGTGTGTGTGTGTATGTGTAACTCTGCCTTTCAAATAAATAAACCTTAAGTAAAATAAAATGGGAACACAGTGAGACCCTCGCTGCCCAGCCCCCTCAGTATGGTCAGGCAGGAATCCGGGTGATGTCTCCTAGGGACAACCACCCAACACGTCACCCGAAGATGAGCTGACATTTCTCTGACAGTTACTCAACACTCCAGGAATCGTTCTACACTGGCATGGGAGATGAGACAGTGTTCTCCTGTATGGAGAGGAAGTATAGGACAACGTTGATTTTTGTTGAAGCTTAGCTGCGTACCTTTCCCGTGGCGGTCGAGCCAGTAAAGGAGATTTTGGACACCAGAGGGTCAGTGCAAAGAACTTCCCCCACTTCCTTGGCCTTATTCCGAGAGCAGGGAATGACGTTGTACACGCCTGGAGGAATTCCCGCCTGGTTTGCAAGCTAGAAAGAGAAACAGCCAACACGCAGCCCCAAATCACCAGACTGAGAAAAACAAGAGAAACAGATGTTTAGTTCACAATGTGATGGGAAAATGTAAATCGGTGGTGACAGGGTAAGAGTACAGTTGTAACTAAAGTAAGATTCTTATTGGTGCCAAGGTGATGTTGCACAGCATTAAAATATCTTAGAGTTTCAATGCCGCCTTCTGCTAAAAAAAAAAAAAAAAAAAAAAAAAAAAGCAAAAACCACCAAAACATTGGATTTCTTTCCCAAACGAGTCAGGGGAGGTTCCAAGAACAGTCATCCGATTGATCTGTAGACCTGAAAGAATATTTAGTGAGCACCTACTATGCGCAGGGCAACAGGGCAAAGCTTTCGCAAGGGTCACTTCCCAGAGTGACTAGAGAAGGGAGGTGTGGGAGATGGAACCCAGCAGAGAGCGACACAGCCAGCCACCCCCAGCTGCCTGTGCTGGAACCCAGAGCTCCTTCCTGGGGGGATGTTCATGTCTGAATGCCATTCACACATTCCATAAAGCTGATGGGGATTCTTGAAGATGGCGGGGGTCACACTCTTTGAGTCCCCCTCCTCGTAGAAACAGCACTTAAAGAGCAAACCCCAAACAGCAGTGACAACTGCAAGACGCTAATAAGAAACATGGACACAACCGGATGACAAGGTACCTCCACAACCACAAATCACAAGTGGGTGGGCCTACACCCCCTACAGGAATGGGACCTGTGTGCCAGCAAGCAGGGCAGTAACATGGGGCTGATAACACAGAAACACCCCCCCACACACACCCCCCACCCCCCACCCCTGCTCCGAGCCCACAGGTGTTCAAGGACCTGATAACAGAGAACGCCAAACAGCCCACAGGTGTGCCAGCACCCAACTAACAGCACAGACAAGAGCGGCTGCAAGTGGGAGGCGAGGCTGTCCCAGCGGAACGCCGGGAGGGAGTGGAGCCAGGCCATGTGTGTTCCAGGCGAGTCACCTCCCCCACACAAGGAAGCTCGAGAAACTCCCGTGAAGGGGAGAAGCCGCCTCTCCCCAGCCTCCTTCCAAGGGCTCAGGAAACCTGACTTCCCATGGAAACAGCCTACCACTCAGGAAAACACTGAGGCCAGGTTCCGCACAAAGTGTTTAAAGTAAGAGGCAGAATCGTATCCCTGCAGGTAACAAAGCCCAAGCTGCACCTCACTATCTCAACACGAGACGGGCTGGGGAGAGCATCGCGCCCAGACACAGAGGAACAGAACACATCAGCGTGAGAGAAGTTTAGAAAAGAGGTGAGGGGACACAGGAAAGAGAAAGAAAAGGAAAAAGTCGCTTCAGAAAGGCACAAACACAACATACAAAACCTTAAGGAAAAATTGAGGCAAAAAGGAAGATCATTTCAAACATTGAGCCGAGATGGGAAGAACGCAAAACCAAATGACACAAAGGGTTCAATTCAATGATGCAAGACTTCCTGAGGAGGAAAACCAAACCCAGGCTGAAGAGCAAATCCTGGGAACTTTCTGTAGATTTAAAAAAAAAAACAAGATGTGAAAATACACATTGAACAGGTTCATCTCTGTCGCATTAGCCAAAGCAGTCATCACAAAGTCGTTGTTCCGGTTCTATTGCGAGGCCTATTTTTATCTTATAGATTTTATTTATTTATTTGAGAGACAGTGTTACAGACGTAGAGGGAGGGAGAGAAAAAGGTCTTCCATCTGCTGGTTCACCCCTGAAATGGCCACAAGGGTTGGAGATGGGCTGATGTGAAGCCAGGAGCCAGGGACTTCCTCTGAGTCTCCCATGCGGGTGCAGAGGCCCAAGCACTTGGGCCATCTTCTGCTGCTTTCCCAGGCCATAGTAGAGAGCTGGATTGGAAGAGGAGCAGCCGGGACTTGAACCAGTGTCCATATGGGATGTCAGTGCTCCAGACAGAGGATTTAACCCGCTGAGCCACGGTGCCGGCCCTTAGGGCTATTCTTTACAGTAGAGGGGAAAAGTCACTCCCCAGTGTCCAGGCAAAAAAAAAAAAGCAAAAACGAAGTTGACTGATAAAGGAAAGAAATGTAGGTCTTTTCAAAAGCAAGAACTAGGGGCTGGGGAAGCAGCAGAGAATGGGCCAAGTACTTGGGTCCCTGCACTCATGAGGGAGACCTGGAAGAAGCTCCTGGCTTCGGCCTGGCCCAGCCCTGGCTGTTGCAGCCATTTGGGGACTGAACCAGCGGGTGGAAGATCTCTCTCTCCGTCTCTTTCCCTTTCTCTGTCTGTAACTCTGCCTCTAAAATAAATAAAATCTTTTTTTAAAAATCCCCCATTCATTTTTTCCCCCTAAATAGAGCAAGATTATAACATAACACCACGGAGCATGAGATGCCAGCCAAGAAGGAGGTCCCACAACTGTTTCTGCTTCGGATTAAAAATCACGGAGTTTGTTGGCTCTGCAGCTACAGGGGAGAGAGGCTCACCTCGGCCAGGGCCAGGGCAGAGAAGGGCGTGTCCTCGGCAGGTTTCACCACCACAGTGCAGCCAGCTGCCAGGGCGGCCCCCACCTTGCGGGTGATCATGGCGCTGGGGAAGTTCCACTGGGGTCAGAAGAGAGAGGAAGCGTGTAAGGGAAGGACCGCATCACTGGTCCCCAGGGTGGCAGGTCAAAAAGTCAGTCAACAACCCCCACCTTGCATAACCTGGGCTCCACTGAACAGGTGAGCTCTCACAACACCTGCCCCTACAAGTGGCGGAACTGGGCAGATAAAGGCCCATAATGACAGGAAACATGTCTGGGGCAAACACGGTGCAGAATCCTTAGAACAAGGGTCAGCCAGAGAGTTTTTGTAGAGAGCCAGAGAGTGTTTTAGGTTTTGTGGGAGGCGTGGCTACCACCACAACTACTGAACCTTGCAGTCGTGTTGTGAGAGCTGACGTGGACAGGAGGTCCACAAGTGGGCTCCTGGGAGGAAACATTAGCAAAGACAAGAAATAGCAGACGACGGAACTTCCCTCTACGTCCATGTTTACCGTTATCTGTAGGCACCTGCGTATCTGTCACAGCAGTATTTTATCTTTCTTCCACAAACACTTGTATAGCGCTTGTTCTGTCATACATTGTTCTAAGCATGTTAAAAATTATAACGAATACTCTGGTTTCTCTCCAGATCGTATACATCTTTTGCCTTAAAATTATAACTAAATGGTTCTCACAATTCAGCAAGGTTCGTATTATCCTCAATTACAGGTTTGGGGGAATGGAGATGGCACAGTGAAATCATGTGCCGGAGGCCACACAACCCGTAAACAGTGAATTTTAAGTCCAAACCAGCAAGTCTAGGCAGTGTGTGTGTGGGGGGGGAAGGGGGCGTGGATTCCACCTGTTAGGACGCACAGTAGGAAGCATGGCCTTGAGCCCCGCCGGCAGAGACGGGAGGGAGTGAATATGGGGCCCAGGAGTGCCGGTCACTGAGAGACACTGGGTGCCCACAAGCACACTGCAGCCCCGTGCAGGCACATCCAACGTCTTATTTCTCAGCCTTTCGACTTCTAGAAGCTGGCCCAGTGACCAATGCGTTTGCAGCTGCTGCGAACCATAAATTAAGGATAAAATTTTCCCTAAACTATGATGCAATTAAAAAAAAACCGCATCCTCATATCTGAAGTCTTTTGAAAAATGATAAATATCAGATCTTTTCAGTGGTGCTGGGCAGGCCTGTGCCAAGTCACAAAAGCCCCTGGCTTGCTTCTGGGGGCCACCTGCCTCCAGGGCTCCAGCAAACACGAATGCCCACTCACCACGCCACACCCAGCACTGTCTCAGACAGCTCCCGAGAGGGACCAGGAAACCCAGGACAGGTGACAAGCCTAACAGGATGAGCACACCTGCCCACGACGAAGACGTTGGTCCTGCCTGTCTACACAACCTCCTACCCTGGGATCTCGAAGCTCCTGCCATGCACGTACCGGTGTGATGACCGCGGCCACACCTATGGGCTGCTTGAGGACCAGGGCCCGCCTCCCCTTGGTGGGAGTAGCGATGATGTCGCCGTAAATGCGCCGGGCTTCCTCGGAAAACCACTCCAGGAAATGGGCCGAGTAGAGAATTTCTCCCTGCGCCTCCTTCAGTGGCTTCCCCTACGTGAAAGCAAAAAATGCGTTATTACCATCTACCGCTAGAAGCCGGGCTAGGCTGGGCTCTGCAGTGTTCACGGTTGCAAGGAGACGTGCAAAGTCTCCTGTGGCAAAACCCACGGGGCTGCTGGGCAGTTTCTAACTTGGACGTGGGACTAGGAAGGCAGAATCAAGAGACAGCGTGGCTGTGCCACCGGTGCCACAGGCGTCTCGCGCACTCGCAGTATGTTCACAAATCGGGAGGCGATGTCTACACCTGCGTCTTCTAGTTGTTTTCCCTTCCTTCTGATCTCTCCCAAAGGTGACCATGGTGTCAAATAATTTCTTACACCGATCGAGGAATAATTGATACATTTAAAAAAAATCACAAGAGCAACATTTAAAAAAAAAAAGCACATGTGGAAAAAAAAATGATGAAAAAGCAGTGTTCCTGCGGTTCCAGATGCGATCTATGTTTGCATGTTACTAAAGGATTAACTAGAACATCAAACTTCGGAGAACGTGAGTGCCTGGCACCAGTGACTGGTGTCAGATCGCAGGACAAGGAAGGGCGGCTCTCAGCGGCTCTCAGGGGCGCCAGCCGGGACCTTACACTTACGCTCTCAGCGGTGATGACTTTGGCAAGGTCGTCCTTATTCTGTATCATTAAATCGTACCAGTTCCGAAGGAGCGCACTCCTCTCCTGAAAAAGAAGGCAGGCAGATGGGCAATAAAGCATAGACGGGGAGGGCTGGCCAGCTGCAGCCTGCTACCTTACTCGCCCTGTGGTCCCGTTCTTGGCTATGTTCAGGGGTCAGCGTAACTGACAAAGCACAGGGGTCATTGCCAAGGCAGCCACAGGCGCTACTCAAAACTTATGATCTATAGCAGGCAAAATTTTACCTTGATCATTTTGTATGGCCCGGGAATGACGTTGTAAATATCCAAGGGACTCTTGGCAGAAATGAGATTCCCCACCCCTGAGCGACGGGATGCCCAGAGAGCTCACCAAACATCGCTTCTGGGTGTGTGTGTGTGACGGTGCTTCTGGGAGACCCGCCTTTGAACCGGGGGCTGAGTAAGACAGATCCGCCCTCAGCCACGTGTGTAGGCTTCAGCCAGTCCGCTGAGGGCCTGAACAGAGCGACAAGGCTGAGGAAGGGCGAATTTGCTCCGTATGCGAGCTGGAATGCCCATCTCTTCCGACCTTGAACCTCAGGCCTCAGACGCTGGCACCCCTGGCTCTGGGGCTTACAGACGTGGACTGGGGCTCCTCCACCTCCAGCTTTCCTGGGCTGCTTGCAGACAGCAGCCTGTGGGAATTCTCAGCCCCTGTTGTCCTGTGGGGCAATGTCACAGTAAATGGCTTCCTATATATTTATGCACAAAGCTGCTTCTACATGTTCGTGGAAAAATGGAATTAAAACATGTTTATTTTGGTGCCAAACATTTTTTTAAGACTTATTTATTTGAAAGGCAGAGATGGAGAGAGAGAGAGAGAGAGAGAGGTCTTCCATTTGCAGGCCCACTCCCCAAATGGGGCTAGGGCTGGGCCATGCCAAAGTCAGGACCAAGGGGCTTCTTCTGGGTCTCCCACATGGGTGCAAGGGCCCAAGCACTTGGGCCATCTTCTACTGCTTTCCTAGGTGCATTAGCAGGGAGCTGGATCAGAAGTGGAGCAGCCGAGACTCAAACAGGCACCCGTGTGGGATGCCCGCATTGCAAGGCAACCTTAACTCATTATGGCACAGCACTGGTCCCACTAAAATTGTTTTAAATCCATGTAGCTTCTTATGGTAGGCACCAGCTTCTCTTAAAGCAATATTCCTCCAGTAAGTACACCTGTTTACCCCTGCTCAGTGCACTGCCAGAGAAGAATCCGACAATCACAGCCCAGTGTCCTGCGGGTTATCCTGCACGCGAGAGGAAACACTGGAATCCAGAGAAATAAATGCCAGAAGACTTCCAAGGAAAACTAGAATTAAAAGATAAGTCTGTTTTGGTGCCCCCAAATTTGAAAACTTGCAGGTTTTTCCTAATACACATTTTCTGTGAACTTTTGAAGACCCCCTCACGTGTGCACACAGGGTCTGCTCCACACTGAGCCTGAGAAAGGAGAGAGAACCATGAGACAGCGTGGGATCTGTGAGAAGCAGCAGTAGATTCTGCCTGCGCAGGCAACACAAGGTCCCAGCTGAACACAGACACCAGAGGAAGCCGGAAATCGCCCGAGTATGCAAAGTACAAGTTGGGCTTCTGAAAGCATAGACTTGTCCCATAAAGAAATTTCGACAGAGACAGACATCAGGGGAAGCGGGAAATTGCCCGAGTATGCAAAGTACAAGTTGGGTTTCTGAGAGCAGACTTGTCCCATAAAGAAATTTCGACAGAGACAGATGCGTGCAGCGAGGGAAGACAATGTGAGGAGACACCCGGAGAACATGTGTTCACAAGCAAGAACCTGCCCTCACGGCCTCAGGCTGAGGCTTTCCGTTCCGGGTTTAGCCTCCTGATCTGAGACAATCATTTCTGTTGCTTCAGCCACCAAGTTTGCAGCGTTTTATACTGTGCTGTAGGAAACTCAGATAGAGGCTCCGACTGACAATGGGGTAACGTCCTGATAAACCCATCGCAAGAGGGAAATCCTAAGTGGGGCCGGGGCTGTGGCACAGTGGGTTAAGCCTTTGCCTGCAGTGCGGGCATCCCATATGAGTGCCGGTTCGAGTCCCAGCTGCTCCACCTCCCATCCAGCTCCCTGCTAATGCACCTGGGAAAGCAGCAGAGGATGACCCAAGTGCTTGGGTCCCTGCACCCACGTGGGAGACCCGGAAGAAGCTCCTGGCTCCTGGCTTCAGCCTGGCCCAGCCCCAGCTGTTGTGCCTATTTGGGGAGTGAACCAGCAGATGGAAGACCTTCCTCTCTGTTACTCTCTCTCCTCTATTTATATCTCTGCCTTTCAAATAAATAAATTTTTAAAAAATATATCATACGTGGAAAACGCCCTGAAGGCAGCCGCCCTCCTGTGTGTCCCAGCTCAGGAGCACTAGCACTGCAGAGCGGCCGTGGGTTCCCTGCAGGGCCACGGGGCTGCCCGGGAGCCGCACTGCCCAGTGTCACCAGACGGGATCAGAGCACACAGGAGCAGTGCGGGAAAGAGCCCACTTCCAAGGACGGCTTCTGCTGAACGTGTACCCCTTTCACACCCTGCGCCCCTGCACAGCCTGGCTGAGGGCTGTTGATCTGCATGACACTCAGGGTTCACAGAGGTGGACAGCGACAGAGTTACGCACCCCCCACCCAGCTCCCTGGTGTGGCCAGCAGGGAAGGCTGGAGGGTGACCAGCAGGCCTCCCTCTGCCAGTTCCACTCGGCGCCCCCGCCACAGCATGAATCAGAAATCTACTTCCTAGGGCCATTGAAAGGACTCCACAAAGCACATGAGCAGTACCAAGGGTGGTACTTAGCCATGGAGGGGACAGTAATGGCCTTCAAAGATGACCACACCCTGACCGCTGCACCGTGACTGTGTCACTGTGCCTGGCAAAGGGATGAAGTTAGGCTGTTGAGGTTGGAACGTTATTGTCAATGAGGCCTACCCTGATAGGGCCTGCTGGTGCCCCCAACCCAAGAACCCCCAGAACTTCAGAATGTGACTGTATTTGTAGAAAGGTTCTTACTAATTTTTTTTGTTCTAATTAATACTATTGGTTGAACTCTGTAATTAACACACAGTTATTCTTAGGTGTTTAAATTTAACTGAAAAGTGATCCCTGTTAAATATAAGAGTGGGAATAAGAGAGGGAGGAGATGTACAATTTGGGACATGCTCAGTCGGACTTGCCCCAAATGGTGGAGTTAGAAATATGCCAGGGGATTCCAATACAATCCCATCAAGGTAGCATGTACCAATGCCATCTCACTAGTCCAAGAGATCAATTTCAGTTCACAATTGATCACACTAATAGGTCTAAGAGTCAAAGGGATCACACAAACAAGACTAGTGTCTGCTAATACTAACTGATAGAATAAAAACATGGGAAGCAGAATACACAGCAAACTCATAGAATGGCAGATGTCCTAAACAGCACTCTGGTCTCAGAATCAGCCCTTAAGGCATTCGGATCTGGTAAGAGCCCATGAGAGTATTTTAGGCATGGAAAGTCAAGACACTCTGGAAAAAAAAAAAAAAAAAAAAAAAAAAACCTAAATGAAAGATCTCTGTGAGTGACATGCCAGTGGAAAGAATGGGCCATCAAAGAAGGAGGTACCTTTCTCTGAAGGGAGGAGAGAACTTCCACTTTGACTATGACCTTGTCTAAATAAGATTGAAGTCGGTGAACTCAAAAGGCTTCCATAGCCTTGGCAACTCATGACTAGAGCCTAGGGAGATTACTGACGCCATAAACAAGAGTGTCAAATTGTTAAGTCAACAACAGGAGTCACTGTATACTTACTCCTCATGTAGGATCTCTGTCCTTAATGTGTTGTACAATGTGAATTAATGCTATAACTAGTACTCAAACAGTATTTTACACTTTATGTTCTGTGTGGGTGCAAACTGATGAAATCTTTACTTAATATATACTAAATCGATCTTCTGTATATAAAGATAATTGAAAATGAATCTTGATGTGAATGCAATGGGGGAGGGAGTGGGAGATGGGAGGGGTGCGGGTAGGAGGGAAGTTATGGGGAGCAAAAAGCCATTGTAATCCATAAACTGTACTTTGGAAATTTATATTTACTAAATAAAAGTTTAAAAAAAAAGGTTCTTAAAAGAGGTAATTAAGGGGTCGGTGCTGTGGCACAGCAGGTTAAAGCCCCAGTCTATACTGCCAGCATCCCATATGGGCCCCAGTTCGAGTCCTGGCTGCTCTACTTCTGATCCAGCTCCCTGCTAATGCGCCGGGGGAAGCAGCAGAGGGTGGCCCAAAAAGAAGCTCATGGCTCTTGGTTTTGGATCAGCTCAGCGCTGGCCATTGCGGCCATTTGGGGAACAAACCAGCGGATGAGAGACCTCTCTCTTTCAACTCTTTCAAATAAATAAATATTTAAAAAGAGGTAATTAAATTCAAATGAGGTCATTTGGGGTGCACTAATCCAATACAACTATCTTCACAAGAAAAGACGATTAAAGGGCTGGGCATTGGCACAGGGTTAAGAAGCTCCTTACCCTTATCAGAGTGACTGGGTTCAAGTTCTGCCTCTCCAGCTTCTGGCCGAGTGCATGCTGGGAGGCAGCAGGTGACAGCTCAAGTAGTTGGGCCTCTGGCACCCATGTGGGAGACCTACCCTGAGTTCCCGACTCCCAGCTTCGGCCTGACCCGGCCGGCTCCAGATGTTGCAGCCTCCAGACATGCGGAACAGTGACAGCTGGAGCCACAGCAGCCTGCAGGACTGTGGCGGCAGTCCTAGCTGAGCAAGCACCCAACCATGCCCTTTACGCCGCACCTGGCCGCTTCCCTGCGGGCCCACCCTCTCCGCTAGCTTCTACTTCTTCCCGTCTTCTTGGCATCCATCCCTCTGACACCGATTTGCTTAGGTACTGCGCACATGTTTGTAGTTCGGATCTCTGCTCTGTCCCCCAGCCCCACGTGAGCTCCCAAAGGGCAGAATCTTTCTGCTGTCCAAACTGATGTATCCCAGGCACCCCCAACAAGGCAGGGCACATGGGCAGGTGCTCCCTCAACAGCTGAGGGGTGAAGGGAGGCCAGGACTCTGGGTCTTGTCCTTTAGACGGAGAGCTTTGACGGGTAGGGCAGGAAAGGATTTCACTGGGTTGACTCTAGGTATTATAATAATAAATGAGGAAGAAAATGTCTTCCATAGTTTTTTTTTTTTTTTTAATTTTTTTTGACAGGCAGAGTGGACAGAGAGAGAGAGAGAAAGGTCTTCCTTTGCCATTGGTTCACCCTCCAATGGCCGCCGCGGCCGGCGCACCGCGCTGATCCGATGGCAGGAGCCAGGTGCTTCTCCTGTCTCCCATGGAGTGCAGGGCCCAAGGACTTGGGCCATCCTCCACTGCCTTCCCGGGCCACAGCAGAGAGCTGGCCTGGAAGAGGGGCAACCGGGACAGAATCCGGCGCCCCGACCGGGACTAGAACCCGGTGTGCCAGTGCTGCAAGGCGGAGGATTAGCCTAGTGAGCCGCGGCGCCAGCTTCAATAGTTTTATTCTTACTCTATCCTCCCCCTCTGATGGCGCCTACAACCGCCCCAATTCTCTAGCATTCACTGTCAGTAAATGGCATCTTTTATCCTTTCAGGTGGGGGAAAACCTGGAGGACAGTCCAGGATTCGTCCCACTCCCGCCGTGAGGCCCGCATGCTGCGCGCGCTCGCTTCCCCGGCCACCGCAGCCTGCACGCGCACACGCGCACACGCGCACACTCAGCTCACTACTGCGCCCCCTGTTGGACAGTGCCCATCGGGAGGCTGAGGGCCGGCCGTGTCCCCGGCGCCCGGCACAGGCTGGGCACCGAGGCGTGCTCCACACGTCTGTGTCGATCGCCTCCTGTCTTGCGTGGGACTCCTCCTTTCTGCACTGTGTACCCCGAGAACTGGGGCGAACAGGGCTATCAGGCGGCTGGTTTCACTTTGGGGCAAAGCTCTCTCTGTTCCCGGCCCGGCCGGCCCTTGCCCGCTCCCCCGGCGCGCGCTCTCACCTTGGCCGAGACCCCCCTCCAGCTGCGGAAAGCTTCGTAGGCGGCGCGCACCGCGGCGCGGGCCTCGGGCACCCCGCAGTCGGCCACCGAGCCCAGCGCGGCGCCGCTGGCAGGGTCGTGCACCGGGAAGGTGGCGGCGGCCGGGAGCCAGCGGCCGCCCACGAAGCTGTCGGTACGCAGCAGCCCGGCGGAGAGGCCGGCCAGCCCCCGGGCGTAGCAGCGGAGCTGGACCAAACTGGCTACGGGCCGCCGGCAGCCGGCGCGGGGGCGGAGGCGCGGGGCCCAGCGGCACCGCAGCCAGGAGCAGGTCGCCATGGTGCGGGCGGCGGCGGTGACGGCGGCAGGAGACAGGCAGGCGGGTGCGCGCCCGGGAGCGCGGGCGCCGGGGAGGCGGGGATGCTGAGCAGCGCCCTCTTCCCGCCCCTAGCGAGCTGCACCGCCGAGCTGGAGCGCTACGCGCAGGCTGGGGCCGGGGTGGGGGAGTCTCTTTGCAAGGTGCACCTCGATCCCCGGTGCCCCGTCGGGTGCTTCTTGGGCGGCAGCTACTCCCGGGCGCCCGATGGCCGCAGGGTCTGTGTGCGGCCGGCAGAGGCGTCCCGAGGCGCCAGGGCGGCCGGCGCGCTTCTGGGCATGTGTCTGGTCCTCTCCATAAGTCTGGGGGCCGGGCGGTACTAATGAATAGAGGCGCCCTTGGAGACACATTCCGGATCCGAACTCAGACCCCGGTGCCTGCAAGCTGCGGGCCCCTCGGCGGATCACTTAGCCTCAGTCCTCGCACGTGCAAAATGGAGCCATTCCTGCCCCCCGAGGCTGCTGCGCCATGAGTCTGGATGCTCAGCGCAGTGTCTGCGTTCCGTTCCGTACCGTGCGTGTTCACAGTCGGACCGGCCGGCCCCGGTCGAGCCTCGAGTAACCGGAACCTTTTGTCCAAGCGGAGTCCACCCAGGTATGAGGCTCGAGCGTTCTGTGATGACCACTGCGCCACGTCCCCCGTGCGTCCGACAGCTAGACCGCGGCTACCACTCGGGAAGCAGCGAGGCGGCTTCCAGGACCAGGGGGATGGAAGCGAACGCTGAGCGCCTGCGTCGGAAGCCCAGCCCCATGCCCTGGTCAGCCGTAGCTCGCAGTCCCGGAGCCGAGAGTGCCCTGCTGGCTTCTCCGAGCGCCGGAGCCCGTCCTCTGTTTCTACGACATCTTTGCAAAAACGCCGAAGCAGTGATTTCCCACTTGGCAGCGTCTTGTGCTGAGTCCGAGCCGCTCAGCTTTGGGGCCGGTCCTATCTGGTGGGTAGCAGTGGTAACAGCAGGAGTTAGTCTTTTGGGAGTGGATTTGCTGTGTGGTTCTGCGTTCCGTTGAAGCCAAGGGGGGAGACGGCGAGGCCCGAGGTGGGCGCTCCCGGCTCAGGGGCACTTGCCTGCAGGGGGAGCGCTATGGCAAAGCTTACGGCTGAGGTCTCTGCAGCGGAGGGAGGCCGTCCGTCTTGTTCCAGAATGAGAGTTCAGGTTGTTTCACACTTCCCACCTGGCTCATCTGTTAGGCCCAGCAGGTAGGACGCGCAGGGCCCAGAGTGTTTAAATTCTTTGAAAATCGGAAGGGAAAACGCAACCCCAAACTCTTAGGTAGAGTATTGGGATATCGCCCTTGGTACCAGTGCGGATGTAAAGTGTGAGTCCTGTGTCTGCGTTTTATGAAGGAAGGGACCCACAGAGGCAGGAGGACCTGGGGGCTTAGGAAATTTACAACGTGGTCCCCTGCAAGCCTTCAGAAACCTCCTGACCCCTAGGGACGGAGGACAAGACTGCCCGGTGACGGGGGCCTTTCCCCTCCGTTCTCTTTAGTCTGCCCTCGTCCTGGGCACCCCACATTCCTGCCTTCCTCACCCCATCTGTTCTCGCGACCCTGTGATGACAGCAGCGTGTGGGGTGTGTGTCTGTGTGAGCTGGAATTGTCTGCTTTATCTCCAACGTTTCTGGACATTAAAGACGTATCGCATTGATCTGCACAAAGAGACCTGCACTGTAACCTTTCATTTTTCATCCACTTTTGCTTTACGCACATCCCTACGTTGCTATGGAACATGTGATACCGACTGTTGATGATTTAAAATTCAGTGAGGCAGTCAGTTAGTTGAAATCTGCTGTGAATCTTTTGGAGTGGGAAAACTTTAAAAGTTCTTTAGGGGTGGATGGGTCAAGTGTGTGTGTGTATGTATGTGTGTATGTATGTACATACATACTTTACTGACCACAGAGGCAGATAGACCAAGGTCTCCTATCAGTTGATTCATCAGTTGTTATGCCCACAACATCCAGGGTTTGGTTGAAGCTGGGAGCTAGGAGCTCCATGCAGGTTTCCCATGTGGGTATCAGCTCGAGTTCTCCAACATCACCTGCTACCTCTCAGGGTCTGTATTAGTGGGTATGTACCAGCATATGGAACCCAGGCTCTCTGATAAAAGGATGTGGGTATCCACCCTAGAAGATGTCTATTGAATGATAAGCACCAACATATAATGAGCACTGACTGTGTGCCAGGCTCTCTGTGTTCAGCTCTTTGGACGTACTTATCCATCTAAGGTAGGCAGTGTCGTCACTGCAGGTTGTATAGTGGCGTCCCAGATGAGGAGACAGACGCACAGAGATTTCAGTAACTTGGAAACGTCACTGAGATAGAAAGCAGGTCCCAGGACTTGGATCCAAGGGAAGCTCAAGGCTCTCTGGCGCTCAAGCCCGTATCCCCCCCCACCTCCTGGAAGCGGCCACGTGTTTACCTCTCAGCTTACGTCTGTATGTGCAGATGATCTTTAAAGGCTAAACATTATCTCGTAGCAAAGCTACCTGCATTAGGAGAGGAGGTGTGGGGTAGAAAGCAAAGCATATCACCTGTCAGAAAGTTTCTCAATGTCACAAGCTGTATTTTAATCCTTTAAATCATATCTTTGATGTTTTCTTGGTTACAAAATATAAACTACAGAGAAAATCAAGTAGTGTTGTTACATAAAGCCCACACTCAAACATCACACCTGTCCTATGACTCGGATAACATGAAGTCATGCTGGACTTAATGCGTAAGGAGAAATTTAGGATTTCTGTCTTCACTGCTTTTTTTGGATGGATTGGTTTTATTCTAGCTGGTTTCCAAGTGGCATTATTGTTGTTATTTTTGCCTTGGCACCTCTTCTACTATTACCATTGGTTCACGATTCGTGGGTGTTCTGAGTTGAACATTTTTAATTGCCACCAACTTGCTATTGCCACCACCTGCGCTGCAGGCTTCCGAAGGTGTAGCTGAGAGGAGGAGACCCAAAGGCCTTGGCAGGCGGAAGGGCCTGGAAGCCTGCACATCCCAGCAGGCCAGGAGGGCACACTCTGTGGGGCTGCTGGCTCCTGTCATGGCATGTGGGGCAGTCAGTTCTGGAAGCTAGTTCTCTCTCTCTCTCTTTTTAAAGAGAGCAAGGAAGCTCGATTTCTATGTGAATTTCCTCATTTAACCAAATTGGCCTACTTTATAAAACACCGTGTTAGCCAAACAAAACACCTCCGCTCGTAGCCTCTGGCCTGAAGGTATTCAGAAGCAGCTGGGGCCGATGCCTTCCAGGTTGGGGCAGCCGCGGGATCTGTTTCCTGGGGCCTCGCAGCTGGCCACGACGAGGTTACCACTGGATTGTTAGCCAGCAGCTGTCTCCAATCACCCCCTTTGCTGCGGCCTTCCACTTGGCTCACCTGAGGGTCAATACCACTTCCTCCCACGTGTTCAAAAGCTCCCTTCTTTTTAATGTAGAACGTGAGGCTGTGTGGTCACCATCCTTTCCATGCATAGCTTAGCCTAGTTTTCTGCCGTGGATTTAGCACTCTGGATTGGCTGTTTCATGACAGGTATATCCTGAACCTAGCTTTTCCCAAACCCCTGCTTCTCGGCCCTGATCGGCCCCACCCCCGCCCCTCCCAAGGGGCCTCCGGACCTGCCTGGGCTGCAGACCTGAGCCCTTACACCAGGTCCAGGTGGCAAGGCCCTTGTTAGCTCAGCCCAGGTAGCAGGCCAGGAGTAGCAGCTCTTGTGTAATCCCATCCAAGTGTTGCTATCTGTTGCCAAACACGGAAAAGCGGAGCCGGTGCCAGCTGATCACCATAAAAGCTTTCCCAACACTCCACTTGGGAGGCGGAGGCAGCAGGGCGGCTGGGAAGTGTGTGGAAAGGACTTGAGACATCCGCCCTTGGGAGGCCGAGGCTTGATATGCTGCCTATCAGCGTGCACAGGTGAGCCTGTACTTGAGAAAACAAAATAGATGTAGAGAAACCTTGCTTGTATCTGCATTTAGATTTCCTGTGGGCAAGGGACATGGCGATCAGAAAACGCCAGGCTTCCAGCTAGAGGTCTCAGTTGATTGCTTTTTTTCCCCTCCCAGGAGGACAGAGTTTGTTTGTTCTGGTGAGGCTAAACAAGCTGGCCAGTTGACTTCATTGGAAAACGATGATATTTTGAAATGAGGTTCGGTGTCCCACGCCGGTGACCTGTATCCGGGGAAAGCAGTGTCTGAATTCTCGGTGCCACCACAGCTCCGCGCATCCGCACGTCCCCCAGGCGTCCGAGGGAGTGAGCATGGCTGCTGTCCGGCTGTGGCCTGGTCTGCTGGTGGTGCTGGTGTCCCTCTGCTCCCCAGGCTCGCCGTGTGGCCTTTCAACACACGTAGAAATCGGTGAGTACGGGGGCCTCGGGTTACTGAGAGGACAAGAAATCTGCCCAAACACGGGAAGGCAGAGGTTTGAAAACCTGTCGCGTTTTTGATACCAGTGCCCTGGGTGCACAGAGCAGCCTGATGGTGGGGCGTGGGAACAGTGGTGTTGGGAATCAGCCAGGAATGGGGGGCTGCTGGTTAGGGCTGGTGGAGGGGCAGATAAGCGAGAGAGTTGAGGGGGTCCCCTCAGGGTGCTAGGTCCTGAGTGTGTTTCTGGGTGGGGAGGGTGGCCGAGGAGCTTGGTAGAGTAGAGGTTGTAGCAGAGCAGAGCTGACAGGCTGGGGAGAGGAAGGGCTGGGATATGGGTAGTGAAGTGACACCTTGGCAGGAGAGACTCCATTTTGGAGCACCTGAGACTCCATCTTGAGAAAGCTACTCCCCTCCCCTCCCCCCCGATCCTGGTCTGAAACTATGATTTAAAACACTCAGACAATAGCAGTCCACTACATCACATTTGGCAAACTGCATCATACTTGGCAAAGCCTAGAAACCCCCTGGCACGATGGCTCCAGCTTAAAAACAGATCGGCTACACCTGGGTTCATGTCACGATTATAACAAATAGTTAAAACCGTAGCTGGTGTTAAGATTATAATTAATATTAGTTTTGTGTAGGCTTTAGGTTAGCTTGGCCCCGGTAACCATGTATTCCCCGGCCACATCTTAGCAACTAGTTCCCTTCCCGTCTTTGTGGTTTTTGCCTTGTTGCTTTGGGCTTCAGGGTCGAGGGTTCTTTAGGGCATCAGCCCGCTCTCCACTGCCGGGAATAAAGGATCATCAAATTTTTATTTATTTTTTGATATGCAGAGTTGAGAGAGACAAAGGTCTTCCTTCCACTGGTTCACCCCCCCAAATGGCCACTGTGGCCAGCCCACTGTGCTGATCCGAAGCCAGGAGCCAGGTGCTTCCTTCTGGTCTCCCATGTGGGTGCAGGGCCCAAGGACCTGGGCCATCCTCCACTGCACTCCCGGGCCACAGCAGAGTGCTGGACTGGAAGAGGAGCAACCGGGACAGAATCTGGCACCCCGACCGTGACTAGAACCCGGAGTGTCGACGCCGCAGGCGGAGGATTAGCCTAGTGAGCCACGGCGCCAGCCAACCATCAATTTTTTTAACTTTTATTTAGTAAATATAAATTTCCAAAGTACAGTTTATGGATTACAATGGCTCCCCCCGTCCCATAATTTCCCTCCCACTCACACCCCTCCCATCTCCCGCCCCCTCTTGGTGCTCCTCTGTTTGCACTCGCTCAGGTACAACAGTAGAAAGGAGAAACTTACTTTCTCCTATTTCCAAGGATAGGCCTCTCCACACCAAGGGGCGTGTGTGGCCGTGGGGGTGGGTGCCCGACTCAAACTGGAAAGGTGCTTGCTTCAGGGAGGTCGGAGAGGGGGGCGGTTTGCATTGGCGGTGCCCATGGTGATGGGAGGAGAGGAAGACAGAGGGGACAGGTCTGTGCCACTGACCCCAGGGCCAAAGCAGAGGCCTCTGAGAAGTGGATGGAAACAGTAGGTTTTTAAATTTTTTTCAACTTTATTGAGGTACAATTGACAAGTCAAAATGGCATAAATACATGATGTTTGTATATACATTGTGAAATGCTGACCACAATCAAGCTAACTAATGTATCAATGCTAATCCTGTGTACCCATTATGTAATGACTTTTTTGCAGTTGTGGTAAGAACACTTTACCCTCTTGAGCCAAAGAATTTGGTCCTTAAATCAAGTATATTAGTAACTTTAAGGTTACACAATAATTTATTGAGGTTCTCTTTCCTGTTTGGACACGTGCAAAGTAAACCAATTTAATATAATAAGCTACTACTCAATCCACTTGTTCATTTCCCAAATGGCTGCAATGGCCAGGGCTGGTCCAGGCTGAAGCCAGGAGGCCAGAGCTCCTTCTGGGTCTCTCACATGGGTGGCAGGTGTCTCCCACATGAGTGCAGAGACCCAAGTCCCCAGGCCATCCTCCACTGCCCTCCCAGGCACATTAGCAGGGATCTGGATTGGAAGCAGAGTAGCCAGTTCTCTCCCCAAATGGCAGCAAGGGCCAGAGCTGGGCCAATCCGAAGCCAGGAGCTTCTTCTGGGTCTCTGACGTGGGTGCAGGGGCCCAAGGACTTGGGCCATCTTTTGATTTTCCAGGTACATCATCAGGCAGCTGGCTCACTAGTGGAGCAGCCGGGACTTAAACCAGCGACTATTATGAGATGGCGGCACTGCAGGCAGTGGCTTTACCTGCTGCACTGTAGCACTGGCCCCCGGTTCTTTCATTGTGCTGGTGAGGGAAAATGATGCTAGAGAGATCCCAGCTGCCTTGTGAGGCGGCCTGGCTTAGAACTACTTGTGCTGACAGCCGGTTCCCGTGTTGAAAGGGAATCAGACCCAGCTGTGCTGTTGACAGATGTGTGAGTGATTTACTGTATCTCAATTCTTCACGAAGTGAAGGGGTTGAACTGCTGATGGGATTCTAGCGTCTTCCAGCTGTAAGCTCTGTGGAACTGGTGGAACTATAGAAGTTGAAGAGAAACATAAATGGAAATAGTCAACTTTTTTAATCGTGAGAGCTTAAAGATGCCACCTAAGTTTTAATAAAACCAGATAGTTGATTGTCTTTTTTCAATAGGTACCAAATAAAGGTTCTAACAAATATTTACTGAAACCTATATGAAGGTACCTCCGAGTTCATGGAAAAACGGACGTTAAAAATGTTTATTTTGGTGCAAAGTATTTTGAAATCCATGCATAGCTTTTTTATAATACCCATGAACTTCTCCATAACCATGTGTATGTGAATGTAATTAAAGGAAATGTCCAAAGAATCTGATTTTGATCTATTAAAAACACCTGAGAACTCCAACATTTAGATCTTTGAAATACTGAGTGGAAGGTTGGTGTCTTCGTGAGCTGGAGCGGCCTCTCCCAGTGGTTGGGTGTGGACATCACTGGAGTCCAGTATGTAGACTCCACGTGTGGACTGCGACTGTTGCTCGTAGCAATGCTTATTTCAGTAGCGGGCTCTATGTCTTTGTCTTGTGAACTTAAAATTTGTTATTTACAGGAGAAATGAGGCACCCTTTTGAATATCCTGAGGAGCAGAAGTCTCCCTCTTGGCCTCTGATGAGGGCTGGGAGGGGGCAGCTATCAGTGGAGAGGGGGGCCTTCTGAGGTGGTCTTGACCTTCCAGAGTGTTCCAGTGTTGACAAAACTTTTGGGGTTCATTGGTTTAATCATGGCTTAGGCCTTGCCTGTAATTTCTGCTTGGGTTTATCTCCCTCAGTTCTGAGGCAACATGGTGATAAGTTTGTTTCTAGAATCCCTGTGTGTCCACCACCATGCTAGTCACTGACAGGTTTGTTGAACAGCAGCAAATACATACAAAACCTGTTGCTTAATTTTGCACAGGAGAGAACTGAAGCCTCGAGTGGGTGAAATGACTTACAGGGTCAGACTCGGGTCACAGACTGATTCAGAAAGCTGAAATCACTGTGCACATTGGCAGTGTGTGTGGATTGTCACAACAAATACTGTAGACCTCTCATTTTGCCTAATAAAAGTTCCAAGTGCAGACTCACTCCCCACCTGTTGGACAGTTACGACTGTAAAACCATCTCCCTTTGAAAGTGGTCTCTAACAAGTTCTGCTTCCAGTTGTGGTTGACCTGTACTGATCGACATATTTATTTTCTCAGGACACAGAGCTCTGGAGTTCTTCCACCTTCCAGATGGCCGTGTTAACTACAAGAAGGTATAAAGCTTAACTTTTCTTCAGTTTCTTGGGCGTTGTTCTCTTGGTAGTCCTGAGAAAGATTCTAACAAGTGTTCAATTTTACAAGCAACTTTTCTATCTCTATAGAGCATGGATAATAGTTAAGTTGTCTGCACCTCCAGATGCTACCTGAACATTTTACATATAAAATGTAGATCTTTAAAGTTTAATACTAAATATTTTAGATGCAATTGGTTAACTATGAGCATAATTTGAAACATCTAAGAAGGATTTTTTTTAAAGATCTATTTGAGAGGCAGAGTTAATAGACAGAGGCAGAGAGATCATCCTCCATCCTCTGGTTCACTCTCCAGATGCCTGCGGTGGTGGAACAGGGCTGATCCAAAGCCAGGCGCTTCTTCCTGGTCTCCCACATGGGTGCAGGGGCCCAATCACCTGGACCATCTTGCACTGCTTTGCCAGGCCAATAGCAGGGAGCTGGACCTCGAACTGGTGCCCATATGGGATGCTGGTGCCACAGGCAGAGGCTTAACCTTCTAGGCCACATCACCAAGGGAAGAAGGAATTTTTTTAAATGGGATTTTTTGTTTTGAGAAGTTACTCTTGAAATGAGGGTCCAGTCCGTCACTGTGTGGTACACAAAGGACCTCACCAGGAGAAGGATATCTTTGGGTAGTGGTGTAATTCCTGGTAGGACAACCTGTTGGCTCACCTTGACCCTCCTTTATGCCAGTCCATTCAGATCCTAGCATTATTTCCAATTACACAGCCAATAAAATGTTGGGAAAAGACCTGTCCTGATGTTTGAGAGCAGTTAACGTTCTCTCATGAGACCTGAATTGGATTGGGTTGTTATGGGACAATCCAGTGTCGAAAGCAGGACAAGATAACAGGAATCTACCACTTCCTCAAAGCACATTGAACTGTTTGGCAGGCAGGCAGGCAAGCAAGTTGAAACAATGTAACCAGCCCTGCAGGAAAAGAGCATTTAGATCTGATTGACCTTGACAAAGTATGCCGAGAAGGGAGGATTAGCAGGAATCGGCCCAATTCATCATGAAAATGGTCAATTGTGAGTATGTGCAGTGTTCACCCCCTCCCGCCCCCCATAGAGGCATCCAAGCTTGTATTAGTGATGTGTTTAAACCATGCTAATGGACTCCGACATCCCTCTCCATGTGGTCATCATTGGAAATGGCCAAGTGTCTTTGAGTCCTTACATGTCTCCTTGCAACTTAGACATTTGGAGATAATGGATCGTCACGCTTTGAAAAGGGACTTTGACTATCTCCATCTGGGGTGGCTTGGTCGCTTCCCTCTCTCTCGGCTACATCCTGTCTCTTGGGGAGCTCTGGATTGGGACTGAGATGACAGGGGGCAGTGGCCTAAAGGCGGCCCGCTGGCTGTCCAGAGCCCCATGGGCGGGTGGAGTCCAGGCAAGGTCTGCACGTTGAGGGCCGGCGTTTGGTGGGGTCAGGGATCATGCAGAGGTGGCTGCGTCAAAGACTCCAGCGTACACTAACCAACTTAATACGAACGTTGCGTAAAGCTCAGAAAAAGCAGCTTATTAACTTGGGAGAACTGGGAACCACGCTGAGCTCCTATTAGTGGCTGTCACTGCCCCGATTGTCCCTCCCTGTCTGCAAGGATGACAGTGTGGTAGGTGCAGTCTGAAGTCAGCAGTGACCATGCCTTGGCCGGTTGTCTCTGTCCAGTGTGTTTTAACTATAAAACTGACAGAAGCTCATCATACAACACCAGTCAGTGGTAACTGATACAGTATTAATATCTTGTTTTTATATCACTCCAGGCATACTTTTTTTTTTCTTTTTTTGGACAGGCAGAGTTAGACACAGAGAGAAAGGTCTTCCTTCTGTTGGTTCACCCCCCCAAATGGCTGCCATGGCCAGCACTGCACCGATCTGAAGCCAGGAGCCAGGTGCTTCTCCTGGTCTCCCATGGGGTGCAGGGCCCAAGCACCTGGGCCATCCCACACTGCCTTCCCGGGCCACAGCAGAGAGCTGGCCTGGAAGAGGGGCAACCGGGACAGAATCCGGCGCCCCAACCGGGACTAGAATCCAGGGTGCCGCGCCGCAGGCGGAGGATTAGCCAAGTGAGCCATGGCACTGGCCTCCAGGCATACTCTTTGCAGTTACTAGCACTCCCTCCTCTCCATTAATAAAACATGCGCTTTACACACCATCTGATAACTTGCTTTCTTTCAGTTAATGTTACCAAGATATCTTTCCTGGTCAATAGATGAAAAACCCCAGAATAATTTTTTTTTTCAAGGTTTATTTGAGAGGGAAAAACAGGTTTTCTATCCTCTTGTTCATTCCCCAAATGCCTGCAAAGCCAGGTGCTCCTTCCGGGTCTCCCATGTGGGTGCAGAGGCCCAAGCACTTGGGCCATCAACAGGGAACTGGATTGGAAGTGGAGCAGCCAGCGCTCATGTGGGATGTGGTTGTTACAGGTGGCAGCTTTACCCACAGTGCTGGCCCTGGCTGGCTGGTATGCTCGCTGCGTCTTCTATCTAATCTACCATCTCCTGTTACTCTGTAAAATGGATCATAACGTGGTTTTGCCTAATGTTTCCTCATGAGTAGGCTCCCGCGAAAGTTAGACTTTTGGCAGGATCTTAGAGGACATGCAAATGATGCTGCCTTCTTGTAACATCAAAAGGCGTGCAGTGACAATCTGTCTCACTTCTGGTGAGAGTAATTTTCGATGACTTTCAGTTTCTTTTAATGCCTTCTATTTCTGAGACTTTCTATTAGATTATTTAACTACTTGATCTCCTGATTTAATGGAGCATTAAGCCCTTGACTATAATGTTAATTAAAAATGTTACTTCAAAAACTTAAGGAAGAGGGAGGATGGGGGAGAATATTATTGTATTAGAACTCTACCTATGAAAAATTTCAAGCTATCCCATAATTATTCATAGAAGCATTTTTATATATCCTGTTGTCAAATTTCTCCTAGTCTCAGCATTCATGTCTTTTTTTTTTTTGCATGATATAATTATTTGTTACGGTTTATCTCATCCCCACATTCTTTCTACATTTGTTAGCTGGCATTCTGCTGTATGGTAGTTTCATTTCTCTAACTTTTACATATTGGTATTATATTCATGGAATCCTCTTTTATTCAGTGGCTTATGATACATTACTGTTTATCTTGATGCTGAAATTGTCCCAGATTTGGCTTCAAGTTCACTTCCTGTCTCTCTGTATGGATAAAGCCATACATTCATAAGAAAATACAACACCCCAGGATTTAATCTAGTGTTCTCCATATCCTTCTGTTTAACCCCTTTCTCCAAAAGGGACCTGGCTTCCCTGATTATCAACACATTTACTTACACGCTTAGTTGACTTGATGTAAACAATTCCTTTTTTTGAAGACTACACATGTTTGCTTTACCTAGAAACCTTTTACTTAAAGCATATAAACTTTCATTTATTTCAAAGATCTAACTTGAATATAGTGGCTTTTTTTCCCCCCTACACTACCTGCCTTCTCACCCTTCTTCCTCCCTCCTATTCCCATTTTTTTTTTTTACTAAGATCTATTTTCAGTTGACTTATAGCATGTAATCCATTTCTTGGCCATTACTATCAGCCCTGGCATGGTTGGCTTAATCCATTTTGTCCAGAAACAAATGAAAATGACCGACAAATGGAAGACGTGTATATGATGTGGAAGAGTATAAGAAAAACTAATTTCTCCTCTGTTCTCAAACCACAGTGACGTAGACGACTGGGATCCCAGTGTGGAGACTCCTCCCTACTAGTAATCCAACAGTCACTTCTGCAGTGGACAGCACCGGGGTTCTCGGGGGCCACCTCCCCTAGGTGGGGGGCTCAGGCCCAGGACTGCCCCCATTTCAGCCCGGGTTTCAAGTCCAGGCTTCTGGAGCTTCTGCTCCACCAACCAAAACTCTTTCCTCAGTTTTTTTATTTTTATTTATTTTTGACAGGCAGAGTGGACAGTGAGAGAGAGAGAGAAAGGTCTTCCTTTGCTGTTGGTTCACCCTCCAATGGCCGCCGCGGCCGGCGCACTGCGGCCGGTGCACCACGCTGATCCGATGGCAGAAGCCAGGTGCTTCTCCTGGTCTCCCATGGGGTGCAGGGCCCAAGCACTTGGGCCATCCTCCACTGCACTCCCAGGGCCACAGCAGAGAGCTGGCCTGGAAAGAGGGGGCAAACTGGGGACTAGGAACCCCTGTGGTGCCGGCGCCGCAAGGGGGAGGAATAAACCCTAATGGAGCCCAGGGCCCCCGCCTTTTTTTTCGAAAAGACTTTATTTTGAGAATGGAGGAGTTACAGAAGAGGGGAGAGAAAGGTCTTTCCCTTCTGTCTTGCTGGTTCAATCCCCCAAATGGTCACAATGGTTGGAGTTGGGCCTTTCCAAAACCAAGAGCTCTCTTTTTGGGGTGCAGGGGCCTGAGCACTTGGGCTGTCTTCTGCTGCTTTCCCAGGCCCACTAGCGGGGAGCTGGATTGGAAGTGGAGCAGACAGGACTCAAACCGCTGCCCGTGTGGGGATATCCGTGCCGCAGGCTGAGGCTTAGCCTACTAGCCACGGCGCCGGCCCTTCCTTCCTCAGATCCAGTTAGTGTTAGAGTGGCTCACAGAACTCTGGGAAACGCTAAGAGTTGCCGGTTCATTAGGAAGTATATAGGTCAGTGCCAGGTGAAGGGTAACATCGGGTGAGGAAGGGCCCGAGTCCAGGAGCTTCTGTCCTGGTGGAGCTGGGGTGCACCACCTCCCCGCATGTGGTGAGCTCTTAGTCACTTTCCTGTAGCCTCCAGTGCTCGGCGCTCTGAGCCCCATCCTTGGGGGTTGTTATGGAAACGTCTCTTATCACAAGGCATGACTGAAGCATGGATATCTGTGCCAACGTGTGATTGGACAAAAGGTGAATGATCCGACCCCAAGACCGAGTGGGAGAACACAGCAAGGCCCCTCTGTTCAGGTTCTCCTTGGCTTCTCCGTACAGCACTCCTCCCTCCGCCTCTGCCTCCTCCTCTCCCTTGAGTAGGGTGGGATCTGTTCTGGAATGGGGTCTTAGGATCACCTATCAAACTAGCTGGATCAGTGAATTTCTTTATGGCCGGCACCAAGACAGGGGAAGATGAGGGTTGTTAAGACCTGCCTTGGGGAAGAAAATTCTAGTTTCTGTGGCTTACACTGGGAGTTATGGACCAGGAACTGTGCATGGAGCCCCAAATATATTCTAGCTAAAGGTAATAGCCTTAAATGCTCATGTTAAATTTCTTAAAGTACCTTCAGATTTGCTCTTAGACTTAGTTTTTATTCTTTTTTGTCTTTGCCAATTTAGTAGGTAATATTGACATTTTATTACAGGATTAACTGGTATTTTAGTTACTACTGGGGTTAAGACTATTCTGGAGTGTTTGTTTCCCATTTCTATCACTTCTTCTGTGAATTGCCTATGTCTTTTGTTCATTTTTGTATTACAACAGTTATCCTGAAGAGTTAAGACTGCCTTATTTATTAAAATATTAGTAATTAGCCTACTAATTTATTCTTATAGTTGGCTTTTTTTTTTTTTTGTAAGGATTTATTTGCTTGAGAGGCAGAGAGGTTTTCCATCCACTGGTTCACTCCCCAAATGGCCACAATGGTCGGAGCTGCTTCTGGGTCTCTGGCATAGGTGCAGGGACTCGGGCACCTGGGCCATCTTCTACTGTTTGCCCAGGCCACTGTTGGGGAGCTGGATCAGAAGTGAAGCAGCTGGGACATGAACCAGTGCCCCTATGGGATGCACCACAGGTGCATGCTTAACTCACTAAGCCACAGTGCTGGCCCCAGCTGTTTTCCTTTAAATTTGTTTTTGGAGTTTTCCATACAGAAATGTTAAAATCTTTAAGGGGACCATTCTCTTACAGGATGCTACTTGCCTATGTCTTTTACAGTTATTCACTCCAGTTTCTTATTAATTCAATGGCTCCAATCTTGGACACGTCACTTCCTAATTCATCTTGCATGTACTTTGGCACAAAGGATAGTAACTTGTTGGTGGTAATGTTGACTTCCCATCAGTGTCGCCTGCACGGAGCATCTGGCAACCTGTGCCAATGGTGTGATCGTTGCTTTGGGTTACACCAATGCCATTTGTCAGTTACTCCATGCGTTGTGCATCTCTGTCAGACACTAGGTTGTATGTCCACTCAGTCTGGTTTTGTACTTGTCATTCTGTTTCATGGATTCCTGCTTTTTTGGTCGCAATATGGTATCATTTTTATTTCTATAGCTTAAAAATACACTCTGACCACTGAGGGATACATTCTCCTGTGGTATTGTTTTCCCTGGCAGTGTCCCGAGTGTTCTGCATGTGTATTCCTCACAGTTTGCGAAATTGTTTTCTGTTGAATCTTGTACCCACTCTGTGAGGGGTTCAAAGTCAACAGGTCAGCATAGAAAGTGCTCAGAACAGTGACTGGTAAAGCAAATGTCCAGCCAAGTTAATTATTATCTTAAAGTGACAAAAGTCCGACTCAGATTGCAGAACAAATTGAATGTAAATCAATTTGTTGATTTATGGAAATGACAGCCCTGCAGTAGAGCTAGACCTGGAGTTCTAGGTGGTGCCCCACTTCTTCATGGGCAGGCACCCACCATCCCAGGGCTCCACCTCAGAGTTAACTGTCCCAAGTGGAAGAGGGTGTCTCCCCCCTTGTTCCCTACCCACCTCGGGGGAGTGCGTCTTGGAAGAGGCTAACTGAGCTAGCCTTGGTCATGTGTCCATACCTGAGCTAGACAGTGGGCGGGGTGGAGCTGCTGCCCACTAGCTTGGGGGTCAGCTCTACCTGGTCAGCCTGGCAGGGGTGCCCCTGGAGAAAGTGGGTCTGTCCCCAGAAGGAGGGTCATGGGGTGCTCGTTGGAAAAATGAAACAAAAACCATGTACAGCTTACATTACTAGCAAGTCATAATTAGGAAAAAAGAATTGTATTGACTTTGGCCATGTTACATCTATTAGAGTTTGGCAGATCCTGGAAACCCCTCTGGTCACATAGGCAGAGAAGGGCTTACCACCAAGAATGACAGAGTTGACTCTGTACAGATTGAGAGCTGGTGGAATGGCCAGAGGGAACTCCCAGGACTACACGTGGAAGAGGCCTGTGATGGACCCGTGGCCTCTACATAGATGGACGACCTGGCCCATTGCCAGCTCCAGGTCCACCTTGTTGACTGTGCCTCAGGAGCTCTGTCCCCTGTGCCAGGATGCTCTAGCAGACCGGATGTCCTGCTTGCTTGGGGGGACTCGGGGAGTTGAGTCACGGTGGAGGCTGGGCTGCGATGGCCTTGGGTCATCGTCTTCTGGCCTGTAGAGGCTGTACCGAGAGGCATGCGGTGCCAGGGTGGGACAGACGGGACCAGTCAGCCAGGGAAGACATTCCAGAGAAATCCCCTCTTTGTCGCTCCCCCTCTTCGTGGAGGAACGACACTAAACCCTGCCTAGGCTTCCTATCCGAGTCACGGCACCATTATGTCCCCCCCCCCCCCCCGCCCCCGGTCTTCGCGGAGGAATGACACAGGACCCTGCACTGTTCTTTTGTCTGCTCGGCCCTCCCCGGGTTTGCTGCTGGTTCTTCCCAGGTTGGCTACCATCCCTTCCACCTCTGTGGAAGGGCGGTTCCCCCTGCCACTTTCCCCACTTCCGTGGGGGAGTGGCACACCGCCGGCCGGCTCTCTCGGGTGCTGCACAGGTGTTCCTTCAGATAGATGTTCCCTGGTGCATGTTGTCTCTCTCCTCCTTTATAGTCCTCTTCCACCAATCCCAACTCTGCTACCCACACGCCGAGTACGCTGCTCTCCTCCAATCAGGAGCAGGTCCTACAGTTTATTGGTTGAACTGGAGGCAGCTGTGTAGAAGCTGTTTCCTCCCTTCTCAGCGCCATATTGTGGGAGAGCAGATGCATAAAATAAGTCTTAATTCCAGTAACAGTCTAGTCCAAGTTGCTCCCAGTTGCTCCCCACACCTCTTCTCACATCCTTTTACAAGGAAAGCCTTTAAGATTTCGATTATACTGTAAATTAAAAGTACTACCTCAAATTTAAACCCAATAAAGTAATTTTTTTAAAAAAGGAAAGGACGGGACTAGTGCTGTGCCATAGTAGGTTAAGCCCCTGCCTTTGGCACTGGCATCCCGTATGGACACTGGTTCAAGTCCCGGCTGCTCCTCTTCCAATCCAGCTCCCTGCTTATGTGCCTGGGAAAGGAGTAGAAGACGGCCTAAGTGCTTGGGCCCCTGCACCCACATAAGAGACCAGGAAGAAGCTCCTGGCTCCAGATTGGTCCATCTTCGGCTATTGCAGCCACTTGGGGATTGAACCAGTGGATGGAAGACCTCTATCTTTCTCTGTCTGTAGCTCTGCTTCTCAGATAAATGAATTTTTTAAAAAAAAGTTTTGTAACTCTCCAAAAAGCACAAGGACATAATCTTGGAGTGAATCACAGGTGGCAACTATAAAGGGGTATGTACATATAGAGGTTGCATATCTACATACATGAAATTAAAAAGACACATTAAAGATAATGCCCATTGTTCATGAACTCTCGGAAGCCCTCATGTGCAGCTGTACTTTTCTCACTTCACTGTGGGTCATTGACAAGCTCATCACCAGCTCTGGGTCAGAGAAATAGCATTAAGGAAATCCCCTTCTACTGGGTGGACAGAGAAAATGAAAGGGACACAATTTAAGAAGGTGATTTTAGCTACTTCCTAATTAGTCTGTTTGGTATGAAGAAGCTGGAGTTACATATTCTAGTGTGTTATCTTGGACACCAAGTGAATTTTTATCACTTATGTACTTGGGCCTGCCTTCTTGCCTGCATTCTGTTAGCACGCCTGTAGTCCTGGCGTCCGATCGACGGAAGTCAATGGGGCCTGCATTTCCCAGGCTGTTGACCTTGCTCCCTAAGCCCTGTGTTTCCCTCTCCCCAGCTACTTCTAGAGCACCTGGATGCGTATCAGGCGGGAAGTGTGTTTCCTGATTGCTTCTACCCCAGCATCTGCAAAGGAGGTGAGATGACACTCTGCAGTCGAACCACCTGCTCTCGGTGAATAGGGAGGGTTATTATCTAAAAGTGTATACAACACGGTTTTCCATTACTTTGATCAGTGATGTTGTCCACATAGTTGGATTTTCCGTGTGGTGAAAACTTACCTGCCTAAGTGCAGATACTCGGAAAGTTTTAGTGTTTGGTGAAAGCTGGTCCGAGTGTCCTTACTTGATTTACTACTTTGTGGCATAAGGGAAAACATCTCACAAAAGACAGGAAGGAGTGGCTTTCTGTTCTTCCATCCAGGTTCTTAGCAGTGACCTTGCAAAGCTCCTTTCATCCAGAATCTCGGTTCCCTTTGCTGCAAGGCAGCGATGATGTTGACTGCCTCGCCTCCTCACTGGGTTGTTGTTGGCATGAGGGTATGGGTTCAGGCCAGTGTTCTGCAAATCTAAGGTAGCGTACTCTGTAAAGTGGGCCCGTGGGTTATACCAGCCAGGGCCCCAGCAGGCCACAGAAGGCAGATCTTCAAGCTGCACAATTTATGGGGTATTAAGGTGTGGATGGACATAAGGAATTGCAAAAGGTAATGCAGGAGGCCAGTGATTCTCGGAGCTGTGGCCAGAGAGAGATCTACATGGAGAAGACTGCTCATTAGGAACAGGGCCCTCCGCCCAGGCATGCAGCCACCCACCACGACCCCACAGAAGGGGCGCTGAGACCAAGCACCCCAACTTCACTCTTCCTTTCCTCTGAGTTCCTGTTCACTCTCCCCATTGGCCAAACGCAACCCAGCAAAGAGGACCAAGAAGCCAGTTGTAGCAGGTGTCCTTGGTCCCCAGACGGAGGGATCTGGAGGGGTGACGGAAGCCGTCCAGCGCAGGGTCACCTTGGGAGCATTTCTGGTGTTGGGGTCGTCAGCTGAGTACATTCAGTTGATCAACTCTTGAGGGTGGTTGTTTAGGATCCCAGGCTTCTAAGCTTTCATACTTTTCTCATAGCCATAGGATTTTTTTTTTTGTTTGTTTTCTTCTTTGTTAACTATCCTATTGTTTTGCCTACATTTCGTAGTTGTCTTTCTAACAGATTCTAGTTTTTAGCATTTTCCAAACCATATTCATGGGGGCTGTATTATCTTGATGTTTGAACAGTCCCTTGAGACATACAAAAGAAAGCAAAATAATTTGTTCATCTGTTAAATTTGAGAAACATTGCTTAATGTATGCCACTTCTAGACACAGACACAACACACAATGGTCAAAGTTCTGAGTGGAGAAGTCGGGCAAGCTGATGTTTCTCATGATTTTATAAAGCAATAGGCACTTTGCTGTGTGATGTGAAAGGTAAGACCAGTGTGTGATTGACAGAGGAAGTGACTGGAAAGATACAATACAGGAGTCCCTTGTGGTCACTAAACACCGAATCCTCCCAGATGTTGTTAAATTCACCTTCATCTCAAGTGTGTATAATTCATTAATCTTTTTTCCCATTGGCAATTCCCTTTTACTGCAGCTTTTGAAAACGCTTAACTTTCTCAGATACTTAGTGGCCAAAGGAAAAGCTCTACTTCTATACCAGATCCTCACCAGTTGGATTGCAGTCTGTAATTACAGTAACAAGGACAACTGGTCTAAACAGGATCAGAAGCAGGCCTGGCAGGCCTTGGCTTGGGACCTTGAGCCTTAAAGGCAGTGGCTTTGCTGGCTGGTGTCCCAACCTCCTGGCCAAACTCTAGTCCCAAGAGATGTAATCAAAACAAAATACAACAACAACGACAATAAAAACAAAGAACACAAAAGAAATCTAAACTTAGTCTTAGGGCACAGACATGGGAACGCGCTCACCTGGCCACAGGTAACCCTAGCAGCGCAGGCTCTCATCTCTTCCACTGTAGCACCCTTGGCATCCACCAGGGCCATACCCGTCCCAGAGTCACGGCTGGCTCGCCTGCTCCGGGGCTCCCCGTGGACATCCCAAGGGCTTGGAAGAAAAGGGCACTGAGAGAGAGCGGCATAGCGGGTGGTGCTGGGGTGGGCTTGGTGGAGGTCCTAATTTTTATGGAAGAACTCGGAGCCCTGCTTTTGTTCTGTCAGGAAAGTTCCATGATGTGTCTGAGAGCACCCATTGGACACCGTTCCTCAACGCGAGCATCCATTATATCCACGAGAACTACCCCTTTCCCTGGGAGAAGGTAGGTGACGGCCCTGGTCCTGCCAGCTCCTGTTTTTGTGCCTAATTTACTGTGCTTGGACTTCTCCCCGACTCTGAGAGGCTGTTAAACGCAGGGCTTGGGTTATAGCAGGTGGCTAATTGACTCTTCACTATGTTATTAAAAAAATGAAAGTTGGGGTATGCCACTCGGTCCAGTAGTAATTAACCTGAACGTACTCCCAGGGCACTGAAAAACATTACAACATGTCCTCTGTAGTTTTTGGTAACTAAACTGCAATGTACTTGCCTCTAGTAGTTTGTCAAGTCTCAAGGGAGATGAAATTGCGTTTATGAAAATGTCTGCAGAGTTCTTGTTGTTGGAAAATAACCCCTCACATGTCGGTGGCCTCTGATCTGCTTGCTCGGCAGGACACGGAGAAGTTGGTCGCTTTCTTGTTTGGAATCACCTCCCACATGGTGGCAGATGTGAGCTGGCATAGCCTGGGCATTGAGCAAGGGTTCCTGAGGACAATGGGAGACGTGAGTTCATGGCTTCATGGCTGATGGCTGTGCGGGAGTGGTGCTGTCCTTCTCAAGCTCAAAAACGGGCTCCTTTGAAACCAAGGAAAATGCTAGGTTCTTCAGAAAGCAGGTGTCACTTGTGGGAACAAGACTGCTTGCCTGAAGCCATGGTTGGCTAGAATTCCATCTCTTCCATTCATCCTTGTAGTCCGCTTGCCCCTGGGTTAAGATCATCCATGGGAGCAGACAACTGATGTCCATGCAAAGAGGTGGTAGGTGTGCTGCTTTTAAAGTCCCTGGCAATATTTGATAGGTTGTATGTTTTATTCAAGGTCTGTGTCTTCATAAGCTTAGGAACACTTGCCACTCGGTTCTGTTTAAAAGTAAAACTCCCCTTTATTCTGTTTTTATTTTTCTTTGTAATTCTCTGAATGCACGTGCTTTTTAATGAAACGGAAATTTGTGATCTTGAACTTCTGGGAGGCCCTTCTGGCTGGTAACTAGTGTTAATTCCGTTAGAATAGAGTGTATATAAAATCTGGTCCCGGTCTGAACTTCGACAGAAGAACCCAAGGAATTGGAGATTTTTGTGTACCTGGGAGGCACAACCGCCCAGAGTAGTTTAAGTATCAGACAACTCATGCGTGAATATCACTTCTGGGTAAAGTGTTTTTTAACTTGTAAAATGTTAGCTTGAAACCTGCGAGCGTTTAGCGTGCCTCTCCAGCGCCCCACCCCGTTAGGCTGTCGGCACCCCGGGTGCTGGGTGTGGGAGAGGGCCGGGCCGTTGTCTGTGATCTACACATGATTCTCTTTCTTCCTCAGATTGACTTTCATGGCTCCTACCCCAAGGCTCATTCGGCTGGTGATTTTGGTACTGTTTGTTTATATCTGCCAAATTTTCCCCTGGGATGGTTTTAGTTCACATACAATGAAATCGCTATTGAACTTTAAATGTTTTTTTGAAATGTTTTGCTGGTAGCCTATAGTATCTGTTTGAATATTACAGTTCATTTAGAGTACATGCATCCCTCATGTAACAGATGTATTCCTAGAAAGTTGTGTCTGTTTTTTGTTTAAAAAAATTCGACATTTAATGATTGTATCATAATTGTAGAAACACTTTACTTTTTATATTGAATTAAAATTCTAGCTAGTGTCTCTTAATTTAATATTGTTTTTAAATTGCTAAACTCTATCATTTTTTTCTATTAGGAAGTTACCTTTAAATACACAAACTAGGTTTAGAATGAGATGTATTTAAAAATCTTTATGGTCTGTCTTAAGATACAAAAATATTGCCTTTGTTTATATGGATTCTTTATTAATTCCTATGCTTTACTAGCTAACATTTTTAAAAGATTGCTTTTTCTTAGAGGTGTATTTGAACCTAAAACAGCGAACAGAAACACAATGAAGTGAAGAGCTAGTAATCTGGTTTGTGAGAGCTGTGTTGGACGTAGCATGCTGTGTTTGTCACTCATCCATCCAATGTCAACATTTTTCTCACTGTAGGTGGAGATGTATTGAGCCAGTTTGAGTTTAATTTTAATTACCTGGCACGACGCTGGTAAGAGCCATGTGTGGGACTTCGATCCTTTTCCTTAGAAAATGTAACTTACAACACACTCTTCTGCATTTGTAAATGTTTAAAGTGTTCTTTAAAGGACACATAGTTGTATACGTATGTGGGATAGAATGTGGTATTTCAATACATGTGTGTGGCGTGTAATGAGCAGATAAGTGAGTTGAAGGGGATGCTAATTACCCTTATTGTATCTTTGTTGTGAGAATGTTCAAAGTCATCTCTTGCAGCTATTTTGAAATACACAGTATGTCATGGTTAAATATCATCACCCAGCTGTGCAGTAGAGCAGTAGAACTCCCATTTCACTGCAACTGGGTACCTGTTGACCAACCCCTCTCCACCTCTTCCCCTTAACTCGCCCCTGCCCTGGTAATCACCTCTCTGTTCTCTAGATGAACTTTTTAAAAAACTCCACATATGAATGAAGTCAGGAGATACTTATGTCTCTATGACTGTTTGATTTCACTTAGCATAATGTTATACAGCTTCATTCATGTTTCTGCAAATGACAGGGTTTCCTTATTGTGGCGTAACATATGTGTGTGTGTGTGTGTGTGTGTGTATGTATGTGTGTATATATATATAATCACACTCTTTGCCCGTGAATCTGTTGATGGATCCTTGGGTTGGTTCTGTGTCTTGGCTACTGTGAATGGTGCTGCACTAAATATGGAAACGTAGGTATCTCTCTGATACTGACTTCATTTCCTTCTAGTACATATCTAGTAGTGGGTTGTTGGGTCATAAGGTTTCTTTTTCACTGCATTTATAAATTTTGAAAAGTAAAATTGTAAATTAGAATAGTCTAAATAGATTCTTAAATTGTGAAATGTACCAAGCATATAGAAGAATGTATACTTATAAAAAAATAACGTGCACCTGCGTAGCTTCCACCCACCTTAAGAAATAGAGCATTACTGACATCTGAGAAGCTGCTTAACTTCCCTTTTTAATCATATTGCCTTAACTCCTATCAGGGTAACCATATTCTTCGCTTTCATGTTAATCATTTTGTTGCTTTTCTCAACAGATTTACTATATACAAATGTACCCGTATGCAAATTATTGCATAGTTTTTCACCTTAGATAAATGGAATTAGTATATAATCTCATATTTTTACAATTTTTAAAAAATATTTATTTACTCAAAAGGCCAAACAACACAGGCACACACAGAGATCTTCCATCTGTGTGTTCATTCCTCAAATGGCCACAATGACCAGGACTAGGCTGGGCCCAGCTGAAGCCAAGAGCCTGGAACTCTATCCGAATCTTCCATGTGGGTGGCAGGGGCCCAAGAACTTGGAATATCTTCCTCTACCTGTCCCAGACACGTTAGCAGTATGCTGCATCAGAAGTGGAGCAGCAGGAACTCAGCCCGGCACTTACTATGGGCTGCTGGCATCACAAGCAGTGGCTTGATCTGCTGTACCACAACAGCCATCCCTATTTTTCAGAATTAAGTGTTGATGTGTTGTGTGGTCCTCCATTGTATGAATGTACCAATGTACATTATTTCATTTTAACACTGATGGACATAGGAGTAGTTTTTACATGTTATTGCTTTATCCATGGTGTTGCTATGAACATTTTTTAGGCATACATTCATGCAGTAGAAGGGGACAACACCAAAAGTAGCTTGCTGCATCATGGACTTAGGCATGTGTAACTTTACTTTTTCAAAATGGTCTTCTCAATTCATGTGCCTTACCCCTTCATAGAATAGTTCTGCTTCTTTTGCATTCTCTAATACCTGATACTGTCCAACTAATTTTCCCAACCAGTTTGTATATGACATCTCATTAAGTTTTTTTTAAGATTGATTTATTTGAAAGGCAGAGTTACAGAGAGGGAGGGAGGGAGGTCTTCCATTTGCTGGTTCACTCCCCAGATGGTCACAGTGGTCAGAGCTGTACCAATCTGAAGCCAGGAGCCTCCTCCTCCAGGTCTCCCACGCGGGTACAGGGGCCCAAGGACTTGAGCCATCTTCTACTGCTTTCCCAGGCCATAGCAGAGAGCTGGATCAGAAGTGGAGCAGCAGGCCTCAAACTGGCACCCACATGGGATGCCTGGCACTGCAGGAAGTGGCCTCACTGGCCACACAGCAGCACCAGCCCCCTTATTAAGATTTTAATTTGAATTTCCTAGATTATTAATGAGGTTGAATGTTTTTTCCTACTTTATTAATCATTTGTGTTTGATTTTAAGTGAAAAACTATTTGAGTTTTTAGCACAGTCTTCTGTTGGGTTGTTTGTCCTTTTTATTTTTATTTTTTAAAATATTTAATTGAAAGAGTTGCAGAGAGAAATCTTCTATCCAATGGTTCACTCCTCAAATGGCTTCAATGGATGGAGCTGGTCCAGCCCGAAACCAGGAGTTGGGAGCTTTCTCTGGTTTCCCATTTTGGTGCAGGGGCCCAAACACTTGGGCCATCTTCCACTGCTTTCCAGGCACAATAGAGAATGGGATCAGAAGTGGAATAGCTGGGACTCGAACCAGTGCCCATATGGGATGCTGGCATAGGAAGCAGTGGCCTAACCCACAATGCCAGTCACTTGTCCTTTTTATTGATTTGTGGTATTTTTATACAGCCTGACTTTTAATCTTTTGTCAGTTTGTCACTTGTTAGCAATGTCTTTTGATGTTTGTGATGAGTCTCTTATTTAAAGGTATGTATTTAAAAACAGAGTTTAACTTTAATGTAGTCCAATATATCAGTCTTGTCTTTGTGATCTGTACTTTTGATGCCTTATTTAAGAGATCCTTTCTTATCTTGAGGGCATGAGGTTACTATGCTGCATGGTTTTCTAACCTTTTATAATTTCACTTATTCACTGTCTTTAAGTTTTTATATATTCTTGACTATACCTGAGCAATATTTATTTTTTTAAGATTTATTTATTTGAAAGAGTTACAAGAGAAGGAGGGAGGTGGGGCGGGGGGGAGAGAGAAGTCTTCATCTACTGGTTCACTCCCCAGTTGGCTGCAATGGCTGGAGCTGTGCTGATCCAAAGCCAGGAGTCTGGAGCTTCTTCCAGGTCTCCTACACTGGTGCAGGGGCCCAAGGACTTGGGCCATCTTTTTCTGCTTTCCCAGGCCATAGCAGAGAGCTGGATCAGAAGTGGAGCAGCTGGGACTCAAACCGGTGCCCATATGGGATGCCTGCACTGCAGGCAGCGGCTTTACCCACATGCCACAGCACCAGCCCCAATACTTAGTTTTAATTATCATAACGTTATGAGGGTACTTCAAAAGGTTTATCAAAAAATGGAATTAAAAGATAAATTTATTTTGTTGCAAAAAGCTGAAATTCGTGCATATGATGGTTCTTCAAAGTTCATTAAATGCATGTTATGAAAACCTGGGTGAATTTCTAATATTTTTACACCCAACTAAACCTATCTTTTAATTTCATTTCTATAAACTTTAAACAGTACTTGAGTATAAAAACTTGACTTCTGTGAGGTCAGATCTCGCAGCTTGCCCTTTCTCCTTCTAAAAAATAATTTGCCATTCTCTGCCTTTGCTCTCTCAAACAAAACTGAGAGTCTTGACATGTTTTGAGGAAACCCTTGTTGGAGTTGGTTGAATTTAGAGATGAATTGGAGGATAATTTATAATTTTCCTATGTCAAGTTCTTACTAATGTTTTATAGTTTTTTTTTTTTTTTTACTTAAGTCTTTAGTGGCTTTCCAGGTTTATTTGTTTTCCTACCAACATCTTAAATATTTTTACACTCAGAGATGTTATCTTTTTATTTGTGGACATACATGATAACTTCTTAGTTTTATTTTCCAATTGATTTCTAGTATATAGAAATACAAGTGAATTGCTATTTCTGATTTTGCATCTAACAACATTGCAAAGCTATCTTATTCTGATAATTTATCTGAAGATTCTCTGGAATTTACTGTAAACTCAAAATTTATAGCCTGTAAATTAGGCCTATTTTTCCTTTTTATTTTTATACTTTTATTTATTTTTTATATAACCACACTGATTTCTAGAATACAATGCTGGGAGGAAGTGGTGATACTGAACATGCTTACACAAAGAAAATGCTTTCAAACTTTCACTATTGTAATGTTGCTACAGATGTTTGTGGATTGCCTTTATCAAGTTATTTCTAGTTTGCTAGTAGATTTTTTAAATTAAAAACTTGTTTATATGTTTGATTAATGTGTAATAGTTATTTACTTTTATGGAATACAGTGAAATATGTTTTTAAAGATTTATTTATTTGAAAGAGTTCCACAGAGGAGAGGCGGAAAGAGGATGGAGAAAGGATGGGTCTTCCATCCGCTGGTTCACTCTCCAATTGGCCGTAATGGCTGGAGCTGTGCTGACCCAAAGCCAGGAGCTTCTTCTGGGTCTTCCACGCAGGTGCAGGGGCCCAAGGACTTGGGCCATCTTCTGCATTCCCAGGCCATAGCAGAGAGCTGGATCAGGAGTGGAGCAGCCAGGACTGGAACTGGCACCCATATGGGATGCCAGCACTGCAGGTGGCAGCTTTACCTGCTATGCCACAGCATCAGCCCCAGTGAAATATTTCAACAAATGCACAAGTATAAACTGTACAAATCAAGCAATTAGCATTTCCGTTTCCTTATTTTTGGAGCCTCCTACCTATTCTCTTCCAGTTCTTTATGTAACATCTAATACACTATCGTGAACCACTGTCAGCACTGTGCTGTGAAGCAGTAGAGCCCTTTACCAGGTCAACTGTATTATATTTCATTTTTGAGATGCAGGATAGAAGGAGAGACTGTGACACAGAATGAGAGCTTCCATCTAATGGTTCATTCCCAAACTGGGGCTGGGCCAGGCTAATCTTTTTTTTTTTTTTTTTTTTTTTTGACAGGCAGAGTGGATAGTGAGAGAGAGACAGAGAGAAAGGTTTTCCTTTTGCCGTTAGTTCACCCTCCAATGACCGCCGCGGCAGGCGCACCGCGTTGATCCGAAGCCAGGAGCCAGGTGCTTTTCCTGGTCTCCCATGGGGTGCAGGGCCCAAGCACTTGGGCCATCCCCCACTGCACTCCCAGGCCACAGCAGAGAGCTGGCCTGGAAGAGGGGCAACCGGGACAGAATCCGGCACCCGGACCGGGACTAGAACCCAGTGTGCCGGCGCCGCAAGGCGGAGGATTAGCCTATTGAGCCACGGCGCCAGCCTAGTGAATGATCTTCTTAATGTGTTTTTGGATTTGATTAAGCAGTGTTTTGTTGAGGATTTTTACACCTATGTTCATCAGTGCTATTTGTCAACACTTTCTTTCCTTTCTCATTGTGTCCCTATCAGGTTTTGGAGTGCAAGTAATGCTGGCATTGTAAAAATGAAAGATAACTCTTTAAAATGCAATTTTTTGAATAGTTTGAGAAAAATTATTAGTTCAGTAGAATTCGGCAGTGAAGCCATCTGGTCCTGGAATTTTCTTTGTTGGGAGACTTTTATGACTGATTCAATCACATTACTCGTTATTGATCTATTCAGGTTTTGTCTTTGTGGTTCAACTTGTGTAGAAACTTTTCAATAGGTTTTTCAGTTTATTGGTATATAGTTCATAATAGTTCCTAACGATCCTTGGTGTTTGTCTTTTCAGTTGTATCTCCTTTTTAATATGTGCTTTGATTTGAGCCTTCTCTTTTCTTTTAGTCTAGCAAAAATTTTTATCCGTTTCTTTCCAAACAACCAACTCATCATTGGCTTTTTGTATTCTTTAAAATCTTTATTTGATTTATTCTGCTTTAATCTTTGTTATTTATCCTACTAACTTTGGATTTGATGCTTTCCTTGCTTTAAAAAAATGTATTTATTTGAAAGTCAAAGTTACACAGGGAGAGGGGAAGAGGGGAAGGGAGTTGTGAGGAGGGGAGAGGGGGAGCTGAGAGAGGGACAGAGAGGGCTAACTTCTGTCCGCTGGTTCACTCCCTAGATGGCCATAAAGGCTGGGTCTGGGCCAGGCCAGAGCCAGTAGCTACTTCCAGGTCTCCCATATGGCTGCAGGGGCCCAAGGACTTGGGCCATCTTTCTTTGCTTTTCCCAATCCATCAAGAGAGCTGGATCTGAAGTAGAGCAGCCAGGACCCAAACCCAGGCCCATCTGGGATGTTGGAGTCACAGACAGAAGCCTTACATGTGCTATGTCACAATGCCAGCCCCTTCCCCCTTTTTAAAATTATTATTTTTATTTATTTGAAAGGCAAGGTTACAGAGAGAAGGAAATGGACAGAGATCTTCCATCTGCTGATTCACTCCCCAAATGGCTGCAAAGGCTGGGGCTGGACCAAGCCAGAGCCAGGAGCCGGGAGCTTCTTCTGGGTCTCTCACGTGGGTGCAGGGGCCCAGTCACTTGGACCATCTTCTACTTTCTCAGGCACATTAGCAGGGAACTGGATAAGAAGTAGAACAGTTGGGACTTGAACAAGTGCCCGTGTGGGATGCTGGCATTGCAGATGGTGGCTTTACCTGCTGCACCACAATGCCAGTCTCCTTGAGATGGATTGTTCAGTTGTTTGAGATCCCTTTATTTTTTTTAATGTAGGTATTTACTAACATATACTTCCCTCTTACGGATGCTTTTACTGAGTCCCATAAGTTTTTCTGTTGTGTTTCCATTTTCTCTTTGAAGAATTTTTAGATTTCCTTTTGATTTCTTCATTTGCCTGTTTATTCAGAAGCATGTTTAGTTTCTATGTATAATTTTAAAGTTTATTGTTGATTTCTAGTTTTATTCCATTGTAAAAATACATGATAGGATTTTGATTTTTAAAAAATTTGTTGATGTATTTTGTGGTTTAATATAGCTTATCCTAGGGAATGTTCCATGAACGGACAAAAAGAGTATGCGTTTTGCAACTGTTGAATGAAAAAAAATAATGAAACATTCTGAAAATGTCAGGTCCATTTATATTTGGTTCATAGTGTAGTTTAACTCCGTATGTTTGCTGATTGTTTTTTTTTTATGAATGATCTGTCCAAAAGTGGGGTGTTGAAGTCCCCACTATTATGATATCAGTACTTATTTCTGCCTTTAGATCTAATGTTTGTTTTTTATAAAACTACACTTGTAATCCTTATCTTCTTGTTGAATTTATCCCTTGATCATCCTATAAAGCTCTTACCTCTTTTTCAGTTTTTCTTTTTTTCAGTATTGTATGTTTTTTAAAGATTTTTTTGAGAAGTAGAGTTACAGACAGTGAGAGGGAGAGACAGAGAGAAATGTCTTCTGTTTGCTGGTTCATTCCCCAAATGGCTGCAACGGCAGGAGCTGCGCCAATCTGAAGCCAGGAGCTTCCTCCAGGTCTCACACGCAGGTGCAGGGACCCAAGGAGTTGGGCCATCTTCCACTGCTTTCCCAGGCCGTAGCAGAGAGCTGGATGGGAAGAGGAGTAGCCGGGATAAGAACCGGCGCCCATATGGGATGCTGGCACCACAGGCAGAGGATTAACCTACTGCGCCACAGCACCAGCCCCCACAGTTTTTGTCTTAATGTCTGTTTTGTCTAATGGAAGTACAGCTACTCCTGTTTAGTTTTGGTTTCCATTTTTATGGAATATGCTTTTCCATCCTTTGATTTTTTTTTTCAATCTCTGTATGCCTGTCCTGGTGAAGTGAATTTTTTTTTTCTTTCTGCTTGTGTGTGTGTGTGTGTGTGTGTTTTCATTCAGCCAGTCTATCTTTTAACTGGGGAATTTATTTCATTTCCAGTCAAGGTTATTAGTCTTGTCATGTTGAAAAATGTCTTTGTATATTTAATATCCTTTTTTTTCTAGTGGGTCTTATGCTTTCACATGTTTTCATGACGGTAGTTCTCTTTCTGCGACTGCGGCAGGTGGGACTCCCTCAAGCATATTTTGGAAACCTGGTCTAGTGGTGCTGAGTCCCCTCAGCTCTCACCTAGAAAAGTCTTTACTTCTCCTTCTCTGATGAAAGCTGACTTTGCTGGGTATAGTATCCTTGGCCGGCAGTTCTTGGCTTCAGAACTTGGAATTTAGCATCCCCTTCGCCCCTGGCCTTGACACAGGTTCTGCTGAGAAATCTGGTTCCTCCTTCATTGTGACTTGATGCTTTTCTCTTGTAGACTGCAGAGTTGCTTTGTGTTGTACTTCTGTGAGTTTGGCTAGTCTGTCCATTGCCAGATAAAGACAGGCAGGTTTATGGGCTCTGCTTGTCGGGATGTTAGGTTTGTTTCTAGGTGATACTCATGCCTAGCACGTGGCCTTTTGTGTTCCTGATGGAATGCATTGGGTGGGGGCTCTCTTCTGAGATGGATCATTTTGGGTAGACCATACGCTCCGCCCCGTCTCCTGCACACACACAGCCTTCATGCCCCAGGACTGGGCAGGTGTCCCCCCCCCATAGGCAACTGACTTCTCACTTGGTTGTACCCTAAGATAGCAGTGGAGGATCCTTTCTCTGCCAAGGGCCCCGGATATTTACAACATGATTTAAGGGCCATAAAAATCATCAACTGAAAAATCGACTTTGTGTGGATTTACTGAATTTTGAGGCCTGCCTGTGATTGTGACTAAATGATTTATAGGCCTTACATGGCCCAGAGGCCAGGCATTGGCCACCCCTGCCCCAAGGCATCCAGTTTGTTCGTTTTCAGCCTTTGGAAATTTTTTGCCTTCTTGTTAGTTTTAGTGATTCATTTAAAAATATTTGTATTTTGTCTAGACTTTTAAACTTTTTTTAATTGAGAGGGCCATTCTGGTGCTCTTATAAAAGTAAAAAAAAAATCTCAATTGCTTCTTATAAATGTACTAAAGTCAAATTTTATTGGCTGTGATGGTTTTATAGTCCCAGGATTTTGAAATTAAGATACAAAAAAGATTCAGTAGGAATCTAATTGCTAAGATACTGCTGTTCTTCAAACTGAAGAGCTGACACCTGTGGTAGGACTGGGTATCCTTTTCCCTACTTAGCTCGGGTGCTCTAAGATGAGGATGCTGGGAGGAGGAGTCAGTTTTGGTGTTAATGATACTTGAATGATTCGGTTGAAAAGAACAAAAATATTGTGCTCCTTGAATTCACAACATTTAAACACCCATTTTATACCTGATAGTTTCCTATCTTTGAGATGATTAAGATACCAGTTGTCATTCTGTACCAACTTTTTTGTGCCTTAGTTTCCTTTTTTGGAAAAATGAGATTATAGTAATACTAACCAAGGTCAGCATTTGGCGTAGCAGTTAACACATTGCTTGGGATGCCCACGTGTGCTGTCAGAGTGATGGTTCTATTCCTGATTCCAGCTTCCTGCTAATGGGTGCCTTAGGAGGCAGAAGGTGATGGCTCAAGTTCTTGGTCCCTGCCACCCATGTGGGAGACCAAGGTTGAGTTCCTGGCTTCTGGCTTCAGCTTGGTTCATCCCTGAGCTTTTGGGAAATAAAGCAGAAGATCTGTCTTTGTACCTTTCAAATAAATACAACAAGTACATTTCAAAACAGAACATTAACTCCTGGAGTCATTTGTAGGATTAAATGAGTAATGCATGTGTTGGCCTTTACATGGGGTCTGGCATATAATCGTGGAATAATGGTGGTTGCTGTTTGTGTTGTTATCTTCAATCAGAACCACACTTCTTATTCTGATGCATCTCAGGTATGTGCCCGTCAAAGACCTACTGGGAATTTATGAGAAACTCTACGGTAGAGAAGTCATCACCAAGCAAGTGATTGTTGACTGCTCATACCTTCAGTTCTTGGAAATGTAAGTGTGGCCCAGAGGAAATTTGTGCCTGATCTTACTGTGACATGGTTAGCACACTTGCCATACTTCAGTTTCCTGAGTAGCTTTTTGGACCCACGGATTTTGCTTGTTCAAATGTGTGGTGGCAGGATAGCGGAAATGTGTGTGCAGAGGTTTTTGTTCATTGCTTGATTTATGTCTTGGAGGCAATTGCTACTCACTGTCAATTGACTGCTTGTCCTGCAGGTATGGTGAGGTGCTGGCTGTTTCCAAGGTAAAGGCTTTGTTCTTCTAAATCTTATTGGAGAAGATGATACCAGTGCCAAGAATAGCATCTTCCTTACATCTTCTTCCCTCTCCTTCGGCCATAGCTTTATTCCACTTACTCTACGAAGTCCCCGTTTCTGGTGGAACAATTCCAGGAGTATTTCCTCGGAGGGCTGGATGACATGGCGTTTTGGTCCACTAATATTTACCGTGTAACAAGCTTTATGTTGGAGAACGGGACCAGGTAAACTGTTTCTCAATGTCTCAGACCGATTCCTCCCTGCTTGTGGCTCCATGGCCAACAGATCTGTGAGGTTTTTCAACTGATCACATCACAAAGTGCTTTCCTGATCTATTCAAGGAGGAAAAGAATAGAAACTCAGTCATCTTAGGAAAAAAACCAGTTTCGTTCACTGATGACTGATGGGTCATGTTTTAGGGACACAGAAAATATTGCAAAATGAGTGGCTTGTGGGAAATGGCTCAGCCAGGAGGCACTTGGCCTCCATAGCAGGTGTCCTATCTGCTTCCCTGGGGAGAACCCAGGTGGGGCTGGGTGTAGCTTTTCTGTCCCAAGTAGGACAGAATGTAGGAATGTTGAATACTAGTAGTATAATTGTTAATAGATGACAGGTAAGCTTCCATTGGAGGATTCGTGGCAAATGGCTATGTTACTGTGAGTGACCAGCATTTATGTGTTTGTCATCCACATATACTGATCCTCAAGCTGGAGGATCTTTTTAGGTGTTTATTTTTGGTTTGTTCTGCAAACCAAAGCTCAGAATAGGTGTGTAGCTGGATCTTGTTCCTTCTCATCATTTTTTCCTAATTAAAGAATGTTCCTTGTCTCTTGATCTCTGTCCTAATTTACCAAGGCATAAAATTGCATGAATTGGCTGCTTGTTTTCACATAGATAACTTATCAGAATTTATGAAAATTTACAGGAAATTTGGAGAAAGTTCCAAAGAGAATACAGATTTATGAAACAAAGTTACAAATGCTTTGTAAAAATGTTTATTTACTTTGATTTTTTTTTAAGATTTATTTATTTATTTGAAAGTCAGAGTTAAACAGAGAGAGGAGAGGCAGAGAGAGAGAGAGAGGTCTTCCATCCGATGGTTCACTCCCCAATTGGCTGCAACAGCCAGAGCTGCGCTGATTCTGGAGCCAGGAGCTTCTTCCAGGTCTCCCACACAGGTGCAGGGGCTCAAGGACTTGGGCCATCTTTTTCTGCTTTCCCAGGCCATAGCAGAGAGCTGGATTGGAAGTGGAGCAGCTGGGATTCAAACCGGCGCCCATATAGGATGCTAGAGCTTCAGGCCATGGCGTCAACACACTGTGCCCTATTTACTTTGATTTTACTTGAAAGGGGTAGGTTATGGAAGGATGGAGGGAGGGAAAGAAGGGAGAAGAGAGCAAATGAACATCTTCCATCCACTGGTTCACTACCCACATGTTTGCAATAGCTGGGCTTGGGCCAGGCTGAAGCCAGCAACTCCATCTGGGTCTCCCCGTGGGTGGCAGGGACTCAAGTACTTGAACCATCACCTACTACCTCCCAGGTGCATTAGCAGGAAGGTAATTGGGGAGTATAAATATTTTCTTAAAAACAGGAATTTTGCTACTTACTAACAAGTTATTTTCCAGAGCGGATTCTGTCACTTAGAAATCCTGGTGTGGTTTTCTAGAGGAACAGTGAGCGATGATAGTCCTATCACCAGACACAGCTCTGCTTGTCACAGCACATGTCTACAGGTGCAGCATTAAACTGAAGCTGCGCTTGAATTTGGTTAGGAAGAGGGTTCAGAGGACCTTCCCCTCACCCGAGTGCTGGCCCCAGGAGAGACACCAGCAGGAAGTTTGTCCTTAGCATCTTCCCACCTTCTTTGCAGAATTCCCTTTCTTTGCCCCACGTGTTTCATTTTACTCTCACACCAGGGACCTCCAAACACCTTAAATGCAGCCCTCATTTCACAATGGTCCTCATGCCAATTCCCCCTCCCTAAAAGCTCTGCTCAGAGTTGGTGGAAGCCTCTATTGGAAAGCGTTCACACCTAAAAAGGAGATACTCCTACTGAATTACTGAATTCATGGGATTTTTAAGGATGAAATTGAGAAATGCAGGCATACTTGGGTCTGAACAGGCACAGCTGTGCACAAGGTGATGCGGTTAGGACCTAGTTTCTTGGACAGTCTTAGCAGACAGTAGGAGAGAGGCAGGCAGCAGGACTGCCTGTGCTCCTGTGACACTGTCCGTAAGCTCCTAGAAGGTCACTTGAGGCCTTTTGGAGGTAGGTGGAAGTGTACTCTCAGATTCTCGTTAACATTCACACTTGAAGGCATGGAAATACCTAATTCACTGTGTTTCCCCAGGGCCTGTTCCCTTCCTGAGAACCCTCTGTTCATTGCATGTGGTGGTCAGCAGAACAATACCTTCAGGTAAGTGGATTCTGAAACTGTTCAGGAAAAAGAACATCTCACCCAGAGGTGCCTACAGAAGTCGAGAGCATGAGATCTGCAGACAGACAGGTGTAGGTTCCAATTCCAGCTGTGCCACTAGCAGCTGTGTGATTTTTAAACAATTCCCTTGGCTTTGAGTCACAGCTTCCTCCTTCTGCAAAATGGAAAAAAAAAAACAAAACCCTGACATTCCTTGAATCAGAGTAAGTATGGATTGTGTGCAATGTGGAGATCAAGCAATTAGCATATGAGGGGACTTCAGAAATCTCATGGAAAATGCATAATACACACAGTCTCTGCCTCTGTGACCCCAGCAGTGGATGCTGTCTCTCAAGGGAGCACATTCCATCCTTAAGTCTTTTTTCCAAACCCATTTATTTGGTACCTTTCCAGTTCCTTCACGTAGGCATTGATTGTTATGGACTGCCTTCTTAACACTGCTTTTGCTGTATCCCATAGATTTTGGTTTGATGTATTGTCATCTTCATTTGTTTCCAGATATGTTTTGATTTCTCTTGATTGCTTCTATGACCCATTGCTCATTCAGGAGCATGTTGTTCAGTCTCCATGTGTTTATGTATATTTTAGAGAATTTTGAGTTGTTGATTTCTAGCTTTATACCATTGTGGTCAGAGAAGGTGCATGGAATGATTTTTATTTTTTCAATTTGCTGAGACTTGCTTTGTGGCCTAGCATATGATCTATCCTAGAAAAAGTTCCATGCACTAATGAGAAGAATGTATATTTACCCCTGTGGGGTGAAAGGTTCTGTAGATCTCAGTTAGCTCCGTTTGGTTTTTAGTGTCGATTAACTCTGTTTCCTTGCTGATTCTCTCTGGTTTGATCTGTCCATTGCTGAAGTCCCCCATTACTACTGTATTGGAGTCTATGTCTCCCTTTAGGTCTACTAACTTTTTTAAAAGTAGCCAGGTGCCCTGTAATTGGGGGCATATATGTTTATCATAGTCACATCTTCCTGTTGGATTGATCTGTTAATCATCACATAGTGCCCTTCTTTTTCTCTTTTTTTTTTTTTTTTTGTTTTTTTTTTTGACAGGCAGAGTTAGAGACAAAGGTCTTCCTTCCGTTGGTTCACCCCCCAAGTGGCCACTATGGCCGGCACTGCCCCGATCCAAAGCCAGGAGCCGGGTGCTTCCTGCTGGTCTCCCACGTGGGTGCAGGGCCCAAGCACTTGGGCCATCCTCCACTGCCTTTCTGGGCCACAGCAGAGAGCTGGACTGGAAGAGGAGCAACCTGGACAGAACCCTGTGCCCCAAATGGGACTAGAACCTGGGGTGCTGGTGCCACAGGTGGAAGATTAGCCAAGTGAGCCATGGCGCCAGCCCATCCTTCTTTTTTTCTTAAAAGTTATGTTAAAGTCTAGTTGTCTGATACTAGGATGGCTACACCAGCGTTTTTCTGGTTTCTGTTAGCATGGACTATCTTTCTCTAACCTTTCACTTTCAGTCTGCAGGTAGGTTTGTTGGTGAGATGTGCTTCTTGTAAGCAGCACATAGATGGTTCTTGTTTTTCAATCCATTCAGCCAAGCTGTGCCTTTTAACTGCAGAATTGAGGCCATTTACATTCAAGGTGACTATTGATAAGTAATGACTTGGCCCTGCCATTTTATGTTTATAATTATTCCTATTGTTTACTTTTGATTTCTTTTGTACTTCTACTAGTGGATTTTCTGCCTTCTCATTCTGTCATAATGGTGGCCATGTTTCTGTTTATCTGTTTGTAGCACATCCTTAAGCATTCTCTGTAGGGCTGGACAAGTTTTGACAAATTCTTTCAATTTCTGTTTGTTATAGAAGGTCTTTATTTCACCTTCAACTCATAAATGTAAGATTTGTGGGTTGACAGGGTTTTTTAAGACATGGACTATTTCTCACCATTCCCTTATAGCCTGTAGGCTTTAAGATGAGAAGTCAGCTGTGAGTCTAATTGATGATCCTCTGTGCCATTTTTCTTGTGGCCATTTTAGAATCTGTTTTGTGGAGAGATTGACTACAATATGTCATGGTGAAGATCTTTTCTGGTCATGACTGATAGGAGTTCTATGTGCTTCCTCTATTTGAACATCCGTTTCTTCAAATTGGGGAAGTTTTCTGTAATTATTTCACTAAATAGGCTTTCTATTCCCTCTTCTCTTTCCATTCCAGGCAGGTACTCCTAAGACCTGTATGTTTGAATTTTCTATTTTTTTTTTTTTTTGTCTGACTGAAAGATTCCCAAGATTCATTTTTCTACTTCAGATATTCTTTCTTCTGCCTCAACAACTCTGCTGATGAGATTTTCCACTGCATTTTTTATTTGATCCATTGGATTCTTAATTTCTAAAATTTCATTTTTATTTCTCTTTATATTCTTGATTTCCTGGGAAACATTTTCATTCATGTCTTGTATAGTTTTCTTTAGTTTGTGGATTTGCTTCTGATTTTTTAAAACAATTGTATGATTAACTTTCTAAACTCCATTTCTGATATTTGATCTCTTTATCTTTGCATTCTAACATTGAAATGTCATTGTGTTCCTCTGGGAAGCTCATGGTGACTTCCCTATTGTTGAATTTTGGTTTTTTTTTTTTTTTTTTTTTTGCATTTTTGGAGTTTTTAAATTTTTCTTCTGTTGAGTTTTATTTTTGGGGGGGTGATGCTTCTGTGGCTTCCTGTAATGTCTGCCCTTTTAGTGAATACCAGGAGGTGTGTGGTGGGGGTGCCCTGGGGGCTCTAGGGTGGGACCAGTTTCCAGGGTAACGATTCCCAGCTATGCCCAGCAGTTTTTCATGTAGTCACCTAGGTCCCAAGATCTCGGCACCTGGGGTCCCCCAGACACTGCTCTTAGTGGACACTGCTCTGTTTCTGGTAGTTGCCGAGCCATTCCTGGTTGATCAGAGACAGTGGGGGCTGTGGGCTGTTCCCTCCATTCCTAACTCTGGATCATACACTGTAGTCACTGGCTTAACGCCTGCCAGCTCTGTGTTCAGGTGCGCCGTCTCAGTGGGCTGTGTGTGCGTGCCTGCAGGCTTCCCTGGTGTAGTCCTGATTTCAATGGCATCTACCCTCTCTCTGCCGGGTCCCGGGTCCCGGGTTTTGCTTTGCAGGGAGGTTGGTTTCAGTCGGCTGCCTTTCTGCCCTTCCACTTGGACTTCAGGTGACCACCAGCAACTGCTGGCGCCCTGGGTTCTCAACTGGACTTGCGCTATGCTCTCGCAGGTTCTAAACCCATAGATTGCTGCTGTCCATTCTGCCCACACCATCTCCACCCCTCCTTCGCCCCCCATCCCCCCCCCCCAAAATTGCAGCTGGCTCGGCTATCCCCGCCTCCAGTTTTCTGAGCTCTTTGGGTACAGGCCATCACTCACCGCACCGATTCAAGCCGGTTCCTCTCTTCCTGTGGGCTCCCTGGGTGGTTTTCTCATCTAGTCTCCATGGAGCGTATACCTCCTACGCTTCTCCTCCCTGTTTCTCCCTAGCCCTGCGAAGCATGGTGCTCCCTGATTCGCCGTTTTCCAATTAGTATCCTTAGTCTTAGCGTTGTTGTGCATAAACTCGATGAGAAAGACTGGGGAAAAGCCCCATCTTGCAATTTCTCAGGAAGAGGACAGACCTGACTCGTACTCTTAACAGCTGGAGCCAGAACTGTCCACCAACCATTCATTCACTTAACCGTACTGTTAGTATTGTCCATAAATATTTTTTAGTGAAATATACAAATAATAAGGTACCATGTGAGTTGTTAGGTGGCAGGATGTGGTTCAGGCCCTGTGACCAGCAAAGACAAAGAGAATCCCTGCTCTCTCTTGGGGCAGGTGCCCAGCTCGTGCTGGGCCCTGCACAACTGATGGTGGATACTGCTGAAGATTGGGGAGGAAAAGAACCAGGACCCTAATCCAGGCACAACAAAGTCTCCCTGGACTGGTGATGGTTCAGCTGGAATATTTAAGGGTGAACCAAGATTAGGTTCTCAAAAGAAGGCAGTGCCAGGAGAGGCCCTAGGGATACTGATCTTAGAGCTTCCCATCTTCTCCATCAACAGAAAATGTGCAAAAAGGGTTCAGTCAGCCCTTATTGTCTAATTGATTTGAAATGGGTAAGTGCTGTTCTTGTTCTGTTTTTTTTTTTTTGTTTTTTTTTTTTTTTGTTTTTTTTTTTTTTTTTTTTTTTTTTTTTTAAGATTTGTCTTATTTGAAATGCAGAGTTAGAGAGGGAGAGACAGAGATCTTCCATCTGCTGGTTCACTTTGCAAGCCACTGCCACAGCCAGAGCTGGGCCAAACTGAAGCCAGGAGCCAGGAGCTTCTTCAGGTGTCCCACATGGGTGCAAGGGCCTAAGCACTTGAGCCATCTTCTGCTGCTTTCCCAGGTATATTAGCAAGGAGCCAGATCAGAACTGGAGCAGCCAGGACTGGAACCGGCACCCATATGGGAATGCCAGCATTGTAGCTGGTGGCTTTACCAGCCACGCCACAACGCCAGTCCCTCGTTCTGTTTTTAAACTGAACAGAACATGCCAATAGCCTGCCCCCGCTAGTTCCTGCACAGGGCCTTGCGTTCCCTTCTATTACCCACTTCTGGATCAGTGTGAGGTCTGACTGGCTGCCCGAGGTATCTGCTGTGCAGGCTGGTTAGAATATCTGAATGTGAGAATGTCTGCCATATAAATGATACCAGAATATCTTTAAAGATAATTCAGTATGCCTGTACCAGTGGCCCTGACCTCCACCCTAGCCGTGGACTTGTTGTGTGTAATGTTGCAGTCCCTAATGCTTTAGTAATCTGGAAGGAATTTGAGCCTTTTTTTCCCTACCCCATGCCGTAGAACGTTGAGGCTATAGAAAACGAAGATAGATTATCAGATGGAGTAGATTAGACAGCTTAGGTGGATTAGATAGGTAATCTTTTAAACCTTGGAAATATATTTACTAAAAGATTTTGTGGAGTCAGTTTTTCTATAGTTTTTTGTGATACTGCTCCTTTAACCTTCAGATGTGAAAGTTTTATGATCTTGGGGCTGGCGCCAGCATCTCCTGTTGGAGCACCGATTTGAGTCCTGTCTGCTCTTGCTTCCAGCCTAGCTCCCTGCTATTGCTCCTGGAGAAACAGTGGAGGATGGCCCCAGTGCTCGGGGCCTTGTCATCCCCCTGGGAGATCTGGAGGGAATTCCAGGATCCTGGCCCAGCCCTGGCCATTGTGGCCATTTAGGAGTAAACCAGCAGTTGGAAAATCTGCCTCTCCCTCTCTGTGTCTCACTCAAATAAATAAATTTTAAAAAGGGATTTTTTTAATGGCCCTTTAACCTGTGACAAGCTTGACACTATTTTTGAATTTAATTATTCAAGGGATTAGTTATTGGCCCAGTCTTAACCATCTTCTTCCTCTCTTTCTCCAACAGCTCAAAAGCTGTGAAAAACGATTTCCATAGGAATTTGACTCCATCCACAACTAAAGATATTAGAAGGAACATCAACTATACTGAACGAGGAGTGTTCTTTAGCGTAGACTCCTGGACTCCGGTGAGAATTTTCTGCTTGGAGCAGAGGGAGGACACCTCGTTTCTTGTGACATCCTGTTTTGCAGCGACCCTGTGTATTCAGTTGCTCATGGAAAGTCGCCTGTGCCTGTGCCAGGCCAGCAAGTACCCTGGCCTCCTGTTGTGGCTTATTTCAGAGTCGCCCTGAGTCTTGAGTCCAGACCTCATTGCCTCTGGCAGGTCTGTTGGAGCCCTGGGTGGCTCTGGGCACTGAGCCAGCCCTACTTTGGCCTTACCTCAAGTAGTGTCGGCACCATTGAAGGTTCACTGTACACAGCCCCGGGCGGAGGGATGCCACTGCAAGCAAAATTCATCCCTGGGCTCATCTGGAGTGAAGACAGTGCATTGGGGGATGTAAAGCGAAAGAGAAATGGACCCCAACCTTTAGAACACTTAAGTAGGGGATGACAAATACAGAAATAACCATTGTGTGGGTAGAGTATAATAAATACGATGGTGGGCTGATAGAATGGATAAGGAGAGAAATTTTTGCCTTGGAGACAATCAGAGTGGGCTTTGTGAAAGAGGTGGTGTTTGAGTTTGACCAAGAGCAGTAGTTAGCATTTGATCAGTGAGGGAATGCATTTCTGGTAGTGAGTTGGGAAAGTTTCAGGATGTTTGAGTAGTTTCGTTTGGAACACAAGACCGGGGATCTAAGAACGGCTTGGGAAGGGTAAATGGGCACTGCGTTAGGTCAGGCTCTTAAAATCAGAAGGGTTCAGACCACAAAGTGGTGACATCTGTAAAGGTGGACAGAGTCTACACAGGACCAGCTACAGGGGCCCCGCACTTGGTTTAATGCTCTGTCATCACTGGCTTAAAATTCTTACCATCGGAGCAGAGGGCTCTTTATTTATGTCTTGTACTGGGATCCCCAAATTACGTTGCTGATCCTTGACCTGGAAACCTCCATCAAAGCACCTGTTGGTGTCTTACTGTATTTAGATTCGTCTCCTTTATGAAAAACTGAGTTCTGTAAGGAGGGATCTCCTATTCTCGTTGCCTGTCTTGGTATCTGGGTCAATGAGCGAGCTAGAACTAAGCTCTGGGGTGTACAATCTCTTTGCAGCCTGCCTGTAGGAGTAGTAGGGGAGGAGCAAAGGTCTGGGGTCCTGCGCTACCCCCTGGCCTGGGCTCACCCAGCCACCTCGTGGCTCTGAGCTGATCTGCCCTGCTTTGGGGCAGGCCTGGGAAGTTGTATGGTCTTGGGTCACCCTTGGGTAGACGTAGAGCTGCATCCCTGAGACTTGGGTGGATTCAGTGCTGCCAGCCTGCTTAGGGTCACTCCAGCCTGCACGTGTGTCTCTGCAGTAAGCATGTTAAGGACATTGAGTATCCCGCGGAAAGGGGGGGAAGGGGGAGGACTGGTTGTCACCCACATTCTTCAATGTACAGCTCCCAGCACCCTGCAGATGATCTCTCATGCCCACCTGGCTTTTGGAGGCTTGAAGCAGCTTGGTGTGGTTTGGAGGGCTTTTTTTTTTTTCCAGGCAGAATGGACAGTGAGAGACAGAGAAAGGTCTTCCTTTTCTGTTGATTCACCCCTCAATGGCCACTGCGGCCAGCACACCGCACTGATCTGAAGCCAAGAGCCAGGTGCCTCTCCTGGTCTCCCATGGGGTGTGGGGCCCAAGCACTTGGGCCATCCTCCACTGCACTCCCGGGCCACAGCAGAGAGCTGGCCTGGAAGAGGGGCAACTGGGACAGAATCTGGCGCCCCGACCGGGACTAGAACCTGGTGTGCCAGCGCCACAAGGCGGAGGATTAGCCTAGTGAGCCACGGCACTGGCTGGAGGGTATTTTTGACAACCTAGTGTTTTCTAGCTCATTTGTTTGGAAAAATAAAAGGTTTATATACACAAGTACAATGATTGTCACAAATTGAATGAACAGCATTGTCTTTTCTAAAAGTTCAGTCTGTACAAATAGTTTTGCTTGATTAGGTTCTGCAAATCGGTACAGCCCATCCTAACTTAAGAGGTTTGAAGTAAGACCCAGCTAACTCTCTAAAGCAGTTTTAAAAAAGATTTATTTTGAAAGGTCACCAGAAAACACACCCAACATGGAGTTAAGGGAAAGGTTTCTCACTGGGTGGGGGAAACCGGACAGGCCAGAGGGAGAGGGCGCGAGAGCACGCCCTGTTAGTCTTGCGGGGGATAGGGAAGTAGAAGCAGCGAATCCTGTTGGGGTGGGGCTGGAGCTGACACTTGTGGTTGGACCATTTGGTCACCTGACTCCTAGCCAGCCAGGCTGGGCTTAGGACTGAAGCTTACTGTGCAAGGTGGTAGCAGGGGCTAGAGCCTAAGATGGCGCCACAGGTATGAAGCACCATTATTTTATTTGAAAGAGTTACAGCGAGACAGGGAGAGACAAGAAGAGATCTTCCATCTGTTGGTTCACATTCCAATTGGCTGTATCCACCAGAGCTGGGCCAGGCTGAAATCTGAAGCCAGCAGTTTCATGCTGGTCTCCCATGTGGGTGCAGGGGCCCAAGCACTTGGGCCATCCGCTGCTGCTTTTCCCAGACACATTAGCAGAGAGCTGGATCAGAAATGGAGCAGCCAGGACTGGAACCAGCGCCTGTGTGGGATGCTGGCGCCACAGGCAGCAGCTTTACCAGATCTGCCACGGTGCTGGCCCCTACTGAGCCATTCTTGACTCCCTGGGGTGCATCCCTCTTGATGGTGCTGAATGGCCTTTTGATGTGCTGTTGAATTCTGCTTGGGGATTTTTACATCTCTGTTCATCAGGGATAATGGCCTGTGGTTTTCCTTGTTGTAATGAATCTCCTTTTTCAGGATTCCTTATCATTCGCGTACCAAGCTTTGGAGGAGAGAATTCGGACCATGTTGACGGGCAGCTCTGGGGAGCCGCTGAAACACATCACCAGCCCCTCAGCATCTTACTACCTGTCATCGCCCTATGCGAGGCTGGGTTGGTATGTGTGCGTGTATCTCACTTGTTGCTGTGTCTGTGTGTTACTCTCATTCAGTCATTCAGCATATTTATTTGTTTGAAAGTCAGAGTTACAGATAGAAGGAGAGGCACAGAGAGAGGCTTCCATCCGCTGGTTCACTCCCCCAGTTAGCTGCAAAAGCCAGATCTGAGCTGATCCAAGGCCAGGAGCTTCCTCCAGGTCTCCCATGTGGGTGCAGGGGCCCAAAGACTTGGGCCATCTTCTACTGCTTTCCCAGGCCATAGCAGAGAGCTGGATTGGAAGTGGAGCAGCCAGGACTTGAACCAGTGCCCATATGGGATGCTGGCACTGCAGGTGGCAGCTTTACCGGCTGCGCCACAGTGCTGGCCCCTCATTTAGCATATTTTAAACAGTGTCTGTCAGCACCTGATTTCCCAGTCAGTTCACCATCAACAGAAGCATTAGTGGACAAGTTATTATACGGTGAAAGGATCTCCTTAAAGTTAGTCAAATATGCTTCACATGCAAGATTTCACTTTGACGGCAGGAAAGCCTTAGAGTATTTGTAAAGCTCAGACGTACTTGGAACTCTATTGCCACAGTGTTTTTTTGTTTTGTTTTGTTTTGTTTTGTTTTGTTTTTGCAGTCTAATGACCTTAGAAAAATTTAATCAGATAGTTACTTTAGTGGTTTGGATATTGTAACTTGACATGGTAAAAGCCATGGTACCCCAGGATAACCTTACAAACAGAAAGTTAGAGCCCAACAATGTGCAAGTAACTGTTTTCGGGAGATTTTTGTTGAAATCAGGCTTCTTGAATCCCATTTCCTCCCAACAAACAGCTGACCGAATCTTTCCTTTTTAAGCCACTCATGCATTCAGCTGCAGCCCAGGCTGCGGGAGGCAAATGTTCCCTCCGCACCATTCACTCCCTTGGGACTGGCAGCTCCTCTTGACTGCCTTCCTGGGCTGGCAGCTGTACCAGGACAGCCGCCCAGGGCCTCTGCCACCCAGCGCCAAGCCTCGGGGGTGCAGAGAGCAGCTGCTGCTCTGTTGGGGGGTCTGCCCCACCTTCCCGGCACCCCAGCTTTCAGAAACTACACTTCCCTTTTGCTGTCTCCTGAATTTGTTCCTTGTGCGGTTGCATAAACTAGAATAAACAGATGCCTTTGGGCCTTGCCAGCCCCAGTAGTGGCATGTGAATCATGGACCGTGTTTACCCAGATTTGTAATGGGTAGGTCATGGGACCTCATTTAGGGGACACTCGCTAAACATATTGGACGCTTGACTTGGTCCAAAACAAGGCACCTCTGTGCTATGGTAGGAATAAACAGGGTATGTGACACGAGCGGAACTCTGATGGGTAGCAAATTGAAATGGGTTGAGCCGATCAGAAAGCAGCCCGTGCCCTTTCCTGGAGGCCTTGGCTGGGCGCAGTTGTCCTGTCTGTCCTGACGCACGGCCTGGGTTGTGCTTCGGCTGCACTGGGAGTCACACGGAGCACTTCATGCCCTGTGAGTCCACTTCTCAGCTGCTCTTGTTCTGTGGCACAGGAATGCCTACGGGCCTTGATTCACCCGTTTTTGTTTTGTCTTCCCCCTCGGAGAGTGAGGCTGTGAATTGCACAAACAATACAGGCTCAGAGGGAGTAGTCAGCGGTGGTAAAGTGAGAGGAGTGAAGACTCTGGATTCTAGAAAGGAAAGAAGCAGGAAGTGTAGCTCATAGTGCTCACTGGCTGGAATGGGTGCTCTCCTCTCCCCCAAGGACAATGGTCTCTGCTGACCTCAACCAGGATGGATATGGTGACCTCGTGGTGGGGGCCCCAGGCTACAGCCGCGCTGGCCACATCCAGATTGGGCGTGTGTACCTCCTCTATGGCACCGACCTGGGCCTGCCCCCCATCGACCTGGACCTGGACAAGGAGGCCCATGTGATCCTGGAGGGCTCCCAGGTGAGAAAGCCTCTCGTGTTCTCTCTGCTGGGGCTCAGGAAGCCCCTGCCCACGTGTCTTGGCAGATTTTCCAGGCTGAACGGGTGCCAGCAATAGGAACAGTCACAGTAGCTAACAGCTGGTGGCCCACATGGGTGTGCACTGTTCATTTGAAAAATCCTCATGTCATTGACTTCGTCCCACCACTAACTGCGTGTCCAGTCTGAGGCCTTCCATAAACAAGTGTGCTGCTGAGGACTGCGTCGAGTGGTCAGTTGGGTTGTGATTTCTAGATAATACAAAACCTCTGAATTCTTGCTTTGTAAACATCTTGGATTCACAGAAAACTTGTAAAGGAAGCACAAAGAGTTCTCTGTACCCATCACCAGGTTGTCCCTACATTAATATCTTAGATAATTATGGTATACTTGTCCAACATGGGGGAAAAAATCGGTTTTTTCACTAGTAATGAAGCTGCAGACTTTGTGCAGACTTCATTCCTTCGTTTTAAGTGGCTATGCGTCACCAGGGAAATCCACAGTGACTGTACACACATTCCTCGTGGGACCGGAGCACTGATTCCTATTGGGAATATTAGGGTCCCAGAAGGCTTTCCAGACATCAGAAGCAATGATCCTTAAGAATAGCAACGAAGGGCTGGAGCATGGGGTTCTCGCGGCGACACTGGTCTGGCACTGCACGGTGTGAGTGTGAGCCATCCAGGAAGGAAGCCTGGACTGGGGTTCGATTCTGGTTCTTGTCCCACGCAAGCCACTTGTGTTTTTGCTGTGAAGTTAATGCTATAGCAGAGATAACATCTTTTCAAAACAAGTACAGTGGTGCGTGTTCTAGCGTAGGCTGTGGAAACGGGCAGTGGCCATCATTGTGGGGTCCCCCAGTCTCAGGGGCTGTCCCCTTTTCTAGAGAATTCCATGCACCCATTCCTCTTGCTTCGTGGTCTCCACAGAGCTGTTCATATCAAACCTTTGGGTGGATCTAATCCTCTGGAATCGCTCAGATGGGAATATGAGAGGCAGCTGCTTCCTGAGGATGCTAACCTTGGGCAAGGAGGGAGGTGGCTCTGGGCCCTCCTCCTCCAGTGGCCTGGAAGATGGCCGGGTTCAGGTGTGGATGAGAGAGGCGCCCTTTGTTCCAGCCCTGGGCTGGTGTGAGCTCCCTCAAGGAGTGTCTGCTTGGGAATCCTGCACTCTGGGAGTGTCCGGCTGAGTGGCAGGAGGATGGCACAGCTGTAGTTTTGAAAGAACTCGTCCTTGGAGCAGGCCTGGCCGTGGGTCTCTACCCTGCCACAGCGTGCCTGGAGTCCCTGGGGCGATCGGGTCTTGTTTATCAAGTTCCTGTCTTGTGCAAGGGGCAGTGCTCGGAGATGCCACTGCACATGGGGTGGAGAGATTGGCCAAGAGGTCCCAGACGTGGGCACCGGGCGTGTGTGGTACGTGGCATGCATCACCCTGTGAGTCTGTCAGGAATGTCCCAGTAGAACTGCAGAACCTAGCGAATTACTTGGAGGCGTAGACTGATCCTGGACAGCGTGAGAAGAGAGAGCTGGAAAACCTACCCGGGGAGAAAACCATCCCTGCACAGAGCAAGTTTCCCGTCTGTAAACTGTGACAGTGGGGCAGCAAGCAGCTGCCCTAGTCCATGGGAAGTGGCCAGAACAATGTCTCCCAGTGCATCCGTGGGGTTGCTGGCCAGAGCGGGAGCCCCAAGGGCAGGCTTCTGAGTATCTGAAGTGGTACCTAGTGCAGCTGGGAGACTTAATTTGAAAGTTTATGTCGTGGTATTCCGTGATGGTCACTGGCAGCGGCCAGCATGGCCCTGGCACAGCCTGAGCGCCCGTAGATGTTGCTGGGGCCCCACGGTGACTGTTTTGGATACTTTTGAAGATGAGTGTGGTGAGGTCCGTAGGGGTGGGTGTGCACAGGACCATATTCTCCCAACCTGGAACTCAAAAAGGACCGGCTCAGTGCTTCCTGGGCAGCCTGAGTACCTGGACACCCCTGGGGCAGGACCCCCAGCCGAGGCGTTGTGGGCTCCAGGCTGCTGTGGTCCTGGGTGATGGGCAGGCCCCTAGCCCTGTCCAGCCCAGGGAGTCTGGAGTGTTCTTCCCAAGGCTGGGGCTCCCCCCCCCCCCCGCCCCCGGCGAGATAACCTGTGTCTCTTCAGCCTGCAGGTCGGTTTGGCTCAGCCTTGGCCGTGTTAGACTTTAACAAGGACGGGGCGCTTGACCTGGCTGTGGGTGCACCCTCCGTGGGCTCTGAGCGGCTCACCTACAGAGTAAGGCTACGGGAAGTGGGAGTGGGGGGTGGGAGGGGAACTGACCAGTAGCATGGTGCATGTCCACAGGCAGGTGAGGGGGACAGACTGGTGTATTTGAGATCAGAGGTACAACGGGCTGGGTGGGGAAGGCTTCGTGGGAGAGATGGGAACTCAGGTGGGCCTGGCAGTGGGCAGGGGTGAGTGAGGCTTCCTGCAGAGGCACTGCGTGTCCGCTGTGGCAGCTCCTGAGCGACACGAGAGGGAGGCAAACACGGAAGTGACGGGATTTTTAAAAACTTGACTTCAGCCCGCAGCAATGCGTAGGATGGGTGTCTGTCCCTCACTGTGCTAACTGCAGGGGAAGGGGATGGTTATTGCCCGGTCGGTCCTCTGTGCTTTGCCCTTAATCGGGGTTTCTGAGTCGCCTCCTGAGCCTGATGCTCTCCGATGATTCCCCTGTCTAGGGTGCAGTGTACGTCTATTTTGGTTCCAGACAAGGAAGGATGGCTTCCTCCCCTAACGTCACCATCTCTTGCCAGGTAGGTTTACTGCTTGGTCAGACACAGATCTTAGACCTTGCTGAGCAGGTGTTGAGGGTGTAGGTAGGAGAAACCGCATCCCACAGGGGAGTGCTGCCTGCGTTTGAGCTCCAGCTCCTGACTCCAGCTTCCTGCCAACAAGGACCCTGGGAGGCAGCAGGTGATGGCTTAAGTCACCGGGTTCCTGCCACTCATGTGGGAGACTTGGATTGAGTTCCTGGCTTCTGCCCCAGCCAGTCACTGTGGGTGTCCGAGTAGTGAACCAGTGCGTGGGAGCTTTGTCTTTCTGTAGTTCTTCAATAAATAAACTTTAAACAATTCTTTAAATTAATGTAGAGCTAGGTGCGTCCCAGTTGCCTCTGGGGCTGGGTGACGCATGCTTTCCTGGCTTCCTCTAAAGGACGTCTACTGTAACTTGGGTTGGACACTCCTGGCTGCAGACATGAATGGAGACGGTGCCCCTGACCTCGTGATTGGCTCTCCTTTTGCACCTGCTGGAGGGAAGCAGAAGGGGATTGTGGCTGCGTTCTATTCTGGCCCCAGCCAGAGTGACAAAGGTAGTGCCTCGGGGCGGGGCGGGGTGGGGTGGGGGTGGAGGGATGGGTGGAAACTAGCTCTGCTGTGTCTGTAACAGCTCCTCTTGTGTGTGGCTTTGTCTCTCTTCCATGTTCTGTATCATTTCACCAAACTTGCCTAACCATCGCTTCCTCGCTCAGGTACTCTGACAAGTGACGTGGATAGAACCACAGGGTGCAAAAGTGGCCCGATGCAGAGGGCACCGCTAGGTCATCTCACAGAGTCCCTCAATGCACAAGAGAAGCACTTGGGACCTTAGGTGTGCCCCAGAGCAGGGTCTTTGCAAACAGCATCCTCCACCCCACAGAAGCGAGCTCCAGAAATGTGTTCACTTCTGATGTTGGAGTCCTGGGAAGCCATGCAAGAGCCCAGCAGGAACCAACTCGTTACGTGTTTGCCTAAAAGAGGAGCCCTGTTGGCGCCGGCTGGCCTTCTCACTTAGAGCCAAGGGGCTGGCTGTCTTTCCTAGGGGACCTGGACGTGGAGGCTGCTGACTGGAAGGTGGCAGGGCAGGAGGACTTCGGCTGGTTTGGGTACTCCCTGCACGGTGCCAGGGTAGACAACAGAAGCTTGCTGCTGGTCGGGAGCCCCACCTGGAAGAACGCCAGCCGGTGGGTGCTGGTGTCGGGCGGGGACCAGCGAGGACGGGGCACAGGGGCTCGCTGTGGTGGGGCCCAGGGAGTGGGGGGTGTGGGGAAAGGGGTGAAGATGTCCTCGTCCTTCGAGGGGAGGTGACGGCTCTCTGGCAAGGTTGCAGGTCTCCGTAGAAGTGTTAAAGTCTGGTAAATCGGCATATGCCTTTGCTCGGGCGGCCTTACAGGACCACAGAAATGTAGATGTTTATTATCTCACTGCTGTGGCAAGTCCAGTGTTAGGGTGTCTGCAGGGCTGACTTCTCCCGAGGTCCCTGTCCTAGGCTTCGTCTTCTCCCTGTGTCCTTGCAGGGTCGTGTCCTATGTGTGTCCTGATTTCCCCTAGTATGAGGGCTTCAGTCCTACTGAGTAAGGGCCCAGCCCAGGGACCTCGTGTTAACCTAATCGCCTTCCCTGATAGGCTCGCATCCAGAGGACCTGGGGTTCAGCCTGCAACGCAGGGATCTGGGGCGGGGGGCACGAGTCAGCCCCATCTGCATTTGCTGTTGGGAGGCGGGCAGATGGGTGTGGCCTCGCTGCTGGGGTTTTCCCTCCATAGACCCCACAGGGCCAGAGCCACGATCCTGGGATGGACAGCGTGGGTGAGGGAAGGGAGTGTATCTGATTTTTCCCTCCAGCCTGGATGTCTGGCCAGCTCGGTCCCCTGTGCTTCCTTCTATGTCAAGGTTCTTGGTCCACAGCCATGACGAGAATAAGAACCTGGGCCGAGTGTACGGCTACTTCCCACCCAGCTACCAAAGCGAATTTACTATTTCTGGAGATAAGGTACGGTGGCCCCTCGGTCCCCGCCAAGAGCAGACGCCCCAGAGAACGGTTCTCAGGTGTAAGGTGCTGATCTGCCACATTTCACAGGCAATGGGGAAACTGGGCACTGCACTGTCGAGTGGCCACGTGCTGATAAACGAGACCTTGACCCAGGTGCTGCTGGTCGGGGCCCCAACTCACGGTAGGTCATCCGCCTGTACGCTATACTTCCTTTCGGTCATATGGGACAATGTATGAGACCTGGAGCCAGACAGAGCTGGGCTGAAATATTCCCGTGTTTCCTTAATGGCAAATCAAATAACTTAAGTCGTCATCTGCCAAACACAGATGATAGTGCCCATGTCGGGAAACTTGTTGAAAATGACTCAAAAGGAACTCGGCCTCTATCCCTTTGGGCTTGGAGCTACAGTAGACTTTCATAAGTTGGTTCACCAGGAATAGGTCTGCTCTAAGCACACACCTTACTAAACCATTATTATATTTATTTTATGGCAACAGAGTTTCAAAAAAAAAGACATCCAAAACCAACTGCTTTCTAGATTTTAAAAGTGAATTATGCAAGAAAGATAAAATCCCTTTCCAAGATGTTTAAAAACCTAAGCTCATACATAATTTATATACAAAGTCTTTCATGCATTAAGTTAAAAGAAATAACAGTGCCATTTCGGTTTAACCCAGCTGTCCCCCATGATAACCTCTTACAAAATACAAGAGGGCACAACCAGGTTATTGCCATTAATGTGTCTACCAGTCCTGTTCACATTCCGCCATTTGTAATTGAATTTCATTCACATAATTGAGGGGGCCCAGGACTCTCATTAAATACTTCTTTAAGATCTATTTTATTATTTATATGAAAGAGTTACAGAGAGGAGAGGGAGAGAGAGAGAGGTCTTCCATCCACTGGTTCATTCCCCAGTTGGCTGCAATGGCTGGAGCTGCACTGATCTGAAGCTGGGAGCCAGGAGCTTCCTCTGGGTCTCCCACGCGGGTGCAGGGGACCAAGGACTTGGGCCATCTTTCACTGCCTTTTCAGGCCACAGCACAGAGCGGGATTGGAAGTGGAGTAGCCGGAACTCGAACCAGCACTCATATGGGATGCTGGCACTGCAGGCAATGGTTTTACCCGCTACGCCACAGCACCGGCCCCTAAATACTTATTTTTTGAAAAAAATCGTTTTAAAGAGTTAGAGGGACAGAGATCTACAAGAGAGTTCTTCCTTCTGCTGGTTCACCCCCCAGATGACCTCAACAGCCGGAGCTGAGCCGACGCAGGAGCCAGGAGCTTCTTCCTATGTAGATGCAGGGGCTCAAGGACTTGGGCCATCTTCTACTGCTTTCCCAGTCCAGAGCAGAGAGCTGGATCAGAAGTAGAGCAGCCAGGACTTGAACCTGCGCCCATAAGGGGTGCCAGCACTGCTGCCAGCACCAGCAGGGCAGCCCCTGGTTTCTGGGTTTTATCACACATTCCTGAACACCCACTGTTGCCAACATTGGATACTTGAGGCCGGCACCATGGCTCACTAGGCTAATCCTCCGCCTGTGGCGCCAGCACTCTGGGTTCTAGTCCCGGTTGGGGTGCCGGTTCTGTCCCGGTTGCTCCTCTTCCAGTCCAGCTCTCTGCTGTGGCCTGGGAGTGCAGTGGAGGGTGGCCCAAGTGCTTGGGCCCTGCACCCGCATGGGAGACCAGGAGGAAGCGCCTGGCTCCTGGCTTCGGATCGGCACAGTGTGCCGGCCATGGCAGCCATTTGGGGGTGAACCGATGGAAGGAAGACCTTTGTCTCTCTCTCTCACAAACTCTGCCTGTCAAAAAAAAAAAAAAGACACTTCTGAGAGCATCGTGGGGCTCTGCCATTGAAACAGTAGCTCCCTCGGCCTAGCAACCCATGCCGTGTCTCGCAGGTATCACTACATTACCTGTGCAGATCCGAAACGGCTCCAGCCTCCTTGTGAGTTCGCAGAGCACATCAGTGCGCAGTGTGGGGACTGCTGTGGGAGCATGTTGAGGATGTCAGTGACTTTATCTACTTCCAGGGGGACCCCCGAGGGCGCTGGTGCGGGTCTGAAGACACGGGGAGCTAGCTCAGACAGGCTCATCCCTGTCACCTGGCTTTGTCTCAGCAGAACACTGGGTTCAACTAGCCACTGAATACACAAACAGTTTTAAATATTGTGTGGGGATCTTAAGGTGCTGAATAATAACTACAAATACATTCAGGTGGCCAGTGCCGCAGCTCACTTGGCTAATCCTCCGTCTGCAGCACCGGCCGGCAGCCCGGGTTCTAGTCCCGGTTGCTCCTCTTCCAGTCCAGCTCTCTGCTGTGGCCCAGGAAGGCAGGGGAGGATGGCCCAAGTGCTTGGGCCCTGCACCCGCATGGGAGACCAGGAGAAGCACCTGGCTTCTCCATCTCTTTGTCTCTAGCAGTGGTCAGCTTGCCTTGATTCTTTTGTGCTGATGAAGCAGAGTTACAGTTCAGAGAGATGGTCGTAGGAATTAAGGCAAAGTTTATTAAAAGACTCTCCAAGGGAGGGGGGGCCAGTTGAGAGGGATGTGGCCCTCTGTTCCCCTGGTTTCAGGCTTTGTCCCGGAAGTGCGAGGGGTGTTGACTGGCTACATGGCTGTGATGCTCGTGGCTGTCATTTCTGATTGACACCTGAGAATTGCTGACTTAGGGCTCTGTCTGCATGTGGCTTCCCAGCATGCATTAGGAATACCCACGGTGGGGCAAGGGTGACGGGAAGACAAAACTGCCGTGCTCATTACAGTATAATGATTGTATAATGAAGCGGTGTCACTGTGCATGTGTCACCATCTAGACTTCTCTGGTTTGACTGCATTCCCATCTCTGTAAAGTGGGTCAGTGAGGGTGGGTCCTGGCGGCGAGAGCAGGAGGAGGGTCTGGTGGCCCCTCCCCAATCACTCGTGTCTAATCAGCTGACATTTTGAATAATAGCTAAAAGTTTAGAAATGGCCTAGATGTGGAAAGAAGCAGATTATACAATGTTATTCTCTGAAAAGATCTCCGTTTTGGTCATGATGTACATGGTTGTCTATCTCGCTGTCCAGAGGGAAATACATGCAAATATTCTCTCTGCTTAGAGCACTCCCCATGCCTCTAACAAGGATCATGTGTAAAAGGTGCATTTAGTTCCGACTGCTGCACTGGGACCTGGAAGGCCATGTGGCGAGTGGACGTTTGCTGTTTTACTGAGTCCTAGGCATGACCTCTCGTGATAGCGAGGTGACCTGCTTTCCTGCAGCTGGGGGAATCGGGCCAGTTGGGCAAGATGCGTCTGGGTTTTGCAATAGCTGTGTATTTTCTGTTGCCACTGGAAGAAAAGTCAGACTTTAGAAACAATGAAAAACCCCTGCTCCTGGGTTTACACGGCCCCTGGCCCCCAACTCCAAGAAACCCCCAGTGGTTAGTGTTTGCACAGAAATGCAGAACTAGCTTGAGGTCTAAAAATAATGGCCCCAGCTGGGAAGCACAGTGGGTGTGGAAGAGATTCTAGGTTGCAGTGGCAGCCTGGGCTATGGGACTTCAAAGCCTCACTTTGAAACACCTTTTAAACACCAGAGATCTTCTGAGCTACTGTTATTACTCAAGAGACACAGGAATGCTAAGCCACTGCCTTGGCTTTGTTTCTCGAAGTAGGTGCTTAAGATTTTATTGCCAGCACTGTCCATATTTACAGGGTGCGATGTGATGGTGTGCACTGTGTCACGGGCATCCTCGTCACCTTGTCTGTTTATCATGGCGTTGTGGTCAGAGCACTGCAGCTGCTGTGGAATACAGCACATTGTTGGCTGGAATACAGTTGTTGGTCGCTGGTGTCAGCCTGCTGTGCAGTTACAACACCCACACTTGTGTCTCCTGCCTATGCTTTGCACCCATCAGAATGTTTGCTTCTGAACAGCCGAGTGGGCCGGATGAGAGAACGTGGTCCAAGTTTTCTCATTCTTGCCCTGAAGGCCAGACCTCGGGCTTTCTCCAGGGCCCTCTGTGGGCAGCGGCACCCGTGCCCAGGTGCGTCCTGCAGTACACAGTTTCCAGTCACACCAGGGAGCTCAAGTTCCTTGCAGGAAGCACGAAAGGGAGAGAATGATGATTTTTCTCTTGTTTCAGCTTTTTTGAATACTCTGGGTTTTCCTCCTGAACTGTAGCTACTGCACTTTCTTAGCACACATATTGTGCTCAATCCACTCTTCACTGTATGTCAGAAAGCCCAGGATCGGGCTGTGTAAACTCCTGTTTTTTTTCCTTTCTTTTATTTCTCCATTCCCTTTCCTCCCCTCACCTCCAATCCTTTTTTCTTTTTTTTTTAAAAAGATTTGAAAGGCAGAGTGACACACACACACAGACACAGAGATATCTTTTATCTACTGTTTCATTCCCTAAATGACCACAACAGCCAAGTCTGGGCCAGCCAGGCTGAAGCCAGGAGCTTGGAACTCCATCCTGGCCTCCCACATGGGTGGCACAGGCTGAAGCACTTGGGCCATTTATTTTAAAAGATGTATTTATTTACTTGAAAGGCAGATATAGAGAGCAGAAGCAGAGACAGACAAAGAGGTCTTCCACCTACTGATTCACTCGCCAGATGGCTGCAACGGCCAGAGCTGTGCCAATCCGAAGCCAGGAGCCGCTTCCAGGCCTACACAGGTGCAGGGGCCTACTTGGGCCGTCTTCTATGGCTTTCCCAGGCCGTAGTGGAGAGCTGGATCAGAAGTGGAGCAGCTGCGACTCAAACCGGCGCCCATATGGGATGTTGGCACTGCAGGCAGCAGCTTTACCTGCTATGCCACAGCGCCGAGTTGTGCCATTTTCTGCTGCCTTCCCAGGTGCATTAGCAGGGAGCTGGATCAGAATCAGAGCAGTTGGGACTGGTACCAGAGCTCTGATAGGAGATGCCAGTGTTAGAAGTGGTGGCTCCACCTGCTTTACAACACTGGCCTGTTTCTGACTGCCAGCACCGACTCTGCTTTGGGTCCCTTGATTCTCCTAGTGGACACCTCAAAGGCACAAGTGAAAGCTGCCTCAGTTTACGCACAGCACTAAGTAGATGCGGATGTGAGCCTGTTCCCTCACCACCCAGTGCACCTCAGAAAGCCTTTTGGAGGGCCTCCAACCTCCATATGGTGTTCGGTTCTGATTTCATGTCTGAAATCAAAGCTGCATCCTAATTGAGCCGACAAGCAAAATCCAACTGTTGTTCTGAATTTACGGAAAATTCATTCATTCAAAAAACATGTCTGAGTACTTGAGTAGAATTCAGCAAAGGGCTGGGTAGAAAAACGAAGGCGGGGCTTGTGGCTATGAACGGACGGTGTGATGTAAGACACGGTGAACAGGGACCAGGGCTGTCCCTGGTGAGCAGCACTGACTAGACCAGGAGCTACCTGCAGAGGGTGTGAGCAGGGGAAAGGCAAAGGGTGCGGAGCGTGTTGCCAGTTCCAGGCAGAGAGCACTGTGGCCCACGGAACGGGCTGTGGTTTCAGTTCAGCACAGTTGAAGTGTGGATGAAAAGGGGAAGTGGCCTGAAGTAGGAGCCAGGTCACGTAAGGCCCTACCGAGAGCTGGGGCCTCTTCCGAAGTCCAGTGACATCTGGATTTGTCAGGAGAGCGACAAAGGCAGTTTGTGATGGCTACCAACCAACAGAAGGGTGTGTGGAAATGCAGCAGAGGATGAGTGGGGGGATGAACACCTGTTGGATGGGAAGTCGCTGCGCTTCTGGCGTTTCCATCTCGGTGCCCAAGGTAGCTGTGCTTTGCTAAGGGCCAGAGTTCACTGGGGGTCCTGAGTTGTGGTGCATGAGCCAAAGCAAGGATGGGAGTGGGGGCTCCGAGTCTCACTGTCATTCTGGTGATGCCAGGAGGGACTGTGGTTTGTTGCAGATGACGTGTCCAAGATGGCATTCCTGACCATGACCTTGCACCAGGGCGGGACCACTCGGATGTACAAGCTGGTGCCCGATGCGCAGCCCTCTCTGCTCAGCTCCTTCAGTGGGGACCGGCGCTTCTCTCGGTTTGGTGGAGTTCTGCACTTGAGTGACCTGGATAATGATGGCTTAGGTAAGACAGGAACCTTGCTTTTTGCCAAGAGTGGAGTCCCTTGCTCAATGGACCAGTCCCCTCGCTGGACACACCAGGCCCTACCCTTCTAATTGACGGCCAGTGGCCCAAGGGCCTGAGATAGATTCTGAGTCAGATAGGCCCAGGGCCAGATAGACGAGAATGAGCTGCACTCTCTGAAGAGTTGCTGTGTTAATTGTTATGAACAACAAACAAGGAAATGAGCGCCTCTGACTTGGTCAGAGTGAAGTCTGAGCTAATTGCTGGCGGGTGGGTTAGGATCAAGGAAAGGGTGCCTGTGAGGAATCGGCCACTTCCTTCCCCCAGCTTTTCCTGTCTACAGATGAAATCATCATGGCAGCCCCGCTGAGGATAACAGACATGACCTCGGGCCTACTCGGCGGGGAAGATGGCCGGGTGTACATATACAATGGCAAACGGACCACCGTGGGTGACATGACAGGCAAATGCAAATCGTGGTTCACACCATGCCCAGAGGAAAAGGTACAGTGCTCCCTGCACTTTCTATGTCACGTTGGGAAAAGATGGCCGTTTGCTGGTACCTGGCTAACTCGGGTCCCCTATAACTCAAACTCGGAGGTCCTGGGGTCAGGACACAATCACTTGCCCATAGTTTAGTGGCCTCACCTGCCTGCAGTGGCCTGTGCTCCTGCAGCTGATGGGCTAGTTGGGAATCGCTTTGCTGCTGCTTGGTTAGACACCTACGCAGAAGAAAACAGGCCAGGCCAGGGTGCTCTTCAGTTTCTTGTTCATTGCTTATTCCTTTTCTCGAGTTTCCTTAAGTTGCCTTTCTTGTACCTAAAACATTTTGGTCCTTATTTTGTAAGTTTTAAAAATCACAAAAGTAATGAAGGTTTACTTGTGAAAATTTTAGGAAGTACAACTTCCTAAACTAAAAATCACCTACTAAGAATTCCACTTTGCAGTGCTATTGCCTATTAACCTTTGGAGTGTGTCCTAGTAATTTTTTTAAAGATTTGTTTATTTGAAAGAGTTATGCAGAGAAAGAGATGTCTCCCATCCCGATGGTTCACTCCCCAATTGGCTGAAACAGCCAGAGCTGCGCCAATCTGAAGCCAGGGGCCAGGAGCTTCTTCTGGGTCTCCCATGCAGGTGCAGGGGCCCAAGGACTTGGGTCATCTTCTGCTTTCCCAGGCCACAGCAGAGAGCTGGATTGGAAGTGGAGCAGCCAGGTCTTGAACTGGTGCCCAAATGGGATACCGGCACTTCAGGCCAGGGCATTAACCCACTGTGCCACGGTGCCAGCCCCAATATTCTTCCTATGAATCTAATTGCTCCTACTTTTTGTGCATTCACTATGGGTATGCTAAGCACTGTCTATAATTTAGTCCACATCAAAGCCGTGAAGTGAGTGTTTTGCCCATTTACAGAAAGCTAAGACTGCAGAGGAAGGTTAGGAAATGGCAGTACAGGGATTTGAACAAAGATTCATTCTAAATCTGTTACCTATTACACTTTGTGTGAATTTGTGCATGTTTCACATACAATTTTGCAAACTGACTGAGAGCTCTTCCATCTGATGGTCCATTCCCCAGATGACTGCAGTGGCCAGGACTGGGCCAGTTCAGAGCCAGGAGCTTCTTCCAGGTCTCCCATGTGTTTGGGGGGGCCCAAGCATCTGGGCCATCCTCCACTGCTTTTCCCAGGCCACTAGCAGGGAACTGGATCAGAGTGGAGCAGACAGGTCTTGAAGAGGTGCCATATGGGATGCTGGTGTTGCAGACAGTGGCTTTACTCACAATGCCAGCGCCTGTAAATTGGTTTCTTACCTAATGACACATAAAGAGCATTTTCGTTATCTGGCATTCTCATGCCATATAGTATTTACTGGCTGTCTGGTGTTTTACCTACAGCTAAACTACAGTTGATTTGGTCCTTTCCAATTTTCACTGCTACAAAGATGTTTATATGTGAATTTTTGTAACAGTTATGGTTTTCCTAAGCTCTATTCCTATAAGTAGAATTTCTGGGGTCAAAGGCATGCAGATCTGTATGGCTAATCCAGAAGAAAGGTGGAGTGTAGCAGTATAATCAAAATTAATCAAACGCCACAGGAACGGTAGGAACACTGTTACTAGTTGTGATCCATTTGTTCTTTCTTTCAGGCCCAGTATGTACTGATAGCTCCTGAAGTAAGTATCTCCTGCAGGGCAGAAGACGGGAAAACTGGCATCAGGTTTTATCTTAAACTGATAGTGAACTTTTCAGGACAGCCACATTCTAACAGAGGTCTATGTTTCACAGGCAAGTTCAAGGTTCGGGAGCTCCCTGGTCACTGTGAGGTCAAGGGCAAAGGTGAGCACAGGAGGGCATTTCTTTGTTTATATTTGTTCTTGATTTGTCTAATTCTGCTTGTTTTTATGGTCAGATCAGAATAATTTGTGACATGAAACTTACATGACGTTTAAATTCCAGTGTGTGTACATAGTTTCACTGCACAAGGCCACATCCACTTGCCTGTGCAGTGTGTGGCTGCCCCAGAGCCCGTGGCATGTTGGCTGAGGCTTCAGAGAACACTTGCTGGCCCCTGCCCTGTAGGACAGGCACTGCCACTGTTCTGCTGTTCTCCTCCTGATTTTCAGTGTTTTAACTCTAGAGATGGATACACGCATTCTAGTCGGTAGTTTGTTTTTACCTATTTTGTGTCTTCCCAGACAAGAATGTGCAGAGCTATCTACATCTAATGGCTGCATGGGAATTTACTGTATGGATACAATGTTTACTTGTTCCGTTCACATTCTTATAGGCTATTTTTTTTTTTTTACTATTGCAGACAATATTGTGGTGATCATTCATGTACCTGATCTTTATGTATAGCGCAAATGTCCGTACAAGAATCTTAGGAGTAGGATTGCTAGGTTACAGGGTGTAACACGCATTATATTTTGATAGATACAGAAGACTAGAGTTTTAGTTCAGAATATACATCTAAGCCACTGATTGCTTGACATCTCTCATAGCCTACCACAGTTTTCTACAAGAGCTTATGCAAAGTTCCTGCTCTTGAAAACAGGATTTGTGCATGTGTAGGGTTAAATGCTTAAGAGCACTTGGACCATAAAGTATTAACTGTAGCAAGAAGGCCCAGGGAAGACTACTAGACGTGCCTTGGGTAGGTGCTGTGTACCCTGGGCTCCTTACAAGAATTGTGGTGAAACTGCCCCCTAGTGGATAGCAGTTCAAGTTGGCCCATTTACACTAAGTCTGAAGTTCAGAGTTAGCCACTCAAAAAAAAAAAAAAAATTTCTTTAAGCTCATGGGAGGAGTCTCAAAAGGCCTGTTTACAAGGATACTTTAAATCAAACCTGTATTTAAACTTTTATTTTCCAAAAATTAAGATATAATCAAGCACATACACATATAAAACCACCATATTTACACAACTTGGAGACAGTAATGGTACAGATGATTTAGCAGTGGTGTACAGAAAGGACACTTAATTCATCTGCTCAAGCCAGCAGGCTCACCTGCTGCACCACAGCACTGGCCCTGACACTGAGGTATTAAAAGGTAAACCAAGCAAAGAATCTGATACATGATAGAGGCTCAGTAATTTCCAGTTATTACAGATCTTATTACTGGATTACAGCTGTAGTGTTCAGAGTTAAATCAATGACAAGCCTTCCCAGCCTGCTCGGGCCCAAGCCCAAACAGTGTAAGCTGGTGTGATCACCCACACCTCACTTACCAGCCTGCATTCAGAGTAACTTCGCAGTTCCTGAATATCCAATCCACCCATGACGTATGAAGACCTTACTACATCTGAGGATGTTTAAAAACTTGCAGCAGGCTTTGGAGCAGTTCTGAAAGTCCTGAAATGTTCCCAGGAGCAGGGGCGAGGTGGAAACACATCTCCAACAGCCAGCCCTGGGGAGGTCCTTCTCCAGATAGGTGGTGTGTAAGATTTGAAAGAGTTACACAGAGAAGGAGAGGTAGAGAGGTCTTCGATCTGCTGGGTCACTCCCCAACTGGCCACAATGGCTGGAGCTATGCCGATTTGAAGCCAGGAACCAGGAGCTTCTTGTGTAGGGGCCCAAGGACTTGGGTCATCTATTGCTTTCCCAGGCCATAGAGAGCTGGATTGGAAGTGGAGCAGCTGGGACTCGAACCAGCACTCACATGGCGGCTTTACCCGCTACGCTGCAGCACCAGCCCCTCCAGATAGGTTATGTTGCACCATCACCAAGGATCTAGGATAAGAAGGAGCTGGTGTGCTTTCCCTTCCTGTGCAAGGGAAGGGACTGGTGTGCATGTCCTGAGCTGTGGTGTCGAGCAAAGGGAAAGAGGCGTTTAAGTCTGGGATCTGGCTGGTGTCTCACTCACCTAGTACTTCCAGAGCATTGTAGGACATGACATACGCCACAACTGACCCATCAACGCTCTGTATTGTGTCCCTACAGAACCAAGTTGTCATTGCTGCTGGGAGGAGCTCTCTGGGAGCCCGGCTCTCTGGGGCACTTCATGTCTACAACCTGGGCTCAGACTGAAAACTTCACTCCACTTCGCCCACACCCATTCCCTCATTTCCAGCCGGTGAGGAACCTGCAGGGTGGGTGTCTGATGGACAGTACAGCATCCAGTGGAGCTGTGGGAGATCCTTGTAGAGGCAGAGGTTCTTGGGAGTAGACACGCACCAGCACCTAGATGCTCTGGGACTAGGACACGGTAACCACATGATGGCCCCGGGAGCACAGGAAACATACACTCTGGTCATTCAAGTCCTTTCCTGAAGTTCCCATCTTTGCTTCTCTCCTAGCTCAGTCCACGTCCCTCTGTACAACCTCTGTATACGATTCCGCCTGAAACCTTTTAAAAAACACAGTGGCCCATTTTAGCAAAGTATAATAGAAAGCTTAGTCTATAGGAAAAGACTAAGGGCCCAGGAGGGGAGGTGGGGGTGAAGGTGACCTCCCCCTGCGGTAAGAGATCCGGTCCTTTCTGAATGAGGACTCCTCTGCTTTCTGAGCTCTATCCTCCTCCAGAGGCAGCGGCTGCAACGGGCGCTGAGCCTCCTGCCTCTCTACTAGTTTCATGTCAGCCCACGAGGCCCTTTCCTGCATTTGGTCACTTTGTGCTGCACCAACAGAATTCAAGCAGGAAGGAGACCAGGTCTGAGGGAGTGGGGCGGGGAAGAGGGAAGCAGACCCTGCCTTGTTCCCGGCTGTCTGCAGGTCGGGTGACTTCATCTGTCAGTCCGGCAGATTTAAGGGAGAAGAACGGATCATGAGGTTCGTCTTCACTACACAGGGGCAGGCATTACTGTCTGCTGCCTGGTGAAATGATAGGCAGGTTCTCTAGAGGCAGAGACGGGAGGAATCCAGCTGAGGAGCAGAAAGTGAAACCAGACCCCCGGGAAAAGCTCCCGTGATGTGAGTACAGCTGGGCAAGAGCAGCACAGGTACATGCGCAGGTTGCACCTCCTGGTCTAGCTCCCTGTGCCACAGGGAAACCCTGTTTTTGTCTGGGTACCAGGTACTGGCAGTTCCTGTTGGTTATTTTTTGGGGACTAGAAATCTCTCGGCTTGATTCGCTCACAGGCTGAGAAGTCCGGGCTAAGCCTTTCCTGAGAAGTCCCATGGTGGTGGAAGAGATCACTGTTTTCATGCTGCACTAATGACGGAGCCCAAGTTTAACAGGATCATTATTCAGAATGTGTAACTTCAATGCTAAACACAGCAAGTATTAGGTGGAAGTTAAAATCTATAGAGTTGCAAACCAATCTTCAAGTCTATAGGATATTTACCTGTCATACTAACACAAGTGACATAAACTATACTTCTGTTGAAGGTCAGCTTATATGGCAAATATGTAAAAATCTAGCATACCAGGATGATTATGCTGATTCCACTAACTGCAATGGAAATACCTTATAGTTTGATTTGTGTTAATGAGAAACTAAATGTATGTAACAGTTTTAAGTTAAAATTCTTTATTTCAATTTATCAGACATTTGCATTTTCTTGGTACTGTAACAACTTTCTTCAGGACTGGAATCATTTTATGTCTGCATAACAGGATGAAACTAAAAGGATAAAGGTAAATCCTAATTTTAGTGTGACTTTATTACCTCAATTCCAAGGCTACATGCAACTCTGGGAATAAGTTACCAAAATAGCTCTAATATGAAAGTGGTTAGTGTCCATCAGTTTCTGTGAACACAATCCTCTGAAGGCACAACAGGTACCACTGGAAAGTCCTCCAAGATGAGAGCAGTCTGAAGAGGGCTGTCTCATACTGGTTGGTATTTTACCACCCTGTTTACAAACAGCCGACGTGTTCAGTCTACTTTACCAGTGAACTTCCTCTCTTGGAGCACTGGTTTTATTATAAGAACTTTGCTGTAAAAAGTATCCAGCAATCACCCATTAGCTGACATTTTGAGATCAGACTTGATCTAACTACCTTCAAATATGTTGCAAACCAACAGGAACCATGAGGTAGTTACACATTTGCCCTTTTACTAACAGGACAAGGCTCGACTCAAAACTGTCAGTAACAACAAAGACAAGTGACCAGAATTGCTCAAATTCTGCCCTTTGGGATTCCAAGAACCCAGTCCCCTTGCAACAAGTACCCCATGCAGTGCAAAGTGCTCCCTCTCTTGTAAATTATTTTCTTTCAAAGCATCACAGTCCCAACACCACGGGCTAATCAGGATCCCTCACACCTGAGTTGTTTATTACTGAAACATTGCTAGTAGGAGAGCTGCTCCGGCCACTTTTGGAGGCACATTTCACTCTGTTGGTATTTGCTGGACAGTAAATATTAAGTAGGTAGCAGCTGTCAGACTTACCAATATAAGCCATCTGTTTAACAGTGAAAAGGTGAACGCTGTAACCCTTATCTGCCCTCTTGTTTCAGGAGGGCCATCTGTCAGCTTCTGAGGTACAGGCAGCAGCTGGGGTATCTGCATTTTCCTTCCCTCAGGCACTGAACACAACACAAATGCTTCAACTTTACATCCCAAGGTTCTAATTAGAGCAAATCAAAGAGGGCTGAAATTTGACTGGGATTCATCATATATAAAAAAGGAGGCAAATAAAGCTTTTCAGTCACCTGAGGGTTAGGCAATCACACCAACATGATTCCTTGCACGGACCAAGAACTAAGGATCCTGATCTTATAACTACGAGTTGGCAAGTTTCTAGGCTTTGTTCCACAGGAAATGGCACTTTTCTTGCTGTGTATAAATGAAGTCCATATAACTGACTGCTCTTGTGTTGAACTAATCTCTCCATGACTCACATCAATAAAAACAATTTTGCCTTTTTACAAGGTAAGCACTTTGCTCATAATTCTGAAAAATGCAATCATTTTTCTATCCAATAAGAACTGTTGTAATACCTTCATCATTAGACATACATACCAATGATTTCCTTCCCTCCCCAAAGTGTCCAACTCCATCATAAAAGTATCAGAAGTTTTGTGACTACCATAAAGTGTCCAGATCCATCAGGCCAGCTGTTCCTAGCGGTTTGTAAGGATGTTCCTGCTTGATCCAAGTCCATCAGGCCTGAGTGTGCTTCTCACTTCCATCCTTCTATCAGCCAGAAGAGTCTTTTTAGGTAAAGAGGCCATCTAAATGAAGCAGGAAAATCAATTCAGGTTTGTGCTTTTAGCACAGTAGTGTCATCTTCAAGTACAAAGATAAGAGAAAGGTAAACTCTGCGTCTTAATGAGGACACTAAATGACTTCTACGTTTCAGTTGTAACCAAACTACAATAATTTTCTACATAAAACATTAATACTTCAAAACTTGTTCAAGAAAAATGCAATTATGGAAGAGCTTCATATGGATTTCAAAAAATTATGCACAAAAATTCCATTTAGGCACAGACTTTTTGATGTACACTGTACGTGTTATTTCGCTCAGTGATGCTATGCACAGTACTAACTTAGATGGGGGAAACAGGTTTAGAAAATTAAGCAACTTGCATGAGATCACAAAGCCTACGCAGGAGAAGCCAGGTTGTCTGACTTTGGAGCCCATGTCAGTCTTCTGCAATACTCATACCAGAGGAGGCAAAGGAGCTTCCAGCTGTCGTCCGAGGAAGGAGAGCAGACGCCTCCAGATGAGGCCGCTTCCCATAAACATGATTCCTGTAATCAGCCAGAACACTCTATGGTCCTAAAAGAGAAGAGTCAGTTTTAATCAAAAGGAAATTTTTTAAGGCACCTAAAAACTATTACTGCCCTGGAGTTTAAGCCTTTTATAATTTGTATAGCCCCTTTTCTATAGAAAGGGATTAGGGCCTGGATGGCACCCAATCAGAATATATCAGCAGAAGATACGATTTTTAGTCACATAAAAGCCAAACTCAGTTGCTTATATTCTTTCCAAACGGAGCTACAATACCCAGGAAACCAAACATCCCAGAATGGTTTAAATGGTCAAGGGAAAGGACATAGAAGAAATTGTATCATAATACATTTTTGTCTATGGATGCTATAAATTTACTAAGGCCATAATGAACCCAGTAAGTATGGGAAGTTAACATTTTTTCCTTACTATTTTCAGTAATTGTATTTTCACATACAGAATCCTAGAACTTAAATTTCATCTTGGACAGGAATCCCACACACAGCTGGTTACCATCATGGCTTGGATAACTTAGATAATCCATCAGCTCTCACTGATACAAACTCTTGCTATGAGCAGATTTCTGCTCCCTTTTAACATGAAGGCAGATGTTACACATGAGGTATCAGAAGGTATTAACATGAGGTAATTGTTTTTAGATGGTGAATACATTCCTAATTATCTAAAATGAAGGTCCCGAGTTTAAGATTTTATGTGAGAGGGAATTACAGAGAGATAGACACAGGATTCACTCCCCAAATGGCCACATGGCTGCAGTGGGGCCCATCTGAAGCCAGGATCAAGGAGTTGCTTCTGGGTCTCCCACACGGGTGCAGGGGCCCAACTACTTGGGCCACCTTGCACTGCTTTCCCAGGTCATAGCAGAGCACTGGATCAGAAGATGAGCGGCCAGGACTGAAACCTGCACCCACGTGGGATGCAGAGGCTCAGTGCACTACACCAGGGCGCCAGCCCCAATTTCTTATAAAAATTGTTTTGGCCGGCGCCACGGCTCACTAGGCTAATCCTCTGCCTGCGGCGCCGGCACCCCAGGTTCTAGTCCTGGTCAGGGCGCCGGATTCTGTCCCGGTTGCCCCTCTTCCAGGCCAGCTCTCTGCTGTGGCCCGGGAGGGCAGTGGAGGATGGCCCAAGTCCTTGGGCCCTGCACCCCATGGGAGACCAGGGGAAGCATTTGGCTCCTGGCTTTGGATCAGCGCGATGCCAGCCGCAGCGGCCATTGCGGGGTGAACCAACAGAAAAGGAAAACCTTTCTCTCACTATCCACTCTGCCTGTCCAAAAAAAAATATTCTGTTTTGGGCATTAAGGCATATCATCTAGAGCCACTGCCTGCAGTGCCAGCATCCTGTATGGGCACTAGTTCAAGTCCTGGCTGCTCCACCTCCCTGCTGACAGGCCTGGGGAAGAAGCAGCAGCAGATGGCCCAAGTGCTAAGGCTCCTTCTCCCATGTCAGACCCAGAAGCTCCTGGTTTCAGATTGGCCCAGCTCCGGCGGTTGTGTCCATTTGGGGAGTAGACCTGTGGATGAAGATCTCTCTCGCCCCATCTCTGTCACTCTGCCTTTCAAATACAAAAATCTTTAAAAAAATTTAAATACAATAAAATACACATAGATTAATTTTTACTGTAGATTTGTAGTGAACCAGAGACTCAGTCAAGGAATGCCAAAATGTGTTAAGATTCAGAAGCAAGCCACGTTGGAGGCCAACCAAGCTGAAAACTGCATGAGCCATAACCCAGCAGAGTGAACCCTCTGGAAGGTCTGTGTCCATCTCGCAGTCCTAGGGCCAAGGCCTCCTCTGCAGCTCAAAGTCCCTGCTTTCTCTCCCCACCGCCCACCTGCATCGGAAGTCACGTACCTGGCCTGCCATACAGGATGTTCTGGAGGCTGCACACACACTGAAAACATGCCAGCCCCAACAGGACGATCTGAACATTAAGCTGTCAGTAGGCTCTAGTTCACTACTAAAATGAGAGCCCACAAATGCAAACTGACACAAATGAATAATAAGGGAGAAAAGGTGAAGTTCTATTTTGCATACAATGCCAACTATTAAATGTACATAGGACAGCCATGTGGTAACCATCAGAGTATGGTTACTGAGTCAGTTTTGCATCACTTAGTGGATGCTAACAATACAGATGAACTCAATGAACAGAACTTCTACAGTATCAGTTTGTACCGGGTACTTCAAAAACTCTAGAAAAATAGAATTGAAAGATGTAGCTATTTCACAGTGCCCATTTTCTGTGAACGTTTTGGAAACCCCTTTGTAATATCCCTAAGGAAACTTTATTCCAAAAAGGAAAGAGTGACCTACAGGACATTACATTGGCAGCCAACACCTTAACCAAATGACAATGTAATTAAAGCCATTACTGCTAGTAATGGGACAAACTGACACCATGTCATGTGACCACAGAGTCACAACAAAATGCCCAACCAGGAAACACTCCTGGAACACTTCCCTCAAGAACATCATGACTGCAAGGGACAGGAGAGCTGCTGTGGATGACAGGAGACTAGAGAGACCCGACAGCCACAGGCAACACGTGGTCTGAGACTGTGACAAGTGTTATGTGGACACGGGCAAAATCTGCAAACAGATGGGAAAATACAACGACTTTCAGGGTCATCTTCCCGAATTGATAACTGCACTAATGTTATAAGAAGGTACTGTATTCCTAAACACATACTGGAGTGATGGAGAGATCCAGATGGCAGAACAGGGAGGGAGCGTACTGCTCTTGTCTAAGGGAAGATAGTTTAAAAAAAAGTGGGGAGAGTGCAGTCTCAGGGAAGAGTTAGGGAGAAAACAGCATCGGAAAGTTCATGCAAATTAGAGGGACACTGTGGACCTACGTGGAGGGTGTGGATGGACCCAACTCAGGACCCCAGCAGCACTACCTTTGGAGTGAGGTTCAGCAGCCCAAGCCATGATGATAAAGCTGCAGGGAGAGCCTGGTGGAGACAGTGTACCTGCCTACCTAGGGGAAAAAAGTCAGGGGCACATTTCTCTGACCGCCCTGCACTGGCATCCTGTAAGAAGCTGAGCGCAGACGCCATTCTACACATACACAACAGCTGTGCCAGCTCAAGTCCACGTGCCCAGCAACCAGCCGAGCAGAGATACCCGAGTCAGGCCGGGAGAACTGACAGGGGGCTGGGCGCTCATGGCTGTGGGAGGCTTGAAAACACTGAGGCTGTGGGAGAGCGCAGGGTGTGGCTGGGACTGTGGGCAGATCCACACACTCAGGGCTCCCTGACTCCTTGGTGAGGGTCACTGCTGTGGTCCTTTGGGCAGCACAGATGAATTCTGTACCCACTGCAGCTAGCACCCTGGCACTGGTCTCCTTTGAGGAGAAGAGGTAGGCGTGAGACAATGAGAAGAGAACATTAAAAAAAAAAAAACTCCCCTCTGATAAAAAAATTACTACGTCCAACCTGGGGGTCAACTTGGACACTCCCTTCCCTCTGGGACACTGAACAGAGCCCGCTGGCCACACCCACCACATGCCTCTGGGTATTCACTGAAAAATCACTAAGCCACTGAGGCATAGTCCAAACATAAAAGCCATGACAGGGAAAAAACAAGAAAGAAACCAACAAGTATTTCTACAAATGCTGAATAATAAATGCAGCAATTGAGGAAACAAGAAAAAGGAAAACAACATGATGCCCCTAAAATAACACAACACCTCAGCACTAGAATGTGAAGATGAAGAGACTGAAGAAATGCCAGAAATGGAATTCAAAAAATTGATCATAGGATTACTTAGAAGTAATCAGAAGCAAATCTAGGAACTAATGAAATCTCTACATGACATGAAAGAAAATTTCTCCCATGAAATTGAGATCTCAAAGAGAAATCAAAGTGGAGGGATTAAGATGGTGGAATAGGGAGGGAGCTAATGCTCTAGTCTAGAAGATAGTTTTAAAAAAGTGGAGAGGGGCCGGCGCTGTGGTGTAGCGGGTAAAGCTGCTGCCTGCAGTGCCAGCATCCCATATGATGAGTGGTTTGAGTCCCTGCTGCTTCACTTCCAATCCAGCTCTCTGTTATAGCCTGGGAAAGCAGAAGATGGCCCAAGTTCTTGGGCCCCTGCATCCACATGGGAGACACAGAAGAAGCTCCTGACTGCTGTCTTGGGATCAGCACAGCTCAGGCCATTATGGCCATCTGGGGAGTGAATCAGTGGATTGAAGATCTCTCTCTCTGCCTCTGCCTCTCTGTAACTCTGTCTTTCAAATAAATAAATAAATCTTTAAAAAAAAAAAAAAAAAAAGTGGAGAGTGCAGTCTCAGCGAAGAGTTAGGGAAAAAATGGAAGAGGAAACAACACAAAATAGAGGGACGCTGTTGGACCCACACAGAGGGTGTGGACACGCACAACTCAGGACCCAAGCAGCCAAGAACCTCAGCACCAGCTCTGGAGTGAGGTGAGGCCAATCTGCAGCAGCCCCAGCCACTGGCGGTGATGCTGCAAGAAGATCCTGGAGGGCATCTGGCTTGGAGCCCTGGGGGGCACAGTGTACCTGCCAAACTGGAGAAAATAAGGGGGGGAGTTGTGGGGGGAGGCACACTTCTCTCTCCCCGATCACCCTGCAACAGCATCCTGTAACAAGCTGACAGAGGGTGGGAGCCATTTTGGACATCCATAACAGCTGAGCAGACTCGTGTCCATGCACACAGCAACCAGCCAAGTGGAGATGCCCGAGTCTGGTGGGGAGAACTGACAAGGGGGATGGGTGCTTCTGACAGTGGGAGGCTCGTGTGTCAGGACTGTGAAAACACTGAGGCTATGGGGGAGGGCTCAGGGTGTGGCTGGGACTTTAGGTTGTAACTGTGGGAGTCTCCACACACTCAGGACTTCCTGGTTCCCTGGTGAGGATCATTGTTACGGAATCTGTGCTTACACTGAGGACTTCACAGATCCTTTGTGTGGTTTTTGTGGCAGCATGGATGAATATTAAACCCACTGGGGCTAGCACCCAGGTACTGTCTCCTTTGAGGGAAAGTGAGCTGAGACTATACCAACAGAGCAGAACAAATCCTCCCCTCAGTGAAGAAGAAAAAAAAAGATTTACCACATCCAGCCTGAGTGTCACGTTGGATACTCCCTTCACCCTGGAGCACTGAACAGAGCTTCCTGGCAACACCCGCTACACACCTCTAGGTATTCACTAGAAAAGCAGACACTCCACTAATCCACAGACGCATAGTCCAAAGATAAAAGCCAGCACAGGGCTGCAATAAACATGTAAACTGGTAAAGCCACTATGGAAGACCGTATGGAGATTCCTCAGAAATTTGAATATAGTCCTGTCATATGACCCAGCCATCTCACTGCTGAGAATTTACCCAAGGGAAATGACATCACCAAATGAAAGTTATCTATATCCCTCCCATGTTTATTGCAGCTCAATTCACAATACCTAAGACTGGAATCAACCCAAATGTCCATCAACTGAAGACTGAATAAAGAAATTATGGGAGATGTACACCACAGAATAATACAAAGCAGTAAAAACAAAAACTGAAATCTGTTTGCAAAAAAATGGATGAAACTGGAAAACATATTTAGTGAAATAAGTCAGTCCCACAAGGACAAATACCATATGTTCTCCCTGATCTGTGATTACTAATAGAGCACTAAAAAGGTAATCTATAGAAGTGAAATTGACACTCTGAGAGCCAGTGACTTTGAACAGCCCTTGTCTCGACTGCTGAGGAACAGTTTTTGTGTTCTTCATACTATGTGTTGAACTCTTCACATAGTTAATCATGTGTATAAAGTTAATTGAAAATAGATCTTAGTAAAAAAAAAACAAGAATGGAGCCGGCGCCATGGTTCACTTGGTTAACCCTCTGCCTGCGGCACCAGCACCCCAAGTTCTAGTCCCGGTTGCTCCTCTTCCAGTCCAGTTCTCTGTTGTGGCCCGGGAGGGCAGTAGAGGATGGCCCAAGTGCTTGGGTCCCTGCACCCACAAGGGAGACCAGGAGAAGCACCTGGCTCCTGGCTTTGGATTGGCGCAGCTCTGGCCGTTGCGGCCAACTGGGGAGTGAACCAGTGGATGGAAGACCTTTCTCTCTCTCTCCGCCTCTCCTCTCTCTGTGTAACTCTTTCAATTAAACAAATCTTTAAAAAAATGTATGAAGTTTGTATTAAGGCTTCTGGGGGAAAAACACATACTGAAACATTTGAGGTGAAGTAGCATCCCATCTGTTCTGTCTCAAATAGTCAGAAAATATGTATATTTAGAATGGTGAAGCAAATGTGTAAAGTCTCTGGTTAAAGATTGCAAGAGAGTTGACTAAGTCTTAGAACTTTTCTGTAAGTTTGAATTATCTTAAAGACCAAGTTTTTCCTGTCCTACACTATTATACACATTGATGCTAACAATGCAGGCATAAAACAATTGACATTCATGGATTTCAAGAGTGTTTCAGGTATTCTTCATGAAACTGAGACATGAGTCACCTGTGATGCTGATGAGGCACTGCCCTGGCCCTCCTGAGCAAGCTTCACTCGCTTACTCCCTTTAGTGTATGTACCTCCCAAATCCAACACTTTGCATCTGCTACATCCCTCAAATTTACAAGTACCTGCTGCAAGGCTGCGAAAGATCAGAAGCTCTCTGAGGCAGACTCAATACTTGCTCTTTTGGTTTTTTAATGCTCTGATAAAATGTGAAAGAAAACCAAATACAGTACATTTGTTCATTCACCTCATGTGTTTTTCAGTGGCTGTTACACACTTAGCACTCATCACTCACTGAAGTTCTGTAGCCATAAATGGCCAAATTGCGAGGGTCTGTGGATGTATCCTTTGCGGATGTCCAGAGCTGCCCTATGTGGCACAGAACATTCTGGTGAATGCTCAAGTCTGTAATGGTCTCAGTTAGGGATCAAACCTCCAAATTTCCTGTTGCTCTGTAAACAAATACAAACCTGTGTGATGCTCCACACAACTCACATCTCATGCTGGTCTCTCTCTGACCTCATTTCCCACCAGGTGCCATTCAACTCAACCTCTTCTAACCTCTCTGGTTTTGCTGCTTTCCACGGTAGCTTGCCTCACCCTGCCTGTCAGAGCATTGTAGTTCTTCTGCTTAGAACCCTCCTCCCAAGACCTCCCCATGTTCTCTTTCTCTACCTGCCCTGACCACTGACTATCTATGATGCTGCCATCCACCACCTGCCACTCTGTACCCCTGACCTGGCTCTGCCTTTCTTTGTGGCCCTTATCACTTAACATACTTCATCCCTCTCCTCAAAGAATCACTGGGCCTAAAGCAGTGCTAAGTGTGTAACAACAACTGAAACACACGTGAGGTAAATGAACGAATGTACTGTATTTGGTTTTCTTTCACATTTTATAAGAGCATTAAAAAACAAAAACAAAACAAAACAAAAAAACAAAAGAACAAGTATTGAGTCTGCCTCAGAGAGATTCTGATCTTTCGCAGCCTTGTAGCAGGTACCTGTAAATTTGAGGGATGTAGCAGACATGCAGTGTGGGATCTGGGGGTACATACAACAAAGGGAGTAATTTTAACTGTACGGCTTGGGGGAATAGCCAGGGAAAGGACACATCAAATCGAGGCCTCAAACGTAAGGAGGTCCTACCCAGGCAAGAAGGTAGGAGCTGAGGACAGAGAGGTGGAAGCAATGAGTCTGGGACAGAAACCAAAGGAGCAAGTAACTATGGAGCTGCAGATAGAGGGAGAAGAGGAGCAGAGACAGGACAAGCCCTCAGATTCAGGAGGTTTCAGATTTTTATCTTTAGCCTGAGAGCCCCTGACTACTTTTATGCGGAAGAGTGACATATTCAAGTTTGTATATCTTTTAAAGAAAGTTGTCCTGATGAGAGATAATGTGGTTAGACTGGGGCAACAGACAGCAGACCTGTGATATGACTGCGGCCCTAAACCCAGCACCTCAGGGGCTAAATGTACATTCAGAGTCATTGCTAGAAATCCAATAATAAGGTCTCTGTGGAATGCAGTAAGCCAAACAGAACAAGTCTTTTAGTTGAAATCCTAACTGTAATTTTTTTAGCTCCATGCCCTTAGACAAGTTTATTAAATTTTCTGAGCCTCAATTTTTTCATCTATAAAGTAGGGATAAAATATTTACTTTGAAGGAGTTATGATGATTGAGCCACTTAAGTGCATAGACTTTAAAAACAGGGTGGATGTTTTGAACAGTGGTTAAGATGTGGCTTGGTACCTCTGTATCCTGTACCAGAGTGCCTAGGCTTGAGTCTTGGCTCCGCTAATTCAAGCCTCCTGCTAATGCACACAATGGGAGGCAGCCCCGTGGTATCTCAAGCAGCTGGCTTCTCTGCCTTCAAGCACCTGCCTTCAGCCCAGGCCAGCCCTGGCTGTTGCGAGTATGTGAGGACCTGGTGCATGAGAGATCTGTCTCTCCCTCTCTTTCAAATAAATAATACCAATTAATTTTCAAAAAGATCTAAAAAATAAACACTCTTCACTGACACTGCTTCAGAGTTCAACACTGGGTTATCGAAGCTACCCCATGTGTCACTACAAGTATTGGAAAACAAAGCAACCTAGGCTAGACTCTTACTTATAAAAGGTTCCAAACATATGGCCTGAATTGTGAGACACAATATAAATTCATTTCACAGGTTAGTCTTTTAAAAAAGAAATCTATTGAAAACTGACCTTCAAAACAATAAAAAAACAATCTCCAAGTTACTGAAATAGTCCTTTCTTACCTCTTCAAGGGAAGATTCCAAATTCATTCCAAAAGCAACTCCCATGAGTCCAAAGAGTGAAAGAGAGAAGGTTCCCATGGTCAACTGCAGGTTCAATCTCATCATCACGTTACGGTGGCTGGAGAGAATTCTTACTCAGATCAGAAGGGCCACTACATACAGCAGATTCACTAAATCATCTAATAAAGGCCACATTAAATTTACACCTTCAAAAAATTTTTACAGTAGCTGTAGATGATGATGGTATAATTCCTTCCAAAATGTGATTTCCTTGTAAAAAATTTTTTTAAAAAGATTTGAAAGTCAGAGTTACAGAGAGACAGAGAGATCTTATATCCAATGGTTCACTCCCCTGATGGCCTCAATGGCCAGGGTTGAGCCAAAAGTTTCATCTGGATCTCCCATATGGGTGGCAGGTACCCGAACACTTGGGCCATTGTCTGCTTGCTTTCCCCAGGCCATGAGCAGGGAGCTGGATTGAAGTGGAGCACGAAGGACACAAACTGGCACCCGTAAGGGATACTGGCACTGCAGGTGGCAACTGTACCTGCTACCCCACAATGCTGGCCCCTTAAATAATAATTTTTTTTAAGAAAATACCTACGGACTGCCTCCTTACCTGTCCAGGTTGATGAAAATGATACTCTGTGAGTCATCGATCAGTGCCCTGAGTTCCCGAGCTGCATTGGAGAGATCCTCAGCCAGGCGGTAGTAGTTCTCCAACAGCAGCTCCATCTCCTCTGCATGGTCAATGCCAGCGCTGCTCTGCTCACTTCGATGGAAAGAGTATGCCTAATTAACACACCTCCAGTAAGTGCATCCCACATTAATACCCAAACTTCCTGGGTTAGTGTGTAATATTCAGCCACCAGTGAAAAACCTACTGCCTTTGTCTTTTCTATGGTGGTGACTGAGGCCAGTCCGAGTGGCTCTGAAGCTGATCCCAGACGCTATCCAGAGAAGTCCAGACAGAGGTTCCATCCTCCTACAGGCTAGTTAGCGTCACTGTATTCTGATGCCCCAACCAATGAAACTAACACAAATGCGTGCTATCACTCACAGGTAAATCCTGGCACGTGAATGCTGATGAATTAGGGCAAATCCAAAACCACTATCTGGTAAAACAAAACCAAGACAAAATGCACAAAGGGCATTTCCCTTCCATGTTATGTATATAACATGCTGTTTCCATTTATGATGAAACATGTTTTTGGAATGATATCAGTATCTATTTTCCCACCAAACCAAAGATGATAAGGCAATAGGGTATCCTGTACAAGACAATTTGATCAAAAGGCCTATTAGAGACAAATCAGCTTAAGTAAGGCAACTAAGAATTCTAGTGTTTAGATTTCGAATACTGTTATCTAAATCCTATCTAATCAACTTCTCAAAATATTGAAAAAATCTGTATAGGTCATACAAAGTCTATATAAGGATCACTATTAATTTCTGATACTGTTCTACAAAGTATTTTGGGTATTTCAAAAGTAAACATTAGGCAGAGTAAGATAGCAGCTGCTGAGTCACATCCTGAGAGACATCAATTTGAACGGCTATTCATGTACACAACTATCTTTACAAGAGCTGGAGGAGCCAGTAAGATCCCACAGTGCCTGGTACTGAAGCAGGCAGAAAGAAGTTGCCTGCACCGCCTTTTCCCCAACTCCTGGCAGCACAGCGTGGAAAGAGACACCTCCTGCTGGGGGAAGGGAGAGGAATTAAGTCCAGGTGCAGTCACCAGGCCTGCCATGGTGAGACCCAGTGCTGCGCAGAGCCCTTTAGCCCCCATCTGCAAGTCAGGACCCATGGACTGAGCCTCTGGAACTACGCTAGCCAGGTGGCCGAAGGACAGCCTCCAGTCCCCCTCCCCAACCTTAGCCAGTACAGCACTTAGGAAGACCCCACCCAGCAGGGAGTGGGGCAGGAAAGTGGGCACACAGATACACAATGCACACAGCATCTGCCATTCTGTCTCTCCAGACCAACCCTGAAATGAGAAACTAAAGACTGAGAGCAGGGGGTCCCCAGCAGTTCCCACTCATGCCACAGACACCTGAGGAATTTACTCCTGGAGAAGCCTGGGGTTCGTGCAGGCCCTGAGTCAGCGTGGGGCGCTTCAGGGTCATCACACCACTGCATGGCCCGGGAGAAAGCCCAGCCTACAATGCCTCTCCCACTCCCTGCAGGCTCTTTCTGCAGTTATCCTGAGACCCCACCCCACCTATCTTATTTAGAAGCTCCACAAAACTAACTTTGTGAACCAGCAGGGAGGCCCTACCCACCCTCCCATAGTCTGAGGAAGAACTTGAACAGCACACTTTGAGTCCCTTGGACCCAGAGGTCTCCAGAACATAGCTGAGCAGCCCATCCATGCTCCTTCAGCCCTGAAAACAGCTGTGTGGCTCCATCTACCCCCTTCGGCCTCAGAGGCCCTAGGATGCAGGCAAGTGGCCTCAGCAATGTACCTACAGCCCTTGGGAAGCAGCTGGGCAGACCTCCCTGAGCAGGTTGGCTTCTGAAGTCCAGTGAGTTTACCTGTGCAGGCCTCAGACGCTGACAGCCCTCCCTCTGAGGTGCGGCCTCTCCCAGGTACACAGAGGTGGTTCCACACTCACAGTAACCTGCAGAAACTGACAGAAGCTCTACACTTAGAGCTGCCAGTGAACCTGCCCTGCCTAAGGAAGCTGCACCCCAACTGGCCAAGTGCAATCCACAATGCATGCAGCCTAGGCCACTGAGACATCAGCAGATATTGTCAATAGTGACTTCAGCTGAAGAAGCTACAGGGACACTAAAGTGCCTACCTGGAACCAAAGCCAACACAGCACACCTAGCAACACCCTAACAGAAAATCTTTTACTACAAAGGTCACCTGTGAAATTGATTGAAGAAGTGATCCAACAGATGCACAAAAACCGATGTGGGGTGCAAGAAGCATGAATAAAGAAAGTAACGTGACAGCTCCAAAGGAACACAGTGACTCGCAGCAACAGACCACCGAGAAGGGAAGTTGGTGAATTGTCCATGAAGAATCAGAAACAGTAAGAAGAAACTTAGAGACACAAGAGAACACAGACGATTCAATGGCATAAGGGAGACCATTCATGATATGAATGAGAAGTTTATCATAGAAATCATAAAAAAAATCAGAAACAGAGCTAAAAAACTCAAAGTAAAATTAAAAATACAGCTAAGAAATCAACAGGATTGGGTAGAAAGAAAAAATTATGACCTTGACTCTTTTTAGAAAGACCAAAATCAGTAAGAACAGGAAAAAAAAAAACATAGAAAAATGAAAAGTCTTTGAGAGTGAGCAAATTTGCCTTATGGGTATTCCTGAAGAAGAAAAATAAAAGGCCAAAGAAAATCTATTCAGTGAAACAACTGCTGACCTTTGCACATCTTGGGAAAGATACAGACATTGAGGCAGGAAGCCTGAAGGAGCCCCGACCAACTTGATACCTCCCTGCAACCCCCAACCCAAAGATTCTCTCCAAGGCAAACTATCAAAAACAAAAAACAGGAAAGGCAAAGAAAGAATTCTAAAACAAAACAAAACAAAAAAACCAGCAAGAGAAAAGCAGCAACTGATTTTAAAAGAATCCCCATTAGATTAATGGTAGATTTCTCAGCTGAGACCTTATAGGACAAGAGAGAAATATTCAAAGTTCTGAAAGAAAAAATTTGCCGGCATTGTGGTGTAGCAGGTAAAGCTGTTACCTCCAATGCTAGCAACCTATATGGGCGCCCATTCGAGTCCCAACTGGCTCTACCTCTGATCGAGCTTCCTGCTAATTGCCTGGGAAAAGCAGCAGAAGATGGCCCAAGTGCTTGAGCCCCTGCCACCCACATGGGAGACCTGGATGAAACTCAGGGTTCACGGCTTTGGCCTGGCTCAGCCCCGGCTGTGTGGCAACTTAGAAAGTGAAGCAGTAGATGGAAGGCCTTGCGCTCTCTCTCCCTCTCTTACTGTAACTCTTTCAATAAATAAATAAATCTTTAAAAACAACTGCCATCCAAGAACACTATACCTAAGTTATCCATCTCACATGAGGGAGATTTTCCATGAAAAAGCAAAATGGAAGGAATTCACCACCTGACCATCCCTACAAGAAATGCTCAAGGGAGTCCTACATCAGGAGCAAAGGGATAAATACTACCATGAAAACACCAGAAAGTATAAATCTTAACAGAACATAAGAAAAAAGTGATTCCTATTTTTGCTTTTTTCTAGATTTGACTTGCTATATATTCAGTTAAGCTTTTTTTCCTCCACCTGTATTAATTAGGACTATATGAGTACCTTTGTATTTTTCTTCTTCTACTCATTAAGTTTCTACATCAGGATTATGTTAGTCTCTTAAAATGAGTTGGAAAGCATTTGATCCTTCCCTATTTTGTTTAAGAACATATTATTGGGGCCAGTACTGTGGCATAGTGGGTAAAGCTGACACCTGCAGTACCAGCATCCCACATGGGTGCCAGTTCATGTCCCAGATGCTCTACTTCCGATCCAGCTCTATGGCCTGAGAGAGCAGTAGAGGATGGTCCAGGTACTTGGGCCCCTGCACCCAAGTGTGAGACCTGGAAGAAGCTCCTGGCTCCTGGCTTCAGATTGGCTCCGCTCCGGCCATTGTGGCCATCTGAGAAGTGAACCAGTGGATGGAAAATTTCTTTCTCTCTCTGCCTAACTCTTTTTTAAGTCAAAAAATAAATTTTTTTAAAAGAAAATATTATTGTTCATTTTTCATTTAAATCCTTGGTGGAATTCAGTAAACCTATTTAAGATTCTAGTTATCTCTGGAGGAAGATTTTAAAAAATATATTTCATTTCTTACATACATACAGGGCTATTCAAAAAATTTTTTCTTCTGTTTCCTGATTTTGTGTTTTTGAAGAAATACATGCATTTTACTCAAGTTGCCAAAAATCAGTGAATGCACTTAAAATATTAGTAACAGTTCAACCTATAATCTAATCTTGTTATTTGGTATATGTCCAAAGGGAAAGAAATCAGTCCGTCAAGACATCTACATGCCCATGTTTACTGCAGCACTAATGACAAAAGCCAAGACATGTAATCAACTAAGGGATGAAAAGAGAAAATTATACACAAATCCAACTATTTAGCCACAAGGCTGAAATCCTGTCATTTACCACAACATGTAAGAACCTAGAGCAGTGTTCTAGTGTTCTTTTCCACAGAAGGGTCGCTATAGTTAACAATCTACTATATACTTCAAAATAGTTAACCATGTATTATATACTTAATAGCTGGAAGAGAGGACTTTTTAATGATTTTATCAAAATGAGTGATGTCTGAGAAGACAGATATAATCAATTTAATTTTATAATTACACAACTTACATATGTACATATCTGATGTACATATGTACATCAGAATGTATCCCATAAATATGTATAGTTACGTCAATCAAAACTTAAAATATAGAATGATACTAAGGGAGAAACAGGGATATACAGAGGCAGAAGATAACACTTTAAACTTTACATGTAACATGATGTCTATATTTGATAAACATATATATCAAGTTTTTATTAAAAATGTTGTCCAAAGGGCCAAATAAAGGTATCCCGTGTTCGTCTCCTCCTTCAGAGAAAACTATAAAAACAAGTAAATAACTACCTGTTGTGGGGAGCAACTCAGACTAGACTAAGTTACTCGAATTAAGACTTATTCTGTGCATCTGCTCTCCCACAATATGGTGCTGGGAGAGGAGTAAACAGCTTCTACACAGCTGCCTCTCGCCAACTTGACAAGCTGCAGGAGCTGCTCCTGATTGGAGGAGAGCAGCGTACTCAGCGTCTGGGTAGCAGAGTTGGGATTGGTGGAAGAGGACTATAAAGGAGGAGAGAGACAACATGCACCAGGAACATCTATCTGAAGGAACACCTGTGCAGCCCCCGAGAGAGCCGGCCGGCGGTGTGCTGCTCCCCCGCGGAAGCGGGGAAAGTGGCAGGGGGGCCCGCCCCTCCACGGAGGTGGAGGGGCGGCAGCCAACCCGGGAAGGACCAGCAGCAAACCCGGGAAGGGCAGACAAAAGAACAGCGCAGGGTCCTGTGTTGTTCCTCCGCGAAGAGGGGGAGCGACAACCTGTAGAGGCGAGTGCTTGAGGGACAACACTGTGATTCAGCCAGTGAGACATGGGAACTCCACAGGGCAGAGAGGCCTGGGATGGCAGCATAGAGAGACGCACCGGCAACCATGCCCGCAGCCCACAGCCAGGGTGAATCCCCAGTGCAGGGGAAAAGTAAACAGGAAAGCCCCAGCAGACCCCATCTCCAGGGACACTGGCCATCGGCAATCTTAGCTACAGGAAGGATCCACAGTTGCCCACGGGTGTGGAGTCCAGCAAGGGGAGCTGCCTGGAGCACAGGGTAGCCGTGCTTCTGAGAAGGAACTCCCAAAACACTGGCTATGGCAGTGTGACTCTGGAGACAGGAGTCACTGTCAGAATCCACACTGCCCTAGGGGACAGAAACCCCTGCATATCTTGCCCTCTGGGGCTCCACAGATACTCCAGCACACAAGCAAAACAGACTGCAGCCAACTAGACCTAGCAACATTGTCTCCGTGCCAGAGGTGTCCTGCCACACACCCGACAGAGTGGGTCCTGCTCCCAGACTGCAGGAGCAGGGCTGCTTGCCTCCGAAGACTTAGGGCTGTCCCTTCACACTCCATCCTTTCCCACCATGGCAGTGCACACCTGCCCTGGACTTAGCCCTAACCCCATGACAGCTCCCTTCTCAGGTCCACCCTGGTGTTGGTGGGAGAGGAAAGCCACGCTCACCCACCCTGGACTCGGGCCCAGCTGCCGCCGCCAGACGTGTATACCCCTTCTGAGTCTGACAGCAGTGATCCTTCACTCAACCCTCGCCACTGTCACCATCAACTGCAGTGCAACAAGAGAGGAAGGCTGCACATCAGCATCAAACTAGAGCTGAAGCCCACGCAGCCCACCAAAGCAACACTCAGACACGTTCTTCAGGAAGAGGCCTTCGATCCATGAAAACCGCCCTGTAGAAGTGAGACTCCTGATCCACCCGACGTCCAATTATCAACATAGGGACATAAGAAGTATGAAAGGGCAAGGCAGCATGACACCCCAAAAGGAATCAAACAATGCTTTAACATCAGACTCCACAGAAAGGGAGACGATGCCTGATAAACTATTCAAAGAATGAGTATAAGGACACTCAACATGACACAAGAGTACAAACTAAATTAGGAAATCAATGCATGAGTAGAATGAGAAATTTTGAAAAAGAACCAAACAAAAAAGTCACAGAAATGAAAAACGCAATTAAGTCAAATCAAAAAAACACAGCTTAAAACCTCAACAGACTAGATCAAACTGAGGAAAGAACACCTGAACTAGAACGTGAGTCTTTTAAAATGTTGCAGTAAGACCAAACAATATAAAAAAAATGAAAGTACTAGAAAAAAAAGAGGGGACACACTTTAAGAGATTGCATATGCAATGATTTTTCTGGGTACAACTCCAAAAGCCAAACATAAACTAGACAAACATGACTATATCAAACTAAGAAGCTTCTGTACAGAAAATATCAGACAATAGACAGAATGGGACAAAATATTTGAAACTATGCATCTGACTCAGGATTAATATCCAGAATACATAAGGAACTAAAAAACCCAACAGCCAAAACCCCACACTATCTATAAAGAAATGGGCAAAGGATCTGAATACACATTTCTCAAAAATGAAATACAACTGGCCAGTGAATATAAGAAATGCCAATATTATTAGACATCAGGGAAATGCAAACGAAAAACAGTGAGAAATCATCTCATACCAGCTAGAAGGGTTATTATAAAAAAGACAAATATTGCATGTTCTCTCTCATATGTGGATGTTTAAAAAGAAATTGATCTGAACCTTGAGCAGTGATTCCCAGAGGCTGAGAAGAGGACAAAGAGAGAAGACATAGGGCTGTTGGCTAACAGGTACCAAATACAGTTAGACAGAAGTAACGATTGTCAGTGCTCACAGTACGGGGGTGACTATGGTTCATAACACTATAACACACACTGTATAGAGAGGGAGCTGGTAGGCTGATAGGCTCCGGAAATGAAGGAGAGTTGCCTGATGTGATCGGCTTCTGCTGTATTGCACTGAAATATTGCCCTTTACCCCATAAAAATGCACTCACATTATATGGTAATGAGAAAATTTTTTAAATAATTAGGAAAAAATACGTGTCACTAAGTTCAAATGCTGATATTTAACTACCCAGCTGGACAATGTACATGTACTATAATCTGCCAGAGTTACTCTACCCTGATCTGACCATTCCATACTGAATACATATATATATTATATCATAATGTATTCCAGAAATAGGTACAATTAACACATATCACCACATATCCATTAAAAATAAATATATATAAGAGTGAGATTAATTTGAGTGTGCACAAGTGAGTAAATGATTTCTAAATTCATTAGAGACTAAAATATGTAAGACTGGCATTTTAAAATCAGACCAAACTTAGAGAATTTATGTTCACACCCTACACATCCTGCTTGGTCCCACTCTCTCCCTCCCCAATGTTAACTTTTCTGTTCCTCTGCTCTACCTGCCAGGTAAGTTACTATGGCAGACATGTGCCAATCTGGTGGCCAGTCTTTGTAGATAAACTTAACTGTGTGTAGTGTCTTTATATTCCAGCCCAGCACAGCGCTAAGGATGCAACCAACATACACTGGAAATCTTACAAAACTGAATGAGACGCACAGGGAGAAAGCAAAAACAATGAGGACGGAAAACATCTATATTCTCTAGGAAAATCATCCAGCAGAAGGACAGAAAATTCACCTAAAGGAAACAGCACGAGTATACTTACAACACTTGTGGGTCACTCCATTTTGTCAGACAGAGCTCTTCCAGCAGCTCCTCCTCATCCAGGATCTCCAAAATCGACTCTTTGAAAATTTTAATGTCTGTTTCTAACTCTGATAGGCTGTAAGAAGCATTATGCAGAAATGATCAATAGTATAAACTTGTAAAAACATTTCACTGTTAGTATAGTGACTGTTTGGGGATCTTACTAAGCAGATCCACTTATACATATACTCATGGCAAACACTACTTTGTAAAAATTTTTTATATTAATCATGCAAATTAGGAATGAATTCCCAAACCAGAACTAATTGGTAAGATTAATCAGTATAAATTTCAGCATTCATTTTAATCAATAAGGTAGTGATAAGATAAAAAGCTACTGATTCAAGAATTTTAACTTTTAATTCTAGAAGGGATTTTAGGAGGTATAAATCCTGAATGCACGTTTATTCAACTGATGATATAAATTAAAACTCTGCTTTTAAATTCTGGCATGCATTATGATTTAAGAAAACAGAACTTGGGCCATGGTGGGAGAGAGAACTGGATTGAATTTGCAGGAGCCATTCACACTGTAGTTTAGACAAGTGACTTAAACCTCAGCTCTCTCACCTTCAAAATGGGGACAACACCAGCTACTGAGCAGGGTTGCTGATAGGATGAGATGAGATTACACATGGAAGAGCCTTAAATGGCATTTCATGCAAAATCTTTCCAATAAACACTAGACTATGTGCGCCTTTTAGCTCAACTTCCCAATCATGCTACTTTTTCACTTTAAAAAAAAAAAAGCAAAGATTTATTTATTTGAGAGGCACAAATAGATCAATTAGAGGCAGAGACAGAGAAAGAGGTCTTCCATTTGCTGGTTCACTCTCCAAAGGGCCACATGATGGCCAGGGCTGAGCTGATCCAAGAGGTGGGAGCTTCTTCCCGCAGGGACACAAGCACCTGGGGCCATCTTCCAGCTGCATTGGAAGTGGAGCAGGTGGGACTTGAACCAGCGCCATATGGGATGCCAGTGCTGCAGGTGGAGGATTAACCAACTACGCCACAGCACCAGTCCCCTACTTTTCCACTTTAGTGAATTGGGGCCAGTGTTGTGACAGAGCAGGTTAAACCTAAGCTTCTGACACTGGCATTTCATACTGGGGTACAGGTTCAAGTCTCGGCTGTTCCACTTCATATCCCTCTCCCTGCTGATGCACCTGGAAAAGCAGAGGAAGACACTCCAAGTACTAGAGACCCTACCACCCATGTGGGAGACTTGGATGGGGTTCCTGGCTCTTGGTTTCAGCCTGGCCCGATCCTGGCAACCAACAAATGGACTATCGTCTTCTCTGTGTCCCCTTCACTCCTCCTGTCACTCTTTCAAATAAATCACACACACACACAAACAAGAGAGTGAGTGAAAAGAGTGGTGACAGAGAGTGATCTTCCTAATTGTCTGCAATAACCAGAGGTGGGCCAAGCCGAAGCCAGGAGTTTCATCCAGGTCTTCCATAGGGATGCAGGGGCCCAAACGCTTAGGCCATCTTGTGCTGCTTTCCCAGGCACATTAGCAAAGAGTTGGATTGGAAGTGGAGCAGCTGGGACTTGAACTGGCACCCATACAGAATGCCAGTGCTGTGGGTAGCAGCTTTACACACTATGCCATTGTGCTAGCCCAAATAAATACATACATACATACCAAGTATGACAATAAGGACATTGTGACTAAAGCATAAAATAAAACATCACCATTAGCAACACTTTTTTGTTTTAAAGATTTATTTGAAAGGCAGAGTGACAGAGAGGGAGAGATTTTGTTTTTCTAATCTATATCTGTATCTTTCATTCACTAGTTCACTCCCCAACTGGTTACAACAGCGAAGTATGGGCCAGGCCAAAGCCAGGAATTTTTTTTTTTTTTTTCCTTTAAAGATTTATTTATTTGAAAGAGTTAACAGAGAAAGGCTGAGCCAGAGAGAGAGGCCTCCATCCGCTGGTTCATGCCCCAGATGACCACAACGGCCAGAGCTTAGCTGATCCAAAGCCACGAGCCCCCCACGCAGATGCAGGGCCCCAAGGATTTGGGCCACCTTCCACTGCTTTCCCAGGCCATTGCAGAGAGTTGGATTGGAAGTGGAGCAGCCGGGACCCGAACCAGTGCCAGCACTGTAGGCTGGGGCTTTAACCCACTGTGCCACAGCACCGGCCCCAAAGCCAAGAATTCTATTCTGATCTCCTACATGGGTGGCAGTGGCCCAAGCACTTGGGGTCATCTTCCATTGCCTTTATTAGCAGAGAGCTGCATTAGTAACACAGCAGCCAGGACTTGAACTAGCACTCTGATATGGGATGCCAGTGCTGGAAGTGGTGTCTTTACCAGTTGCACCACAATGCCAGTCTCCGTTATTTCTTTAAAATAAGGAACTTTACTATTTATTCCCAATTTAATTTCATTATTTATTATTTCCATTTATTTGAAAAATAGAGATCTTCCATCTACTGGTTTACTCCCCAAATGCCTACCAACAGCTAGGTTTGAGCCATGCCAAACCCAGGAGCTCAATCTGGGTCTTCCAGGTAGGGGGCAAGGACTCAATCACTCGAGCCATTACCTGCTACCTCCCAGAGTGTACATCAGTAGGAAGCTGGAACTGGAACAGTCAGGACTTCAACCTAGTTACTCTGATCTGGGAAACAGATCAAGCTGAGCCAAATGCCCCTTCTCACCCTCCCAGCTGGTATTTTAGAACAGGCAATAACGACACTAATTTTTACCTAAATTTATGCTAAACATTTCACTGTTAAGATTACGGATGGGGCTGGTGCTGCAGTGTAGCAGATGAAGCTGCAGCATGCGATGCCAGCATCCCACATGAGCGCCAGCTGCTCTGCTTCCTCCCCAGCTCCCTGCTAATGGCACGGGAAAGGCAGTGGAAGATGGTCCAGGTGTATGGGCCCCTGCCACCCACATGGGAGACCTGGTTGAGGCTCCTGGCTTTGGCCTGGCCCAGCCCTCGCTATTGCAGCCATCTGCAGAGTATAGTAAACCAGTGGTTGGAGTATCTCTCTCTGTGTCTCTCCCTCTTCCTCTCTTCCTGTAGCTCTGAATTACAAGTTAATAGATGGATATTTATTTATTTATTTTAAAAAGAAAGACTATTGAGAGAGAAATTTTAAGACATCTGCCTGTAACTCCCACCTTAGTAAGTAAATCATACTTACCTTTTGCCATTTTGCAGTAAGACGTGCAGTTTGCTTCTGTCTATAGAAGAGTGTTTGGGATCCACTAGAGCTTCCAGTGTCTCAAGGATCAGCGGCTGCAAAACGCTGAGTTTCCCCTGCAGAGTGTTGATCTGGATAACAACACGACCTTTCATGAGGATTAGAACACTCAGGGACAGCGAATTCTGATGAAATACAGAAACCTGTACCGGCCAGAGACGGCGGCAGCACTTGAGCACGCGTCAGTGCTGGAAGGCCTGTTCCAGATGCCTCAAGAGCTGGATCTCCTGAGTTAGAGCAGAGCATGAAGGCATCACTGTGCTCAGATCTGGTTGTCAGGGAATCACCCTCAGACACCCTCAATCCTCCTAAGACAGCGGTTATGAAAGGAATTGGGGTTGGGTCTATTAAATAAAACCTGCCATTCTACAGTTAAAACAGAAACTTTGTACTTTGTAAACAATACCTATATTTTTTGTAAACAGAATATGGTGCAAAATACCTATCAACAAATCTCTTTTGAAAATCACAAGTGTGGGCCAGCACTGTGGCAGAGTAGGTTAAGTCTCCACCTGTGACCCTGGAATCCCCCATGGGCACCAGTTCAAGTCCTGGCTGCTCCACTTCCAATCCAGCTGCCTGCTAATGGCCTGGGAAAGCCGTAGAAGATGCCCCAAGTGCATGGGCCCCTGCACCCTTGTGGGAGACCTGGAAAAACTCCTGGCTTCAGATCTGCCCAGCTCCAGCAGTTACAGCTATTTGGGGTATGAATCAGTAGATGGAAGATCACTTTAATTCAGACTCTCAAATAAAGAAAGTCTTTAAAAACACTCTTTCTTATTTAAGTTAACACAGACATGGTTAGCATTCAGCTGAAATGCACTGATACAGCTATAATAGTTGATAAAATACTGAAATACTTCCATACCAGTTGGCAAACAGCATATTATGGGAATTAAATAGTAAAATTACTGACAAATTCTGTCACATAGTGGTTTTTGATTTTTAAATTTATTTATTGTGAGGGAAAGCCAGAGAGAGACACCTCCCAGCTACTGGTTCACTCCCCAAATGGCACAACATCCTGGTCTGGACCAGGCCGAAACCAGGAGCTGAGAACTCCATCCTGGTCTTCCATGAGGTGGGAGGGGCCCAATTACTTAAGCCATCTCCCACTGCCTTCCCAAGAGCATTAGCAGGGAGCTAGATTAGAAATGGAGCAGCCAGGACTCAAATTGGAGCTCATATGGGATGCTGGCATTGCAAGCAGCAGCTTAACCTGCTGAGCCACACACAACACCAGCCCCTCATAGTGCCTCATTCAGAAGCACATTACTGTGAGGCTAAGGGGCTTTGCTCTGGAAAGCGGAGTCTAGAGTCAGGGTGCCTGCGCAGATGTCTGACTTCCTGTACTGAGTGGCTTCCTGGTCAGGAGACCTTGAATGTGAGGCAGATATAATTCGTTAGTATCCAAAAGAGACACTGACCTTCTGCCACGCAGGCATGGACTCAGGCAGTGGCTGGGATGCTACGGAGGATCGCTGACAGCGTGCCTGTGAGGTCCCTCAGGTGCATCTGGGGAGTTTCCTCTGAAAACCTACCCCTCCCGAGGGTTGGCTGGCCTTCGTTAATGTGTAAAAACCTTCCCAGGACCCCGCTTAATGGCAGAAATGTGTTACTCCCACTGACAGCCTGACCTCCCTCTAAATCTTCCCCTAACCAGTCTCCAAAAAGGAGCCCCAGGTCAGCCCGCCCCTTTCCCTCCCACCTCCACCTACTCCCTGAGAACGCACTCAGTTCTGCCGCGGCAGCGTGAATTCCTGAGAGCTTACCCAGCCCGTGCAGCCTGCCATTGCCCACGGCTGGCACCTGAGGAGGGAGCCTAGCCACCTATTCCCTCAGCAGAGCCAGGCAGCCAAGAGAGGAGGGCACCAGGCTCACCTCACATCCCCTTTACCCTCAGCTCCCTCCACCCCTTGGTTAGGCTGCTGCTTGAACCAGCTCCTGCATGCAGCCAGCTCCCCAATACACTACTCTAACAGGGGACAGAAAAGGTAAGGAAGTGTTTTCGGGGGCCAGGAAAGCAGTGAACCTCCCTGTTCAGGGCCCGACAGGATCCCCTGACAGCCAATGACCATGAATTTAACATGGCAACCATTAGATGAATTCTGTATGGTCTCTATCAATCTAAGTCTCAGAGAACTAATTTAGCTTCCTTGAAGATCTGTACAAAGAATGGGCTGATGATTTAATATATTTATCATGTGTAAGTATTGCTATAATATAAATTTAGAAAATAAAATGGAATGCTTTAAAAATGTATGTTTATTTCTATATTTAGGATATTAAGTACTTACAGTCACCATCCCTCAATAAAGGTGGCCAGCTTGAAATGTGCTTCACTCAATGTTCTACTCAGTATTATACCCAGGATCTTTAGTTCTACATGCTCGGGTCAGAACGTTTAAGAATCAAGTCCTTTCTTCTTACAAGACCTTTAGAGAGATTTTTGACGGGAGGATGTGGCTAGGGAAAGCACCCCTGGAGCAGTACTAATGTGTCTCAATTACATTTCAAAAGCAGAATATGCCAGCAGCTAAATAAAGAGAGGCTTGTTGCAGGGGCGTAGCCTAGTAGTTAGGAAACCTGCATCCCACACTGGCGTGCCCCATTGTAGCTTCTGGTGAATGCAGAACCCTGTGTGGCAGCAATGACACCTCAAGTAACAGTTTCTACCACACACGGGAGATTTGGGCTCAGTTCCTGGCTCCTGGCTGTGGCCTGGTCCCATTCCAGCTCTTGGGGGATTTGGGAAGGCTCTCAAATAAATAAATACAAATACTTTTTCTTAAAGAGGCTTACCCAGTATTGCAAAAGTGCTTCTATAGCTCTGAACTCAAAGGGTAATGGGTATGTGACAAGTTGACCGTCTCCAGCCAGCTGCGAAGGAAGTTCCCGGAACAGCCACTGCTCTAAATTGAAGTTACGATAATCCAGTATCAGAAGACACTCTGGAGTTATGACAGCTTTCACATACTGTAAAAAAACAAAAACAAAACTACGTATTTAAAGACACAAACATGCATATACACACATTAGCTAGCTGCAGAGCTATAAGAAGAAATCATAGTAGAGTTTAACATTTTATTAATTTTGGATTAAAACTAAATCAAATCAGTGTTTGTTTAATTATTTGAAAGGCAGAGTTAGAGAGGAGAGACAGAGAGAGATCAATCTTCCATCTGCTGGCTTACTTTCCAAATGGCTGCAATGGCCAGGGCAGGGCCAGGAGCTTCTTCCAGGTCTTCCACAAGGGTGTATGGGCCTAAGGATTTGGACTATCTTCTACTGTTTTCCCACGCACATTATCAGGGAGCTGAATCAGAAGTGCATCAGGCCGGCGCCGCGGCTCACTAAGCTAATCCTCCACCCAGCGGCACCGGCACACAGGGTTCTAGTCCCAGTCAGGGCGCTGGATTCTGTCCCGGTTGCCCCTCTTCCAGGCCAGCTCTCTGCTGTGGCCCGGGAGTACAGTGGAGGATGGCCCAAGTGCTTGGGCCCTGCACCCCATGGGAGACCAGGAGAAGCACCTGGCTCCTGCCTTCGGATCAGCGCGGTACACCGGCCACAGCGCACCAGCCGTGGCAGCCATTGGAGGGTGAACCAATGGCAAAAGGAAGACCTTTCTCTCTGTCTCTCACTATCCACTCTGCCTGTCAAAAAAAAAAAAAAAAAAAAGAAGTGCATCAGCTGGGTCTTGAACTGGTGCCCATAGAGGATTCTGACATAGCAGGCAGAAGCTTAACCTGCTCCGCCACAATGCCAACCTCTATGTGTTCATTTTTTTAAAGGCATTTTTTAAAAGAAATAAAAGCTAAAATATATGTTAGTGTAACTCATTCTCAGTAGAACTGAGATTACTAGTTATATATTAAAGATTTCACTGCAATCACAAGAAAAACAGAGAACAGAAAGAACAAGGTAAGGTCCTTCTGAGAAGTTAGAAGATGGCCCAAGTACATGCCACTTGCCACCCACGTGGGAGACCAGGACACGCCACCTGCCACCCACATGGGAGACCAGGATAAAGTGCCTGGCTTTGGCCTGGTCCAGACCAGGCTGTTCTGGCCATTTGGGGGATAAAGTAGCAGATGGAAGCTCCTTCCTCTGTCTCTTTCTGTTGCTCTGCCTTTCAAATAAACAAATAGTTTTTTTTTTTTTTTGGGACAGGCAGAGTTAGACAGTGAGAGAGAGAGAGAGAGAGAGAGACAGGTCTTTTTTTTTGTCGTTGGTTTACCCTTCAATGGCCGCAGTGGCTGGCGCGCTGCGGCCGGCGCATCGCACTGATCCGAAGGCAGGAGCCAGGTGCTTCTCCTGGTCTCCCATGCGGGTGCAGGGCCCAAGCACTTGGGCCATCCTCCACTGCACTCCAGGGCCACAGCAGAGAGCTGGACTGGAAGAGGGGCAACCGGGACAGAATCCGGCGCCCTGACCGGGACTAGAACCTGGGGTGCCGGCGCCGCAAGGCGGAGGATTAGCCTAGTGAGCCGCGGCGCCAGCCCACAAATAGATCTTTTAAAAGGTAGAAGACAGACCTTTATTTTTAAAGGTTTACTTAGTTTACTTATTTGAAAGTCAGATCTACAGTGAGAGGAGAGACAAAGAGAAAGATCTTCCATCCACTGGTTCAATCATTAAATGGTTATGGCAGCCAAGGCTGGGTCAGGCTGGAGCCGAGAGCCAGGAACTTCAATGGAGTCTCCCATGGGGGTGGCACGGGCCCAAATACTTGGGCCATCACCTGCTGCTTTCTCAGGTGCTTTGGCAGGAAGCTGGATCAGAAGCAGAGTAGCTGGGACTAGTACTCTGATATGGGATGCCAGCACTGCAAGCAGTGGCTTAACCTGCTGTGCCACAATGCCAGCCCCATAGACAGGCCTTTAGATAAGATTTAGTTTAAGATTAATCCTTATTAGTTTGGCTCAAATAGGAAAGTTTCCTTTTATTAAAATAACTTGAAATTGTAAAGATAATACTAATGCTCTAGTTGATACCAGTAAGAATTATAAATATCCAAAAAGACTGCTGGGGCCAGTGCTGTGGCTCAGCAGCTTAAGCCACAACCCGCAGTACCAGCATCCCATATGGGTGCTGGTTTGACTCCTGGCTGCTTCACTTCTGATCCAGCTCCCTGCTAGTGCATCTAAGAAAGCAGCAAAAGATGGCTCAAATGCTTGGGCTCTTGCACCCATATGGGAAACCAAAAAGAAGATCCTAGCTTCAGCTTGACGCAGCCCTGGCAGTTGTGGCTATTTGAGGAGTGAACTAAAGGATGGAAGATCTTCCTCCCTCTTTCTAACTCTACCTTTTAAATAAATAAATAAATCTTGGGGCCGGCGCCATGGCTCACTAGTTAATCCTCCACCTGCAGTGCCAGCATCCCATATGGGTGCTGGGTTCTAGTCCCAGTTGCTCCTCTTCCAGTCCAGCTCTCTGCTGTGGCCTGGGATAGCAGTGGAGGATGGCCCAAGTGTTTGGGCCCCTGTACCCACATGGGAGACCAGGAAGAGACTCTTGGCTTTGGATCGGTGCAGCGCTGGCCGTAGCGGCCATTTGGAGAGTCAATCAATGGAAGGAAGACCTTTCTGTCTCCCTCTCTGTAAACTCTACCTGTCAAATAAATAAAAAATAAATAAAATAAATCTTAAAAAAAAAAAAAAGGAGAGACTGCCATCTTTCATGGTAAAGAATAGATAAAGGGGACAGCAGGTTAAGCCACTGCTTGCAACATCCTATGTCAAAGTCCAGTTTGAGTCCACTTCTAATCCAGCGTCCTGCTAACGTACTGGGGAAGGCAGCTGAGGATGGTTTAAGTCTTTGGGCCCCTGCCACCCACACAGGAGACCTGACTGGAGTTGTTGACTTGGCTCTGGCCAGGCCTGGCCCTGGCTGTTGTAGGCATTTGGGGAGCGAATCAGAGGATGGAAAAGCTCTATGTCTCGCCCTTTTTCTTTCTCTCCTTGTTGCTGTCTTTCAAATAAATAAATACATTAAAAAAAAAAAAGATTTATTTTATTTGAAAGGCAGAGTTACCGAGAGGCAAAGGCAGAGAGAAGTCTTCCACCCACTGGTTCACTCCCCAGATGGCTGCAATGGCTGGAGCATCGTCAATCCGAAGCCAGGAGCTTCTTCCAGGTCTCCCACGTGGATGCAGAGGCCCAAGGACTTGGCCCATCTTCTACTGCTTTCCCAGGCCATAGCAGAGAGCTGGATTGGAAATGGAGCAGCCAGGACTCAACTGGCACCCAAATGGGATGTCACCACTGCAGGTGGTGGCTTTACCTGCTAGGCCACAGTGCCGAGCCCAATAAATACCTCTTAAAAACACACAAAAAGTAAAAGTAGCTTACAACCACTGTATTCGAGACACAGAAGTTAGAGAGGATTTTTTTTACATTTTTCCTTACGGTTTGTGAAAATTTCCACACAAAGTTGAAAGATTTTATAGTATCATACACCTGCTATTTAATTATTACAATTAGCATTCTACTAAATTTGTTTCATCAAATACCTGTTTATCTCTCCACTGAAGAGGAATTATTTTGAAGGATGCTAGCTACTAAAAACAGCAAAACACTTGGGAAAAGACTGCTTCTATTTTAATTATTTTGACTAATTATGGATAAACAGACAAAAGTTTGTCATGAAAGACTTTTTAAGAAAAGCAAGGGGCCAGCGTTGTGGTATAGCAGGTACATCTGCCATCTACAACACTGGCATCCCATATGGGCACCAATTTGAGACCTGGTTGTTCCACTTCTTATCTAACTCCCTACTAATGCTCCCGGGAAAGCAGCGGACTATGGCCCAAGTGCTTGCGTCCCTGCACCCACATGGGAGACCCAGAAGAAGCTCTAGACTCCCAGCTTCAGCCTGGCCCAGCCCTGGCTGTTGCAGCCATTTGGGGAGTGAACCAGCAGATGGAAGATCTCTAACTCTGTTTCAGATAAATAATAAAGTAAATCTTTGAAAAAGGAAATTCAAGTCCACACCCACCACAAGGCCAATAGCATTGAGACTGGTGTCTCCTTATCTATTTCTCAACCCACCAAAATAACAGATGTTTGCATTAACTCTGAATCATGAGGCAAAGTTGATATCTGAGGGTACTTCAAAGAGTTTGCAGAAAATGGAATAAAAAGTTTATTTCGGTGCAAAAAAATCTTTTAAATTACACATATACAGCTCTGAGTCAGCAGGGAAAAAGAAAATATAAAAATCAAGATTTAAATTAATGGTTATGAAATTTGATGGTTATTTGGAAAGCATTCTTGACTATTTGGAAAACGTTCATTACATATAACTGTATTCCATTGAAAATACACCTAATGTAAATCAGTATTCTCTTATAATTTCAGACACTAGAGACTAAATTCAAAGAGAATGAAGACCACAGTCAGAGCTTTTCCAACATAAAACAAAGCAGTGTTATGCCTGTTAAGCACATGTATGTAACCCATTTAAAATGAGTTCTACTTATACCAAATGGTAAAATATTCTGTGTTCCACAAAGGTATTTTTTTTTATCCTCAAAGTACTTTCAATGAAGAAATTGATCACGATAGCTAAGAAGTAACTTCTGTAAGTGGAAAACTATGGATAAACACGACACCATTACCTCCATCCTCATAATAATCCTATTGTTTCTGGTTGTGATGCTCATGACGTGCTGGAATCTCAGATCTCTGGCTTGAAGACCCAACTCTTGGTATAATTCAGTTTTCTTCCTTTCTATAAAAGAAAAAGAGTAGGCAAAACTAACAAATTAAAAGGTTTAGATCTTTATGTAGTTTCCCACCACCATCAAGACGATTTTCTATTACCAACAGAAACAAAAGCTGTAGAGTCACTTTTACCTAAAAAAAAAGTTCAGGCTAACTCTAGTTATTCCTTCCCCCTCTTCTGCACAGATCATAAAATTTCTCTGTACCCACAAGGCCCCTGGGGGATCAGGACAACCTACAAGAGCCATTTCTAGCTCTTCAGACAGGTCGCCTTTCTTGAATATGAACTGTATACAAATACATTTTTAACTTTTTCTCACAATATTATCTTCAAGACCATAAATATGTGAACAGGTGAGTTCAAATTTCCTTGTTCCTGGACTATGTAAAATGACAACATTAGATCAGTTCTCACTCCAGATTTTCCCACCTGAAAATTAACAGAACATGTAACAGATGAGAGAAAATGAAGACATTAAACTGATGATTGTTTCTGTAAGTACTGTCGAGCCGCGCCAGTGACAGGGCTGCAACAGAACAACCTGAAGAGTGAAAACCACAGGAAATACTCTACAGAGACCTTGGCATCGGCAGGAACGGGAACACAGGGCTGGAAAGTGAGGGAGGCCTGAGACTGGAATAATCTGAAGCCACACAGTAAAGTGACGCTGCATAGCTGTCCACAGACAGCACTCAGTGGCGGAGCCCATGTGACTGCCATGCAGTCCTGGGTCCCTCCCCATCTTTCGTCACTCACATCAATGGCAGTGGCAGCAGGGGACTCTGTCTTAAACAGGCTTCAGGGGAATGAACCTGGGGAGGAGGGCAGGGAATGGGAGACACACAGAAGAGAAACCAAAGGGGGAAAGGACGTGTTCCTGGGCTCCAGTCCCACACGCCACACTGTCTTCAATATCCTCTTAGAGCAAAAGGGGCTTCTGCCAGTCTGAGTGCTGCCAGTTCCAATCAGGCTGATGGGCACTCTGGGAAGAAGGATCTTCAACACACTTGCACAAAGACTTTTCTATCAAAATGCTACAATTTCCTGATTTCCATCAGGTTCACTCATTCACTGGTTAAAAAAGTAATTCAGAAGGAAAAAAAAATATACTTACCAAAAGAAGTAACATTACCCTCTTTGTCAAATTTTGTCTGTAGATAGAAACAAAATATTATTTTATCTCAAATTAGTATACCATAAGTATGTGGTATTATGACCAACAGCTCCAAAATTTTGAAACACAGAAATAAACCGTAACTTTCTTTAGGTCAAACTTAAGGGTTATATAAATCCTTTTATTCTTTGCGAGGACAAATCTGACCTGCATTAACTTTTTCTGTTCTGGTTTGTCTAGAAATCTGATGGAGCACCAGGTGTCCTACTAGGTAACACTGCTTACAGTAAAAGTGACCACTCACTGGTGGACTGCACTAGACAGAGTATGAATGAGATACAGGCTCCAGGCGGGAAGCTACAGCTCTGCCCTCTCCTGAGAGCAGCTGCCATGTACCTCACGAGACCAAGGAAGCTGTGCCTCTGAGACAGACTGAAGAGACACTGACACTATACGGCAAGGGCTTCTAAGCCCAGGTGGATCTCACACCCATCCTGGGGGATCTGAGCTGTCACTCAGAGGACACAGAAGCCATCAAGAGTATATACCTGGGGCCGGTGCTGTGCCGCAGCGGGTTAATGCCCCAGCCAGAAGCGCCGGCATCCCATATGGGAGACCGGTTCTAGTCCCAGCTGCTCCTCTTCCAGATCCAGCTGTCTGCTGTGGTCTGGGACAGCAGCAGCAGATGGCTCAAGTCCTTGGGCCCCTGCGCCTACATGGGAGACCCATAAGAAGCTCCTGGCTTCGGACCAGCGCAGCTCCAGCCATAGCGGCCATCTGGGGAGTGACCCAGCAGATGGAAGATCTCTCTCTCTCTGTCTCTACCTCTCTCTGTAGCTCTTTCAAATGAATAAAATAAGTCTTAAAAAAAAGAAAAAAAAGAGTATATACCTATGCTGTACTGCTTATACTCCCTGTCCTTTAAACTTTTGAGTAGACTGGGACAAACAGTGGCCAGTCTTACAAATCTAAATGTCTACCTGAGGCTAAGATGTCACTCTGGTGGGCACTACAGAATCAATAAAGATTTATAGAAAAGGTCTCTGATAGCTGGGAGATGCAGAAAACGCACCTATTTTCTGGGGGGGGGGGGGGGGTTCTGAAAGGTTATCCAAGTTGCCAATTATTTACTGAACTTATGTGCTGGGGTGTGCTAATTACTACTAAATATGCATTTTCTTCATTAAGACCTATAGGTGTAGTACAATACAGGTCATCTGTTATTACCATGGAAACAAACATACACTACATCAATAACACAGTGAAAACCTACAACACAAATTTTAGCTTGCCTTTCATTAGCAAAGTTAAGATCAACATGAACACGTAATTACAAAACATGAATGTTAAAGGGAATTTACATTGAAATTTTATTTGCATAACACAGATGAGCTTTTTAAATTTATTTCACAAATGCTTATATCCATGCAGAAAATTGGGAAGATACGTAAAATAAAATATTTTAATCATATGAAATGAGAAATTTTAGAGAAAACCAAATACTAAATTTTTTTTTAAAGATTTACTTATTCGAAAGTCAGAGTTTCATAGAGAGGAGAGAAGGAGAGAGAGAGACAGTCTTTCATCTGTTGGTTCACTCCCCAGATGGCGGAAACAGCTGGAGCTGAGCCAATCTGAAGCCAGGAGCCAGGAGCTTCTTTCTGGTCTCCCAAGCAGGTGCAGGGCCCAAGGACTTGGGCCATTTTCTACAGCTTTCCCAGGCCATAGCAGAGAGCTGGAATGGAAGTGAAGCAGCCAGGTCTCGAACTGGCACCCATATGGGATGCCGTCGTTTCAGGCCAGGGCGTTAACCCACAGCGCCACAAGGCCGGCCCCTAAATATCTTTAAGATGTTTTCCTAAGCTGCAGGGCCGTGGCACAGTGAGTTAATCCTAGCCTGCGGCACCAGTTCTACTCCCGGCTCTGTTACGCCCTAGGAAAGCAGTGGAAAATGGCTCACATCCTTGGGTCCCTGCACCTGCATGGGAGACCCGGAAGAAGCATCTGGCTCCTGGCTTCATATTGGCACAGCTCCAGCTATTGTAGCCATGTAGGGAGTGAATCAACAGAAGGAAGACCTTTCTCTGTCTCTCCATCTGTCTGTAACTCTACCTCTCAAATAAATAAGCAAAATCTTTATTAAAAAAAAAAGATGTTTTCCTATAAAACATGATATACATACTTCTTTGCTGTCTCTCAAGTTACTAACTATACATATTAAAAAATATCTGCGTCTCAGTATTTTATGGAATTTTTTTGATATTTTAAAAAAGATCATACAAGTTATGGCTTTTTAAATTGTTTACTTTGTAATGGGCTCAGTTTCCAAACAGCACCAGCTGATTCTCCTAAGTGTTTTTGGTAAACAATAATCTCATCTGAAATATTTTGTTCAACTAAACTGCTAACTCTTCCAAGAAGTGAATAAAAGCCATACTTTTTACATGTAATTCTGGTGGTTGCTTTGTATAATTTACAAAGAAAATTTCTCATGTTCACAAGCTTAAATAATTAAGACGACTACAAATACTGGATGTTTAAAGTATGCATGGTACTATTAAGGATTTTACAAGTATAAATTACTTTCATCCTCACAATAATTCTATCAGACAGGCTCTTCCTAATCTATATATAAGAAAACCAATGCATGAGGATGTTATCATAACTTGCCCAAGTTCACCTAATTAATATAAGACAGAACTGAGATTGTATGGCTCAGAGCAACCACAATTAAATGCCCACAAAATAAGTTGCAAGAAAAGTACAATCAACTGCTATATAACCTCCACCTGGAAGCATCTTGCCCAGAAAGTGCCTTCTCTCTCCCTTTAGGGGTTAAAAAAAAAAAAGAGAGAGAGAGACACACACACACATACATGTGTGAAATTCACATTGTTTTATTCAGGCTTTTTTTTTTTCCTGAACCATTTAGAGAAAGTTCTAGAGCTCACGACCTTCAAGCACACCGTGCTGCCTTCAAGAGGCTTAACTTCCTGCAGAGTGCAGGTTCAAGCCCCTGTGTGGGTAAAGGCTCGAAGGCGTCTACACAGACTCCCGGGAAAAGCTTGAGTGATCAAGTAGGCAGCTGAGGGCGACTGCAAGGACCTGGGCTAGAATTTCCAACGCTCCACGGTCCGCACTGCTGAGGCCCGTCTGGCAGGCGCTCGGGTCACTGGCAAAGCACCACGCACAACGCGACCGGTCATGATTCACTACCCAGCAAAAAGCCGGTATCTCGGCCAACAGAGCGACCTGGGGAACGTGTGCAAAATATTTTCTGCAAATTCCGAAACGCACTCACCACAGTGAACACCGGGGACACGCTGGCTAAGGTGGCTTGAGAGGCATCGGAGGTTCTAAATCGATGTATTTCACCTGCAGGGCCAAAAGCAGCATTTTAATATCTACAGACGATTATCTTAGGTTTCACAGGGAGTGGCTTTTTAAAGCAACGGCGAGGCATTAGAATTATTTATGCATTCCGACCATCCTCTTCCCGTTGACATTTTAGTGTCACGTGGATACATACCCATTAAATCAAGATTGCAAGAAAATGTCTCATCTTTTCTTGCACGATTTAAACAGGCTCTCCCCATGCGTTATATTAGTAGATACATTTGAGAAAGCCGAGAACCAGATTTCGCGTCTTCTCTACAGACTTCATAGCGAACGCTTATGAAATAACCAGTGCACAGAGCGAACACGGAGCTGTTCCTATCGCGGTCACGAGGCTCGCAGCAGCCAAGGGCAGTGGGGGAGAGGACAGAGGGCTGCGGGCAGTGGGGGAGAGGACAGAGGAGGGCTGCGCGGGTCAGCAGCCGGCAGGGCAGAGCGCACAGCTGCCTCCCAGGCGGGGGCACAAACCGCACGCCCCGGGCACCTGCGTGAGGCGACCCGACGCGGGGCGAGGCTCGCGAACCCGCGCACGGACACCGCGCACCGTCCTACACCCGCGCGGGGACCCCGCGCGCGGCCCCATGGCTGACCGGGAGCACAGTGGCCGCTGCCACCCCAGCGGCGACCCCGAAGCCGCTAGCGGGAAGCCGTACCTGCCGCGCGGAGCCGGCGGGGCGCGCACAGCGGAGCGGCCCGGCTCCGTCCGAGAAGGTCGGCCGTGCGGCCGCAGTAGACAACGTGGCGGGACACCGGAGCCAGCCCCAAGACCAGGGTGCATGAGGTCCGCCAGGACAGGCTCCGCAAGCATGCCATGGCACTGGAGCGACGAGACGGGAGCCAGACCCCGGCGCTTCATGCCGGACGCTGACGGCCGAGTTCGCACTGCGCTACCCACGACCCGCGGCTGCGGCCGTCGCGTGCAGCGCCTGCGCACAACTTCGCGCGGGGGGGCGCATGCGCAGTACTTCCTGCGCATGCCCGAAGGTGTCTTCCGGCGCGCCCTTGTGTCCCTTGGCCAATGGAGTTTGCGTACTGCACTTGACCTGTACTGTATATACATACCTGGGGGCGGGGGGAGAGGGGCGGAGTCGGGGAGTTCGGCCCTAAGGCCTTTGATGGGATTAGGTCTGCGTGAAGTGCCGATTGTTCGCTTGAGATAATTGGTAAATGTCAAAATGAAAAAGCATGGGGCCGGCTCTGTGGAGTAGAGGATAAAGCGGCCGCTTGCAGCACGGCATCCCATATGGGCGCCAGTTCGAGACCTGGCTGCTCCACTTCCCATCCAGCTCTCTGCTGTGGCCTGGGAAAGCAGTGGAAGATGGCCCAAGTCCTTGGGCCCCTGCACCAGCGTAGGAGGTCTGGAGGAAACTCCTGGCTTCGGATCGGCACAGCTCTGGCCATTACCACCAATTGGGGAGTGAACCAGCAGATGGAAGACCTCTCTCTCTCTCTCTGAGTAACTCAAATAAAGAAATCTTTTTAAAAAAATTTCAAAACGTGTATCATGCTTTGCAGTTTCTGGAGTTTTTCTTTTTTAATTAATTTATTTATTTGAAAGGCAGAGCTACAGAAAGGGAGAGACAGAGAGATCTTCTGGATTCTGATTTATTCTCCAAATGGCTGGCCTGGCTAGGCCTGAGCAGGGCCAAAGCCAGAGTCTAGGAGCTTTTTCTGCTCCAGTATGGATGGGAGGGGCCCAAGCATTGGGTCATCATCAGCTGCTTTCTTGGGGGCATTAGCAGGGAGCTGGATTGGAACTGGTGCAAGGGGACACAAATTGGCACCCATATGTGATGCCTGCTTTGCCGGTGGAGGCTTAACGCGCTAAGCCACAATGCTGGCCCTGGAGTATCTTCATGCAAACGAAATCTGCAACTTGATAGTGAGGAAGTTATGACAATTCTCAAATCACTGAAAGTTTACTGGTTTTTTATTCTTTAATGTGTCAAAATAATAGTGGTAATATGGAATGATATACTAATTTTTTTCTAATTTAAAATGGGGAGCATAGACAAGATTTATGTGGTTATATTTATGTGTTTTTTAAAGATTATTTGAATGTCAGTGTTAGAGGAAGAAGAAGAGGAAGAGGAAGAGGAAGAGAAAGAGAAAGAGAAAGAGAGAAAGAGAAGTCTTCTACCTGCTTTTTCACTCCCCTCATGGCTGGCAATGGCCAGAACTAGGCCAGGTGGAAGCCAGGAGCAAGGAGCGTTTTTAGAGCTCCACTGCCGGTGCTGTTTTTCATCATTTGAGTTATCCTTCCCTCGCCTTACGACAACACACGGGATTCTGTATTAAATG